GGAGTCGGTCGGTTTGGCGCGCCGAAGTAGATGAGCCCATGAGCCGTTAGTAGCATCATGTCTAAGCAAGAGTTGCACACGTCTGTTGCGCATAAAATTTTTGTCGATTGCGTCGATTAACAGCACAGTTCGGCGATTAGACGCAAGGACGCAAGTATGCGACTGGCAATTTTTTTTCCATGAAGTGACGAAAGCCTGAGCGGGCAGCACAGTTCTTGCAACGGTATTTTGGGATTCCAGAAGTGTACTGCTAGTTGATTTTCTTCACGATCGCCATACAGTTAATGCTGCTTATCGGCGAAAAAGGCGAGATATGCCTATTCGAAGTGCCATTCTGCTCTATGACAATGCTCGGCTACACACAGCTGCATTGACCCGAGAAAATTTAAGCGAAATTGATTGGGAAACACTTGAACGCCCTCCTTACAGTCCCGATTTGTCGCCATGTGACTATCACATGTTTAGGCCACTTAAAGAAGACCTGGGAGGTCACCACTTTGACGAGGACGACGAAGGTGTGGAAACGTTCTTGCACAATTGGCTACTGACACGGCCAGCTTCATTCTTTGATGGGGGAGTTAAAAAACTTCTAATCCGATGGGAAATTGCATCAATACGAGAGAAGATTATGTAGGACAATCAGATGTAAATAAACTTGTATTTACTATACCAATAAAATTACTAAAACAAATGTCCGGTTCATATTTGATTCATCCTCGTAATTTGACGCTGCGGACAATAACCGCTCGCTCAACGCCCTAGATACATAATTAACTTTTATCATTCTGAATCATCGGTATTAAATTTTTGTCAAGCACATAAAATAAATAGAGTATCTAATAACAAATTTCAGGCCACCTTTGACAATCAGAGCGGTGGATTGTAGAAGCTTCGGTAGATATACCTTGGTGGGAACGCATATGATCAACTCCATTCACAAATACATGTACAACCCAATGACCAAGAAGGAAAGAGAAGCTGAGGAGAGGAAAAAATCAGCAAATTTGTTAAAGGCGAATGACTCCGGAATCACAAGCAATCAAGTGTCACCGACGAAGCACTCTGTTATAAGCGGTGATAAGGAACGTAGTCCGCTGTTGCCCAAAGACATTTCTATTCAAATAGGTAACTTTTGTAACCGTAAGTACCATTCACGTTCATGGTCATCTCTTGTTCACCTGTCAAGCAATCTTAAAAATCGGTTTGAAACCAACTAAGCCTAAAGTGCTCTTCGAGGTCTCATACGGGAAGGTTTCAGCTTTACTTGGGATATTTGGCAATCTCAAAAATAAAAGTGTTTGTCCATCAAGCATTAAAAACGCCCATTTAAAACACAATTTCTTTGGGATCCTTATAGCAGCCGCGGTATTTTGCCATTTAGGCTTCTGCCTGCGTGGCTGCTTCTTTGTAAAAAAAGATCACTGCGAGGTGCGGCACTTGTACTGTCGTATTTCTATGTAACTGTTCATTGAAGTGGCGGTCATTCTGTATCATTATTTCATTGTATTATATCTAAATTTTCAGGCTACGGTTCACAAGACAGCAGCAAGAAATCCAAAAATGAAAGCAATAGGAAGAGAAAGGTCAGTTACGAAGACGACGTCGATGATGAAGATGATAGCAAAGACTGGTAAGGTTTTTCAGCCTGATATTAATTTTTCTGACGATTTACTGAAACATTCTTACCGAGTACTGGGCTAAACTGACCTTAATCTAGGTGGACCAAATATTTCGCCTCGGTGGAACGAATGATAGAAGAATCGAAAGATGCGAAAAAAGCTCAAACGCAAAATGGTAGCCTGCATGTGTACGATGACGAAAGTAACCCTCACTCAGGCAACAGTTCAGACAAAAGTCCTGGTATCGATCAGCACAAGAAACGGTTCGGGTTTAAAACGGCCGCCACGGCATCCAGGCTGGCTACTAGAATAAGCCCTAAGAATCAAAGAAAAAGGAATAAATACAAACCTGCATTGTGTAAAGTAAGTCGATGTATGTGTACAAGGGTTGTCTCAAAAATATGGATCCCAACGCTGACTTTGTCGCGCGCGATGCTAGACGAAATCTGGCAACAGCGTCGTGTTTGTCGGCCCCCCACCATCGATCTCAACAACGAGCGCTTATTGGTGACATTGGCCATGCGCAATGGAGCCCTTCATCGAACGCAAGAAGATTAGCACCCATAAAAATTAATCATCACTTGAGTGAAGTAAATAGAGCACTCTGTCTGGGCGAGGGCAGTATGAAGAGTTGTACCCTATATTTGTCAACCATGTAGTAAAAACATATAATCTATCAAATAGCATAAAGAGTGTACATTTATTCAGAAAATATGTAAAAACACTCAAAAGTAATCCACTTACATTTCAGCAAACTACTCTAATCCCTGGAAAAGTTGAAAATAGCATGAGTATACAAGTAACACGTTATTCAAATTCTCACACTTCGGACAGGAAAGGTAGATGGAACAATTCTATCGAACGTTTTTGTTTCCATTGTACCGTGCTCATGTTTTCAAATATTTGGTTAAATAAATTAATATAAATAAAATATATTGCTATAATAAACTCGTGGATAATTGCTTTGAATATGGAAAAATCTACACAAATTCAAATCTTGATATTTTCGGTAAGGAATGAGATATCTAATTGCAGTATTCGGAAGATTTTTAATCAGCTCTTTGAAAACACGTATAGTATTCGGCCGATATATTTCTTTTATGTATCCACTTATACAGGGTGACTTCGAAGATGAGTCATTTATTTTAACAGTGAGTAGATCTGATCAAAAGAAATGTTTTTTTCCTTTACCATTTTTCTGGTAAAATTAAAGTAACAAAGTTATAGCCCTTTGGAAGTTTGAGTACCGCCCTGTCTCAATAATAATATTATGTGCTTGTGTTTGGCAATAACGGATATAATCCGCCTTATCGCTTCATCGCATCGGAAACAAAAAAGCGAAAGAATTTGGAACGATGTTTTTACAATTATTTTATTCAGTTGTATTCAGTCAGTGTCAGTCGGTAACGCGTGAGTGAATAGTGCTGTCTGTTGCGTGGCTCAAACGAAATCAAAAATGGCACATGTTTACGAAAATGCTGAACTTGTGGACATGATTCTTATTTACGCGGATTTATGCGGATCGGTTTCCCAATCGAGTGCAACCAACCCCTCGTGCCTTTGTTAATGTAGTACAAAGGGCTCGTGAATCAGGTGACTTAAGACCTCACAGGGGAGGGCATGCCGGTGCTCCAAGACCGCACGATCAAATACAGATCCGCACTGAAATACTTGTCGGGAGGATACTTTGTAAAACAAGGTAACATTTTTTTTTTTTAATTTTTTTTATTTTTACACACATATTTTGGTTTATCTTCCTTCTACAATCATTATCTGAAAATTAATGACTCAACTTCAAAGTCATCCTGTATAGGGTTAGCAACGGAAGTCATGTTTTTTTAGCAAAGTTTGGGGCTATGTCAGATTCTCAATTTTTGATCATGGAAATCTTTCTATACATAGTTTTGATCTTTGGACTATCCGAAAGTTGGCTATAACTGAAATTATGGAATTTTAAAAAGTGTTACATTCATCCCTAAAAAAGGGAGCATTTTATCTTGACCGCACTAACAATTTCAGCTCAGACCACACATGCTCCTTATTTTTGAAACAACCCTCGTATTTTGTGGTCGAGTGTTTGTTAGGAACAATCGTCAGATTCTGCGGCACATTGTAGGTCTACCCGACAGAACTGGAGGCACGACCTGAATTTGAAGAATTTAAAGAATGGTTGCATACCTTTGACCTATATAGAGGTAAAAAGACTGGCGAAGACTCCGAAGATGAAAGTAGAGTAGTAGGATATTTTAAGGTAACCATTATTCATCTTCGCTTGGTAAAACTCATAATAAACTTTACATTTTTCATATAGGGAGCAATAAAAGTGTATAAGTGGCCGCTACCAAAAGACATAGAGGACAAATCTATCATGGGTTACGATCCTTTAAATGGATTTTTCCAAGGTCTGCCTTCTAACGATCCAATCAGGGTATTAGTACGGGTATATATAGTCAAAGCTAACGATTTGCACCCCATGGATTTGAACGGGAAAGCAGATCCGTACGTCGTATTACAATTGGGATCGAAGAGGATCAGCGATAAGGAAAATTATATATCTAAGCAACTTAACCCCATATTTGGAAAGTGAGTACGAGCTATATCAAGGTATATCGAAAAGAGGCAGTACAAAGTGCCATCTATATCAAGGTGGTAGAGAGGTGCATAAATAGCGAGGTTCTGGAGTACCTCGAGCGTCAGGCAGTGTAGTTTCCGCGATACTGGTAAAAGATGGCACTTTGTGCTGTCATATTTTGATAGGGCTATATCGCTAGTTTCTATATCAAGGTGTTACATACATAATTACTTAAGGGTGCTGTTGCGTCTTGTAGAACTTCCGATTTTACTGTGTTTTTTCTTAAAACATTTAGTGGGTCGTCTGATAGATTATTTAGAAACAAAAAAAGTGTGGATAAACCACGCTTCTCATGAAAAATTGTTCCCAAAACATTGTATTTTTAGCTGTTTCCATCATTATTTCCACCGCCATCTATCTGCCATATGACGTCTGTGGATATGTCATAATATGAGTGGTGCTTGCCTGCGGTGTTGCCGAATTGGGATCCACATTTAGGGAAAAATATGAAAAGTTGAAAATTTATGTATATTAATGAAACACAAAAACGAAAAACTGAAACAAACAACAGTAACAAAATAAAAGGTGATTCCCAATAAGTATAAATCAAAAAATAACAGTAGTAAGCTAAAACATGATAAATTATAAATAATTATAAAAAACAAAAAATAAAAACAGTAGCAAAACAAAAACTAATTCCATCTGTTTAATATAAATGTATATAAATTTTCCACTTTTCATTTTTTTCTCTAAATACGGAGCCCAATCCGGCAACGCCGCAGGCAAGCGCCTCTCATATATGACATATCCACAGACGTTAGCGTCATATGGTAGATGGCGGTGGAAATAATGGGTGAAATAACTGCTAAAACATACAGTGTTTCGGGAAAAACATTTCATGAAAAGGGTGCTTCATCCACACTTTTTATGATTGAAAATAATTTATCACACTACCCTCTATAAGTTTCAAGTGAAAAAACAGTGAAATCCGAAGCTCTACAAGACGCAACAGTAGCTTACTTAGGTCATTTGACATCTTATTTTTAGAATATTGTTAATAATTCCAGATGTTTCGAAATAGAGGCAACCTTTCCGCAAGACTCAATGCTAACGGTACAAATATATGACTGGGACTTAGTTGGTTCTGATGATATGGTAGGAGAGACGAAGATAGATCTCGAAAATAGATTCTATAGCCGACATCGAGCGTGTTGCGGGTTGCCCGAGAAATATGAAGAGTAAGTTTGATTTATTCCATACTCAGACAAGGATATGTTGAATTTTAGAAAATAGTATGTAATAGGTGTGGTTTCATAAGTAGGAAATATTCTTGAAGAATCTAGAAAACAGACCCGCACCGAAAGATTGAAGTTGGAAAAATCACTTTTTTCGTATATTAAAAAAACTTGAGGTACTGGATATAGTGGTCTACAGGTGGTTTGTAGGCCTTCAGAATAAAGTTTCACAAGTTCAATTTGCTACAGAGGTTAGTTTATTACCGTAAGAAAGAACAAAAATCGTCGATTTATACATTTATTTTTTACTAAAAAGTGACATTTTATCAAATATTTTGAAGGACTGCTTGATGTCATTGGTGAATTTTGAACAATATATGCTAAAGAATATTTATTTTGGGATTTATCTCATTTCTCAAAATGTCCGACATGTTTACCAATACTCGATTTGGTAACCATACTTTGTACTGATCAGCATTACCATCGAGAACAGTTGCCGTTAGACATTGTTGTTGACGACCAAATTGAACAACCCCCGATCACCTGGGAAGTCCACAATCAATGTACTGAAAATCGACATTTAGTATAGGTTTGATCAGCAGAGCGGTATTACAACCGGCTTATATCTCCTACTATTCTAAAGAGCTGCCAAATAGCACACTGTTGAAACAGATACTCAATGGGTACTTTCTGCTCTGAAGTATTACCGTTGTTTTTTGTAGCACCCTGTATATTTGTTTACAGGCAAGGTTATAATGCTTGGAGAGACGCGATAAAGCCAACTCAAATACTGGCGAAACTCTGCAAAGATGCAAAGATTGATCCTCCAATATACGCAAACGGTGTAGTGAAAATCGGCAAACAATTGTTCTCGGTGCAAAACGATGAGTTGGATTTTTACCGAGCGAAAGAAGCTGAAGAACATATGGCCTTGGCAGTTTTACAAAGGTGAGTTGAAAGATCAGTATTATTTTATATACAGGGTGTCCGCAAAGTTGGGGTTTTCCTGTTCAGAAACAACTACCCTTGAAATAACAAAGGTAATGTGTAGTGAAACGAGGGCGACCAAGTAAAAAAAAATAAAGGAAAAAGTACTCACTCTCCAGTTGACGTGAAGGGCTAAGTACGTCTCTGCCCGAAATCATACCGCTCCAACAGAAAATGAAATCAGCTGGTGCGCTACCGAGCAGACGCAGGCAAATAAGGAAGGCAAAATGTTTCGTAAAAAGTCTAGGTATTGCATCCCGTCCAATCGATTTGGGAGAATAAATGGTTCAATGAGCATACCGTTCACCATGCCAGCCCAAACATTCACCGAAAATGTTTGTTGAAAATGTGCCCGACGGACAGCGTGCGGATTTTCTACTGACCAATATGCACTTCAAAAAGTCCGGATTATTGTCATGTTGATGCAACAACCACTCACAAAACCGCACTCTTGCTGGAAAATCGTCAGGTTGAAAAGCTTGTACACGTTGGACGTGAAACGGATACAGCCCCTCTTCACGCAGCGTTTGCCACACTTTAGTTTTTGATACTTGCACTTCTCTAGCCACGTCTCTAGTGCTTGTTGAGAGATTCACGTCTACGCGATTATCTCTACACGCGTGACCGTAACCGTCGGTTGAAGGTTGCATACTGACCTGACACACTGACCCCGACCCAGTTCTGTCGTCGGGTCGAGCTAGTGTCCTAGTACCAGTCGGGGATGTCGCGGCTACAGGACGGTATTCAGATAATTTTGATGTTGCAGAGCCATTTATCTCGGTTCCCTTAAGACATTGGTGTATATGGTACTAAGAAAAATTGCTTATGTTTTCAAGATCTACACGTCGTGTAAAGGAAAACCCCAACTTTGCGGACACCCTGTATATTTATTATTCTATATTTTATATATCACACGTTCCCCTGTCTCCTCTTCAAGCCCGGTGCATGCAGTGTTGCCAGATCCAACGCTACGTTGCCAGTCCTCGCATAATCCAAATTTCCAAATTTTACTGATATCATTCCAGATGGCATGAGTTTCCGCGAATAGGATGTCATCTAGTTCCCGAACACGTCGAATCTCGACCGCTTTATAACCCGGACAAGCCCGGAGTGGAAAGAGGTAAACTGGAGATGTGGGTGGATATATTCCCCATGGACATGCCGCTTCCTGGGCCTCCTGTAGACATTTCTCCCAGAAAACCAAAGAACTATGAGATGAGGGTGATCATTTGGAACACCGACGATGTCGTCTTGGAAGATGACGCTTTCTTTACCGGAGAAAAAATGTCCGATATTTACGTCAAAGGGTGAGTACTTGTACGGGGTGCCAATATTTCTAGGCTAGAAAGTACATAAAAGTGTCCGAAGATGCTCCATTACCGAGATTCAGCGTGATACTCACTTTCAGATGGCTGAAAGGACCGGAAGACTGCCAATGTACAGATATCCATTATAGATCGCTAACCGGAGAAGGAAACTTCAACTGGAGGTTTATTTTTCCGTTCGATTATCTAGTAGCAGAGCAAAAAATCGTTATATCGAGAAAAGAATCTCTTTTCTCTTGGGACGAAACAGAATGCAAGATTCCTGCCAGATTAGAACTACAAGTTTGGGATGCTGACCACTTCTCCGCAGACGATTTCCTAGGTATGTAATACTGTCAATGGGCTACTCTATTGATTGTAATTATGCTGTTACCATTCTACACCTACAACATCGCAGTTACAATACACAGTAGGTCACTGGAAAGAGTATCAAACATAATACCCAGTGGGAAAGTTCACTTTTCGATTTAAGAAAAAAATACAAACTTAATGAAAAGAAACTATTGCATTCACCGTTTCCATCGATTCTCTGGATGTATGGGCAGTGGCCCCATCCTGTTGAAACCATATGTTTCTGTTAAATCGACGTTCTGTTCTTACAATAGGAGCAAAAAAAGTGTCAATCATGTCCTTGTATTGGTTATTCTCAAAAATAAATCTTTAGAAACGTTTTCGTTGAAGAAAGATATTTGAGTTAAATTTATTTCCACTTATTCCTATTCCATAAAGGGTAAACCTACAGCATTTTTTACTACGAGTTTTACAATAAACGAGCAAGATGATAATGATATTTGGTGAATGTAGAAAAATTTCTAGAAACGCTTGTGCAACAAGCTCGACATAAACATAAGCAAATAACAGGTGATTTTTTAAGAGGTATATGATTTGATTCTCAAAAAAACACAAAAAATTTGAAAAAACGATTAAATATTCATTTGAGTCGATAGAATGGTCGATATAATTTAATGTTTAAAGATTATTTCATGTAAATGTTGGCCACGGCTCCGCTTCAGATGGCCCATGCGCATGGTCCAATTTTGGCACACTCTCTCCAACATATCGGCCGGTATCTCACGAATAAATGCTTCAATATTGGCTTCCAATGCGTCAATCGTTGCTAGTTTATCCCTGTAGACGTTAGCCTTAACATGGCCTCACAAGAAATAGTCCAACGGCGTTAAATCACACGATCTAGGCGGCCAATTGACGGGCTTCAAACGTGAGATAAACTGTTCACCGAACTCGCGTCTCAATAGGGCCATTGTTTCGTGTGCGGTGTGGCATGTGGCACCGTCTTGTTGAAACCACATGTCAGCCTAGTCCAGCTCTTCCATTTTGGGCAAAAAAAAGTTTGTTATCATCGCACGGTAGCGCTCGCCATTCACAGTTACGTTCCGGCCATTGTCGTCTTTGAAGAAGTACGGCCCGATGATGCCACCGGCCCATAATCCACACCAAACAGGGATTTTTTCGGGATGCATTGGTAGCTCTTGCAATGCTTCTGGCTGGTCTTCACTCCAGATGCGGCAATTTTGCTTGTTAACGTACCCATTCAACCAGAAATGAGCTTCGTCGCTGAACACAATTTTTCGATAAAAATGTGGATCTTCCTCCAACTTTGCCAGCGCCCATTCACCAAATTGGAAACGTTGCGAACGGCGGCGAATCGACATTTCACGGTCATCACTAACACTGGCGGATACAGCCGCAATATTTTCTTCAGTCCTCACTCTACGTCTGCGTGTTGGTGGTTTAATGTTCAATAATGTAAACTGGGTTCGAAATTTAGTCACAAGCTTCCGAATAGCTCCCTCAGTAGGCCGACCAAATTGCCCATAAATTGGAAGCAGTGCTCGATGCACTCTCTTAACCGAGCATGAATTTTGATAGTAAAATTCAATAATTTGCGTTGTCCGTTCGTAAGTTGATTCATGGTTAAATTATAGACCAAACCGAACAAGTTCGACAATGACACAAGACACGATTCGCGCGTCATCTGTCAAAAACAGTGTTGCCAAAAAGATACTAACAAAAAAATCACCCATTATAAAACCTTAAGCTTTGTCGTGATTTTCAGGAGCAATAACGATAGACTTGAATCGATTTCCACGAGGAGCAAAATCGTCAAAGCTTTGCACTTTGGACATGTTGAAGTCGGACGGCTCTGTGCCGATGGTGAATATCTTCAAGCAGAAACGCGTGAAGGGTTGGTGGCCGTTCTTTGTGAAGAAAGACAACGAAGAAATGGAGCTCACTGGGAAAGTAGAAGCAGAGTTCCACTTATTGACCAAGGAAGAGGCTGAGAAGGTGCCAGCGGGCTTGGGAAGGAACGAACCGGATCCACTGGAGAAGCCCAAGTACGGTTGTTTGCACAAAAAAATAATAGTATATTACATGCCTACGTTGAGAAGTGAAACATTATTGGTCATCAAAATTGACGTGACAAGCGTTTTCCCAAAATATATCAGGAGAGTCACAAATGAGGATGCGACCTTTTCATTGGGACATCCTGGACAGAAATATAACTTAAAGAGTTACACTTGAGCTGAAAACCGTACATTGTATAAACATCCATGTCAAGCCAATCTACGTAAATTACTTCACAAGTATACTAATACCCGTTTTCTTATTGTTTTTTTTTTTTCAGTCGCCCGGATTCATCTTTCATGTGGTTCATGAACCCGTTGAAATCGATCAGATACATCGTATGGCACAACTATAAGTGGACGATCCTCAAACTTCTGATCATCCTAGGTTTAGCAATAATAATTTTTCTTTTTGTATACTCGGTACCTGGATATACGGTCAAAAAGATGATCGGTGCTTGAATATACGTTGTTTTTCACGTTCAAGCCGTAAAGTTAACGACATACAATCATTTTTTGAAATATTCTAAATAATCCTCACAGTGATATTCCATGTTCTTTATTATGTAAGATCGATTTTAATATTAGATTATTTATTATCTGTTAAAAGTAATTTTACTATATACGAAGTTCACCTTCGAAACCAACATATTTTCGAATAATAATATTGTAAAGTGTATTTCAGGCTATATAAATAAATCATACATTCCGTAATACTTCTTCAGTCATTCTTTTCAACGAATCCGACTCCCAAACCAAACCAAACCTGACTCATTGTGACGTGTTTTTATACAATTAAAATGTAGCCTTTTGGTCGCGAAACAACGTCAAAATGACGTAGTTTTGATTACTTGTAATATACGTCATAATTTCACGTACTAAACACGTCGAGCACTAGTAATTTTTCTCAGCAAAGCCAGCTCATTGTGACGTGTTTTTCTAAAATTAAAATGTACTCTCTTGGTCGCGAAATTGCGTCAAAATGACGTAGCTTTGATTACTTGTAATATACGTCAAAATTTTACGTACTAAACGATTAACTGTCATTCGTTTCAACAAACCCGACTAATTGTGACGTATTTTTATACAATTAAAATGTAGTCTCTTGGTCGTGAAACGACGTCAAAATGACGTAGTTTTGATTACTTGTAATATACGTCATAATTTCACGTACTAAACACGTCGAGTACTAGTCATTTTTCTCAACAAAGCCAGCTCATTGTGACGTGTTTTCATAAAATTAAAATGTACTCCCTTGGTTGCGAAATTACGTCAAAATGACGTAGTTTTGATTACTTGTAATATACGTCAACATTTTACGTACTAAACACGTCGATTAACAGTCATTATTTTCAACAAACCCGACTCATTGTGACGTATTTTTATACAATTAAAATGTAGTCTCTTGGTCGCGAAACAACGTCAAAATGACATAGTTTTGATTACTTGTAATATACGTCATAATTTCACGTACTAAACACGTTGAGCACTAGTAATTTTTCTCAACAAAGCCAGTTCATTGTGACGTGTTTTTATAAAATTAAAATCTACACTCTTGGTCGCAAAATTACGTCAAAATAACGTAGCTTTCATTACTTGTGATATACGTCAAAATTTTACGTACCAAACACGTCGATTAACAGTCATTCTTTTAAACAAATCCGACTCATTGTGACGAGTTTTTATACAATTAAAATTTAGCCTCTTGGTCGCGAAACAACGTCAAAATGACGTAGTTTTGATTGCTTGTAATATACGTCATAATTTCACGTACTAAACACGTCGAGTACTAGTCATTTTTCTCAACAAAGCCAGCTCATTGTGACGTGTTTTTATAAAATTAAAATGTACTCTCTTGGTCGCGAAATTGCGTCAAAATGACGTAGTTTTGATTACTTGTGATATACGTCAAACTTTTACGTACCAAACACGTCGATTAACAGTCATTCTTTTAAACAAATCCGACTCATTGTGACGTATTTTTATACAATTAAAATGTAGTCTCTTGGGCGCGAAATGACGTCAAAATGACGTAGCTTTCATTACTTGTGATATACGTCAAAATTTTACGTACCAAACACGTCGATTAACAGTCATTCTTTTAAACAAATCCGACTCATTGTGACGTATTTTTATACAATTAAAATGTAGTCTCTTGGGCGCGAAACAACGTCAAAATGACGTAGTTTTGATTACTTGTAATATACGTCAAAATTTTACGTACCAAACACGTCGATTAACAGTCAGTCTTTTAAACAAATCCGACTCATTGTGACGTATTTTTATACAATTAAAATGTAGTCTCTTGGGCGCGAAATGACGTCAAAATGACGTAGTTTTCATTACTTGTGATATACGTCAAAATTTTACGTACCAAACACGTCGATTGATAGTCATTCTTTTAAACAAATCCGACTCATTGTGACGTATTTTTATACAATTAAAATGTAGTCTCTTGGGCGCGAAACAACGTCAAAATGACGTAGTTTTGATTACTTGTAATATACGTCATAATTTCACGTACTAAACACGTCTTGTACTAGTCATTTTTCTCAACAAAGCCAGCTCATTGTGACGTGTTTTCATAAAATTAAAATGTACTCTCTTGGTCGCGAAATTACGTCAAAATGACGTAGCTTTCATTACTTGTGATATACGTCAAAATTTTACGTACCAAACACGTCGATTAACAGTCATTATTTAACAAATCCGACCCATTGTGACGTATTTTTATACAATTAAAATGTAGTCTCTTGGGCGCGAAATGACGTCAAAATGACGCAGCTTTCATTACTTGGGATATACGTCAAAATTTTACGTACCAAACACGTCGATTAACAGTCAGTCTTTTAAACAAATCCGACTCATTGTGACGTATTTTTATACAATTAAAATGTAGTCTCTTGGGCGCGAAATGACGTCAAAATGACGTAGCTTTCATTACTTGTGATATACGTCAAAATTTTACGTACCAAACACGTCGATTAACAGTCATTCTTTTAAACAAATCCGACTCATTGTGACGTATTTTTATACAATTAAAATGTAGTCTCTTGGTCGCGAAATGACGTCAAAATGACGTAGTTCTTATGACTTGTACCGCCACCTGGCAATCAGCACTGAAGTATTCCAGACTATATAAATAAATCATACATTCCGTAATACTTCTTCCTTATTTTAGTGTTCATTAGCAACGGAGAAATGACCATGTATGGGATAGTTGCAGAAATATTGCTACGTTAACAAAGAGCAAAAGAAGCATTGGTCCCAAATTCGAACCCTGTGGTACCCATGAAACCATGCGTAAGGCTTGGGTGACATCCAGGAAACAAGAAGTGTTTTGGCCTTCTGCGAAAAGACAAAGCGATTTTGATAAATTGCTTCAAATACTGAACCTCGGAGGACTGGAACGTGCTTGTATTTTAATTCTTTATTAACCTTTTCAATACACTTTTTAAAAATGCTTCTGCAAAATTGCCGAGCTGATAACGCGTCGTCTCAGAACGAGGAAGTTCAAGAGTGGTAGATAAGTAGAGCTCACTGCTTGTGGGGCGTCGTTGCCACATCCTCATTTTTTCAGGAGCACTTGGATTCACCGCGCGATTATTTTTGCGAGCGACTGTACGTCATATCGACGTCATATCCACCTCATTCAGACGACATATCGACTTTGTATTTGAGTCTTTTATACGACATACTATGATTGGGTGTGACATTAGACCGTGAGAATGACGTCATTTCTACGTCAGTAGCGCCGTAAAAATGCCGACTACAGTGGTTTTTGAAATGACCGATTCAACCATTTTATTTAAAAGAGGACATAAAACAACAGAGTGTGTATTAAGTTTTATTTTAGACTATATAAATATCAAAATAGTTTTTTTTATATTGCATATATACTAAATAAAAAAAATTACTTTCCTTTCGGTTGCTGATCATGTATCATCCTTTTACAAAGTATAACTTAAAAATGTGAATGATCAATGAAAATGAATTTGATAGTTGTTCAAAGTACACAGTGAAATAAGTTTTGATTCGCCATGTTTTCAAACTTTATACTTTGAAAAAAGGTTCTGTAACTCCCGAAACGACAGTATTTTTTCCAATTAAAGACCTGGTTTCGATCATTAGGCAGAACAAACATGCCAATCTATTGTCACAGTAGGTATATTTCGGATGCACAGCAATATTTCATTGAAACATATCTGTCGCTGTATCTGAAACATATCTCAGTAGGTAACCAGAAACTTTTCTACAATGTCACCGCAACCGAAAATATCATGTTTCCGACATAAAAGTTCATAGGGATGGTGGTTGATGATTGTGGGCGGTGCGCTTAGGACTTGGTGAAGAGGTAGATGCCTACAATGAGGCCGTACAGACCCAACACTTCGGCGAAGATGAGGATCAAGATCATACCGACGAAAAGTCGGGGTTGCTGAGCTGTTCCACGCACGCCTGCGTCTCCTGCAATGCCTATGGCGAAACCGGCCGCCAGACCGCAGAAGCCTACGGACAGGCCTGCGCTTAGATGTACGAAGCCCCTGTAACATATATTAAAAATTAATGAACACTGTTAGGGTGGACATGGGACGACATTTCTCCTCAAGTTATACTGCTATCCCAGGTCTTTACGATGTCGAATATTGGTGATTTTTTGTCATGTGACGCCTCTTGGTCGCGAAATAACGTCAAAATGACGTAGCTTCGATTACCTGTAATATACGTCATAATTTCACGTACTAAACACGTCGATTAATAGTCATTCTTCTCAACAAACCCGACCAATTTTGACGTGTTTTTATACAATTAAAATGTAGTCTCTTGGTCGCGAAATGACGTCAAAATGACGTTCCTTTCAATATACGTCATAATTTCACGTATTAAACACGTCGATTAATGCTCATTCTTTTCAACAAACCTGACTCACTGTGACTTGTCTTTATATAATTGAAATGTACCCTTTTGGTCGCGAAATGACATAGTTTTGATTACCTGGAATATACGTCATAATTTCATGAACTAAACACGTCGATTCTGGTCATTCTTCTCAACACACCCGACTCATTGTGACGTGTTTTTATGTAATCAAGATATAACCTCTTGTCATCGAAATGACATCAAAATAACGTAGTGTTTATACATGTAATATACGTCATAATTTCACGTACTAAACACGTCGATTAATAGTCATTTTTCTCAACAAACCCGACTCATTGTGAAGTGTTTTTATAAAATTAAAATATACTCTTCTGGTCGCGAAATGACGTCAAAATGACGTAGTTTTGATTACCTGTAATATACGTCAACATTTCACGTACTAAACATGTCGATTAATAGTCATTTTTCTCAAAAAACCCGACTCATTGTGAGGTGTTTTTATATAATTAAAATATGCCCTCTTGATCGCGAAATGACGTCAAAATGACGTTGTTTTGATTACTTGTAGTATACGTCATAATTTCACGTACTCAACACGTCGATTACTAGTCATTTTTCTCAACAAAGCCTACTCAATGTTAGGTGTTTTTATGTAATTAAAATGTACCCTCTTGGTCGCGAAATGACGTCAATATGACGCAGTTTCGATTACTTGTAATATACGTCAACATTCTACGTACTAAACACGTCGATTAACAGTCATTGTTTCCAACAAACCCGACTAATTGTGACGTGTCTTTATACAATTAAAATGACTTGTACCGCCACCTGGCAATCGGTACTGAGGTATTCCTCAACGCGTGTACAATCACTTGAACGGGAAGAAGTTGTATACTGGATACAACAACTTCCGGAACAAGCATTCGCCACGGCCCTGCTCATTAGGGGAAAATGCTAATCAATGATCGCTGTAAGGTACTTACTTGAATAAGGGGTAGTTCGGACTGTCCGCAATCTCACCGGCAATAAGTACGGCGATAACCAGGCCGTAGATCGCCACGATACCCGCCATGACAACGGGGATGATGCATTTCATGATCAGTTCCGGTCGCATCACCGACATGGCCGCAATGCCGGTGCCTGATTTTGCAGTACCGTACGCTGCACCCATCGCTGAAAAAAATGGCGTCGAGTAAATTGTGTCTGTACTTCAAATGCAGTTCTGGACAAACTAACTTTAAACACACAGCATATAAAAATCTAATTGTAAGTCAACACTGCTATCTCAATGATTCGGCGGACAAGAGCGTACCCAGGGGGGAGGCAAGGGGGGCAGTTGCCCCCCCCACACGCTGAATCGATATCTATTAGTTGAGAAACTACTAGGACTCTATGTTAGATAAAAGATTAATTTTGTGAAAAGCTCTGTATACAGGGTGGTCCAACGAAAAGGTCACACCCCTATTTGTGACTCCCCTGGTATATTTTGGGGAAAACGCTCAGACGTATCTTTTCATCTATAAAAGACTTTTCTTTAAAATCAAAGACAAGTCTCCGAGTATTAAAAAAGTAAAAAAAAAGTGAGAATTAATTTGCTCTAAAGAGGTAGGTCAATGTGGTAATAAGTGCTGAAAGTGACGTTGAGCATGTAAATCCTGAAGAAGTAGCCAGTCCAGTTGAGTGCTTTGGGTGTTGTCAAATGCTACGTGGCCCAAAACTGTTATTTCTGCGGCTTCATTTGTAACTGGTCACATTACACAATAAAATTACCACTTTTCCACTTTTAGCCTTCTACACGGTGGCATAATTAGAATTTCGATCTGACGTTACAGCTATCAGTTTTTTTTTAATTATACTGCTTCCGGTGTCTCATTATTACCCTTAAATAATGTACTTTAATTACGTTATGTTGTTCCTCATTCGCTGAGTTTAAACCAACTGTATGAGGCACTTGAAATTTTAAATCAATGCGTAACACGTTATCATCTTTGATATTCTATGAGATAAATGACTATATGATAATTTCAAGGTTTACTCAGGAATTATTCTTTTTATAAAAATGTCTGACATTGCTATAATATTTGAAATCGGAAAGCTATTCGCCTATTCAAAGGTTTCCGTCACCCTCATCTTAACAAACTTAGATAAAAAGAGCTATTCTTGGGCTACAAATATTATAATATTTGGAAGTTTTACTAGTTTCACATGTTTCCGCTGGAGGGCAATAATCAATCAAATAAAATGCAGATGACTAGATGACTATTACGGCATACCATAAAAGTAATCGATGGACGTACGTCGAGGAGAAAATCACGATGTCAGGAACATAATGACAACAAATCTATATTATGATTTTGCGAAGTTCGGTTATTTCATTTTATTTCATGGTTTTGAGTGGTACCTTAATACTAATTTTGGTGGGTAGTTTTTGTTTTGAAAAAAAAACAGTTGAGTAGAATCTTATGACAGGAACACCAAAGACCAAAGTATTATTCGAAAACAACCTAACCTGCTTTAACATAACCTAACTATTCATTTTTCAAATATGATCCATCACGCAACATGAAAACATCGTCTATCTTTGTCGATACATGCAAATTAGCAATAAAATTCTGTTTGTCTCTGTCTAACATATCTGAAACTTCATTAAAAATATTCACAAGTCGCTGTCGTTTGTCTTTACTACAGACTAAAATGATGACGTAATCCTCATCTTTCGTGATTTCGACTATGATATAAAAATTATTATAATATATCATGCACAGGGTGAGCATGGATATAACATCCATACGAATTGTCAAATCGTCGTGGAAAACCCTGAATAGATGAAATGCACATAGAAAGCATAGTTATGTAGATACGATTTGTGGAACTTGTACCAAAAGATTGTTGAGGGTTTTAAGCTGGGTACGCCCTGGTAGTCACCGAAGCAGAAAATAAAATCACTTACAACTGAAAATGATGGCTGAGGCTGCCCCCATGACTCCGAAGAACGGTCCGTAGATTGGGTTTTCGCTCGTCATCTTTCCGTAGAGTATTCTCAGGTCGGTCAGGTGTAAAAGGCGCTAGCGAACTGACTGACAAATATGGCTTACGCGGCCCAGCCTACTCGAATGGATCATATGACAATTTCAGGTAGAGTGCAAAATTTAATAGCGATCGATTGATCGAATTTGAATCGAAGGACGGCCGACAACCAATCGCAATGGAGGATGACACAACTTTTTCCAGCGTTGATTACGGAATTTTACACCCAATCATTGATCCAATTTGAATGTGTTATCTGCCCGATAACGCTAGCCGACTTTCTGATAAAAATATAGTTTCTATTGTAAAGCTTAATTTTATTTCTCGTATTTACACCTGTGAACGCGTCACGAGGTCCTACCCACTCATCAATCATTTATCGGTTTCTGCTCTGAGGAGGAGAATTATCAAACGCACTTCCTTGCGTACGCTCGCGTGCAATGCCGTTGAAACATGTCGTGCTTTATAACAACAGCTTGAATCTGATCCAAATGTTCTGTCAAAGATCATCACTGGTGATGAGACTTGGTGCTACGGTTATGATGCAGAAACGAAGCAACAGTCGAGTCAATGGAAGACGCCATCGTCACCCCGTCCAAAAAAGGTTGTCAAGTCAAATCAAACATCAAAACAATGCTGATTTGTTTTTTGATGTCAAAGGCGTAATCCATTCAGAGTTTGATCCCCCAGGCCACACTGTCAAACAGACCTTTTATTTGGAGGTTTCAAGACGATTGCGAAACAGTGTTCGGAAAAAAAGACATCTGTGGCAGTCAGGAGACTGTTTCTTCCACCACGCACACAGCCATCTCTGATCGACAGTTTCTGGCTAAAAACGGCATGATTCTGCTACTATGTGAAAAAGTTGAAAATGAATAGCTTTTAAAAAATTATTCCGTTTCTTTTAATACCCCCTCGTACATACCTACTTATTTCTCCAGAAATTGAACTTTTCTTGCCTTTATGTTTGAAAAATCTGCTATCAAGTAATTCGTATCCAAGCTGTCTAACACTTCATGTGCAATATAAACGATAGCTAAATTACTTAGTCTTTGCTGGTGCATTGTTGACCTCAAAAAGTTTTTTTTAATCATTATAACTTTGAAAAAGTCCTTTCACCGAATGTAACTCTGCATTTGAAATATTTTTCTTGCATTGTGTTGTATGCGTCTTGATATAAAAAATTGAATTGGGTTTATACAGGGTGGCCCATAAGTCCTTTGAGCTGGAAAAAAAGGAATAAAACCAAACTAGTTACATTATGAAAAATTATTATATTTTGTTATCATCTTTATTGAATGGGAATTATGTTTTAAAAATCACATCGTCTAAATGCAATCCATTACGATCACGGCACTCATATAAACGACGTCTAAAATTGTCGATGACTGCGCGGCAAGTCAACACTGTAATGCTTGCCATTTCTCTTCGGATATTTTCTTTCAGGACATCAACTGATCGCGGAGTGGTGTCGTACACTTTACTTTTGAGGTAGCCCCATAAAAAGAAGTCCATTGGGGTCAAATTTGGACTACGTGGTGGCCAGGAAATGTCTCCTCTTCGAGAAATTACTTTGCTGGGAAAAAGTTGATAGACGACGGGCATAGAAGTGTTGGAGGTGTGGGCAGTTGCTCCGTCCTGTTGAAACCAGGTCTGCGTATTATAGGCTGGAAAATTCTGCAACGCTGGTGTCAAAAACTCTTCTATCATTGCTACATACCGCTCCGAAGTAACAGTTAATGCGCGACCTCTGTCGTTCTCAAAAAAATAAGGGCCTACGATGCCATGCGCTGACATAGCAGCCCAAACTGTAACTTTAGGGCTGTGTAAGGGCTTCTGATGCTTACGCCTTGGATTTTCGGGGCTCCAATAACGGCAATTTTGTTTATTTACATGCCCGTTTAAATGGAAGTGAGCCTCGTCCGAGAACAACTCATTATTGAGCGAAGAAAATCGATTCAACATTTCATTCGCAAGGTTTAGTCTCTGAATAGCGTCATTATCTTTTAATTCCTGCACTAACTGAATTTTGTAAGCGTGCAGACGTAAATCTTTCCTTAAAATCCACTGCAAAGATGTTCTGGGTACGTTTAGTGCACTGGAACGCTTACGAGTAGACTGGGTAGGATTTTGACGAACAGACTGTGCCACAATGTTGATGTTTTCTTCAATACGAGTTGTCCTTGGTCGACCCCACCGCTGTTTATCTAACGTCGAACCAGTCTCTTCGAACTTAGCAACCCAGTTCTTAATCGTTTGAGCTGTTGGACACTTTGTAAAATTGTGTAAATTGTGGTATTCTCGATATTTACGCCGCGCAATGGTTGCCAAATCATTATTTTGATAAAACGCGCGCACACAAAAAGCACGATCCGCTCCAGTGAAACACTCCATGGCGACTGAATTCCCAGACACTGAAGATACTGCCCCCACCTCGCCCGCGCCGCTCACGCTCACCCGTTAAATTTTATTCAAATTTGAAATTTCAAAGGACTTATGGACCACCCTGTATGTTACTATGATTCACATTTTTTTTTATTAGAACAATATACAGGATGTCTGCGAAAGGTTGGGAAATCTCGAAACTGGAGATACTACAGACCAAAATATGTGAATTGACCTAAACATACCTCAGTCCAAAAGTTCATAGTTTGCGAGATACAGGGTTTCAAAGTTACAAATTTATTTTATATTTTTCCTTATTTCTTGAGAAGCATTTCAGATTTTGGCATAAAACTCGGTATAGGCAGGTTTTCTAGAATGAAAAACAAGAATCGGTTATTTTTTATGGCCAAACTTCTACGAGGGCGCCACTTACAGCACTATTTCGGAAAATAACTTATCATAACTTTTTTGTGCTACCCTGTATACAACCACTGACCGAAAATTCTTATTTTGTCGTATTTCCACAACAAAAAGGTTTACTTGTTAGAAATGTCTGAAGCTAATATTTTTCGAGATATAGCCTTAAAACGGTTGGTTTTTAGCTATTTCGTCAATAACATTAAGATTATATACTAAGTGACATATAAATCCGAACACCCAGTTTAAATGGTTTTATTTTAATAAAATTTTGTATAAGTACTTAATGAAGCATAATAAGTAAATGATAAAAATTTCAAAATGATTGCACTGCTTTAAAGCCCTTTGACCTTGAATAATGTGTGGATGCACCCTGATGTGCTACGCATTCTCCAACGCGCCTAGGCATGCTTCTGATCAGGTGGTCAATGTCCTCCTGTGGTATCTCATTCCAGGCAACCACCAACTCCTCTCGAAGTGCTTCTAGAGTCTGAGGAGGACGTTGCAAATTGAGCAATCTCCTACCCATCATATCCTACACGTGCTCAATTAGGGATAAGTCGGGAGATCTTGGTGGCCATGGTAACAATGTGACATCATTATGTTGAAAGAAGTCTATTGTGACTCTTGCAACATGTGGTCGGGCATTATCTTGTTGGAAAGTTGGATCTGCCAGGGTGTCAAGATAGGGTAAAAGATGGGGCTCTAGAACTTCGTTCAAGTTACCTCTGATGAAGATTAAAGGTGACCTGGAACATGCCTAAACAAAATCGAGACTCGTCACTAAAGACAATACTGACAATACTGACCCCAGAGTGACCGTTGTCTGCACCACTCAAGGCGATTACGTCGGTTAAATGGAGGACCCAGTGTGGCCGGTATGAAAACAAGCCAAAACTTCTCATTCGTCGGTAAACACTTCGCATGCCAATAGGTCTTCCGTGTTCTGCAAACCATTCATTTGCAATGGACCTGGTAGTGGAGAAACGGTCCCTTAAGGCTAATAATCTTAGGCGGCGATCTTCACGGTCTGTTGTTCTACGGCGGCGTCCAGTGCCCCTTGCTCTTTGTGTACGGCCTTCTCGAAGCCATGCCTGACAACACCTAACCACAGTGTCTACACTTCTTTGTACTCTAACTGCAATTGCCCGAAAAGAAAGTCCAGCTTCCTGAAGTCCCACTATACGGCCCCTATCAAACTCACTAAGTTGACGAAATCGTACAGGTCTCCGTACTCTAGGCATCGTAACCGATCGTAAAGGATGTCAAGAACCAAAATCCGCCAACGTTGATTCTTTACTGCGGCTGAAATATTCATTTTTAGAGCGTTAGTGAATTAAAAAAAAAGCAGTATAAAAACCAGAATGTCCAACTGATAAGGCTGAAAATTTGTTCACTTGTTATTTACAGTAAGATAAATACATTCACCAACTTTTATTAAAATAAAACCATTTAAACTGGGTGTTCGGATTTATATGTCACTTAGTATATTTATATTTGTGCTGCCTAACTAGATGGATAAGTTCTGCTTTCTGCTCATTTCTTTTTTAATTAATTTTTTTTCAATTCGGAGAAATAAATGCCTTTTCACATTACGTGTACTTTGTTATAAATTATCCGATAAATTTATCTGTAAATGATCTCTACTCACCTTTTTCTATTGAAACACTGTTTATGCACTTCTAAGTAATTACCTACCTGAAGTTAGTTGCTAAACATAATCTGCTGATAATACGAAAAAATAAGCAGCATTATGGTTGCTATGGTTAATAAATACAAAATGTCAATGGATCTTCCAGATAGTAACTGTTACGGCGCTCGATATCGCAGAAATTGGATGCGTACACTGTACAATATGTGGTGAAACAATTCATATACTGCTCGAGGCGTCTCCTGGTCGTCTATCTTCCCGTTTCGGTGATCAGAATAAGCCCTCTAGATCGTGTGATTCATCACCATTAGATTTATTCTTATCGTCAGTCGTTCCTAGAATAATTGTAGAACACCTTTATGGCCTCCTTGTCATAGTCTTTTCTCTCCAAAAATTTCAAGATTTCACCTATTCCGTTTCAGCGCTCTCCTATTGTAGGACGTCTTTATGGCCTGCTTGGTTTTGATAACTTTTTTCTCCTTCAGAAAGGCTAGATTTCTACTGTTACTGCCAATCACCCTATATAAATGTAATTCAAGTAAAAAGTTTTTAAATTTGTAGGCTTTGAGGCCGCCCACCATAATCCAATGATGGGATTCAAAAACAAGTGTTAATAGGCCAACAATTCACCAGCCCAACCTGTATAATTTTCAAACAAAATTGACAGGTGGAAAATAAAACAGCTCTTAAAAATTAGATTTATTCGTTAATGTACAACAGGATTCAATGGTTCTGCTTTCATATTTGCCAAGTTTAACCTGTTGTCTAATTCTTCATCTATCAGTCCTATGAGTGCTCTGGAAAAAAATTTAGTTTAGAGATAAGATAAAATGAATCAAATATAAGCAGCATAACCGAAAGAGAGTGCATTTATGATACCCAAGGGTCATTAGATTTGAAAGTCCAGTATTTGGATAGCAGATATAGTGATAAAATTCCGATACTGACATCAACCAATTTTTCGAAAAGGTCAATCTCAAGTTCAAGGGGGTATTCAAAAGATGGACGCATAAAATGGGACCAATTTTTGTGGGAAAACTTTTTATTCGACAACAAAGAATGAGAAAACGTGTTTTTTGGGATTCGATCAGGAATGGAAGAACTCTTCATATAAAATTTTTAGGTATTTATGAGAAAACACGTAAAAAGGTCAGACTGATAACAAAAAAGTTATGGCTGAAAACCGAGTCAAACTGAATGGTGTGGCACTTATTGGTAATGAGATGATGGTCCCTCACAGTTATTTAAAACTCTTCAAATTCGTACTTCTGAATAACCACAAGAAAATTGGAGTACATGGGTCAATTAGTTTTTGAGAATTTTTAATTGTTTATGCCAAAACACCTGTTTTCTGGCCATCTCTACTATGTAGCTTATTGGGGAATATACAGGGTGACTTTGAAGTTGAGTCATTAATTTTTAGATAATGATTGTAGAAGGAAGATAAACCAAAATATGTGTGTAAAAATAAAAAAAAATTAAAAAAAAATTGTTACCTTGTTTTATAAAGTATCCTCCCGACAAGTATTTCAGTGCGGACCTGTATTTGATCGTGAGGTCCCCTGTGAGGTCTTAAGTCACCTGATTCACGAGCCCGTTGTACTACATTAACAAAGGCACGAGGGGTTGGTTGCACTCGATTGGGAAACCGATCCGCATAAACATGTGCCATTTTTTATTTCGTTTGAGCCACGCAACAGACACTATTCACACGCGACTGACACTGACTGTATGTATAACTGAACTGAATAACATAATTGTAAAAACATCGTTCCAAATTCCTTCGCTTTTTTGTTTCCGATGCGATGAACCGATAAGGCGGATTATATCCGTTGTTGCCAAACACGAGCACATGATATTATTGAGACAGGGCGGTACTCAAACTTCCAAAGGGCTATAACTTTGTTACTTTAATTTTACCAGAAAAATGGTAAAGGAAAAAACATTTCTTTTGATCAGATCTACTCACTGTTAAAATAAATGACTCAACTTCGAAGTCAGTATAGGGTTAGTTCAAAGGACATTTTATACCAAAATACACTACTTTACCTTGCCGGTATAAATCGCAAACCATTCCGGAAGATAAATGTTATTTTTACGCAAAAAAAGATCGGTTACGTTTTTTCTTCTAAACAAAAGTCGATAGACACATCCGCTTTGTTTTAAAAGGTGTTCAGTAACATATGTTTTTCGAATAACGTACTCACAAATATGAAAAGTTTGAATTTGGTTAGAAACATAACCTTTGTTTATCGCATAAAAAACCAATATACTCAAATTTTGTTGTTGTTATTCAGAAGTACGAATCCTACTGATTTGAAGAATTTCAAGTAGTTACGTGAAATTATCGTGCAAAAACCCGCATTTTGCCTCGTTTTTCGACCATAACATTTTTGCTATTAGTCGGATCTTTTTATGTAAGGTCACATTTTGTAAGTCTCGTAAATACCTAAAAATTTTATTTGAAAAGTTTTTTTGTTCCTGTCAATACTTTCGATTGAATCCAAAAAAATACGTTTTCTCACCCATTTTATGCCTCCATATTTTAAATACCCCCTTGAACAATTTGCACCAATAAAACCAAACTTAACATTTATTTTAGGGAAATTTGCTAATATGATTATACTATTAGTACAGGATAAATTAACATTGGTCAAACATCAAAAAGGTAGATTTTCCTAACTTTATCAGGGTATTACCATACAATCAGACAAGGCTAATTCGCTTGTATACACTTACACGTTGTCTCCCCTGATAATGTGTAGTCCAAGCATTACTTGTTCGACCCCTGAAGCTGTCGAGTATACTCTTTCATGAGATTCATCCAAAATTATGTTTATGGTTTGGTCGAAGCCCTTCAAAGTTCCCTAGGAAAAAAAAGTATTAACAATACAGCTAATGTGTGGGAAAGTGCGAAGTGTCCAAAATAATTCAAGGCATTGTAGATCTGGACCTGACTGACAGATTTGACCGATAATATGGTATATTCAAGCCATGTAAATTTGATATGGAGATGAAATTCAATCATTTCTGTATAGACTTGTAATCTTGCCACACATTTTCTCTTTATGTTTTATGATAAACTGGTCAACATCAAGCCACTAGTCAAACCTGTCAGAATAGACCATATCTTTTGGGCCCCTAGTGTTTATTGTGCACCACTCAACCCTATTTCTGAATATGCCAGTCAGTGAAGGGTTCAAATATAATGAAAAACTTACTATAAAGTTCCTCCCGTCAGATGTTATGATTGACACTGTATCTAAAAACAAAATGTTAAGGAAATACTGTGCAGGCGCGATGAATCAATGTAAATAGATTTTTTTAAAGGATACGGTTTACGAAGCTATCCAGCCCCGACGCCATGGTTAATTAATTTTTATCTCCGATTAATTTCTATCTTCTATCACAACACAAAGCATATACCAAATAAGATTTCATGTTAATCAACAAATCAACATCAACACGATTGACTTATGTCATTGTCAGGCGCCATTGTTTGAGGATGCGCTATCACATGGGCTATGACTTCAGATTGTGCTTTATTGCCACGGGACATTAACAGCTCTACACATAAATCTGACATCGCTATACTTTTATACAGGGTCTTCCTTAATGATATGCGAATATTTAAGGGTGTGAATCTACATGAAAAATTAATGTTAGTTTGCTTTATAAACTATGGTCCAAAAATGTTTCCTTACAAGAACTCGGGGTGTTTTAGGAAAAAAATGGAAATTATTTCATATTTTCAGAACCGCTTCAGATATTTCTGTTATTTAGTACGTAGTGAAAGTTAATAAGTTCGATTTAAAACAAATGATCTCTCTTAAATTATTTTCCTTAGATGCGCCATTTTTGAGTAAAAAAATAAAAACCGTTCTATTGTCTAACTTTCCAAATTATTATTAATTTAATTGGAAAAATTAAACATATCAGGGGTAATGAACAACAACAACTGACAACATTCACATAACATTAAAACCAACGAAATGATTACAAAAATTGTTGAAAATGGCTCACCGCGGCCAATCTAACGATTTGAATAAACAGTTTCTAAATAATTACGAACCGCTACACTGAAATGTGCTGGTACACCATCATGCATGTCCCTCTTATTGTTTCTTATTACTAACGGAACATTATCAAGCAGCAAAGGCAACTGTTGTTGAAGAAAATTGAGGTAAACCTGTCCGTCAAGTCGTCCCGGCAAGAAGAAGGGGCCAATAAAGTGGTTGCCAATAATTCCTGCCCATACGTTAACCGAAAATTGGTGTTGGAAATGGGTTTCGATTACGGCATAAGGATTTTTTTCTCCCCACAAATTATTATTGTGGAAATTCTGAATGGCATTTCGAGAAAAATTAGCTCGTCCGTGAACAGAATCATTGGTTCAAATTGCAGATTTTGTGTAATTTTTTGAAGATACCACTGACAAAAGGTCACTCGCCTTGAAAAATCAATGGGAAGTAATGCCTATACTCTTAAAATATGGTAAGGATATAACAAAAAATCTACTACAGTTCTCCAAACAATTTGATGGCAAATATTTAAGTGTCTAGCGATCTTCCTCGTACTCGTTTCAGGATGTTCTTTGACTTCGTGCAGCACTGCTTCCGCAATTTCAGGTGTTCTCACACTTAGAGGTCTACCTTCAGATGTTCCTTTTCGAACAGAACCAGTTTCAACAAGACGACGATGAATATTAGAAAAGTTTCGACTATCTGGCAAAACACGATCGGGATATCTCTGGTGATAAATCCGTCTCGCTTGCTCACCACTACCGTCGGCAAGGCCATATACTCGTACGTAACGCATTTCCGTCATTTCATAATTTTCCATGTAGATTCACACCCTTAAATATTCTCATATCATTAAGGAACACCCTGTATATAAAGAAATTTGGTGGAATGTATGAGGTCTTCTAATGGCATGTGTTATCAATGTTTTGCTAGTTCGAAATCGAATTTAGAATCTTGGGCACCGATTCACCTAGAAAACATGCTTCCATCTAAATCATAGACACCGCTTGGCGGTCCGGTCGTAGATTGATAATTATTTTTAATCATAAAGCCATCAGAACATTACACGAGTCAGGCAAAACACAACATGTATGTTTACAAAAGAGTATTCAAATTACGAAGGGGGCCGCGCTGTATGAGAGTGAGACAATTTTATTGACGTTATTTTGACACCACGCCCCGTTTTCTTTTCACGTGATCAAGCATTCACCACTTCACCAGTGGAATGATTTGTTAAATAGCTAATTGTCCATGACAAGCTGGAGATTGACAAATCATCAAAAATGATAACAATTTTTAGTTCTGCCTTGTGTGTCTTCTGTGGATCTGCCAGCTGCCAGTGTTGCCGAACCGAAAAAACTAAATCGTTAGGCAATGCCCTTGAAATTCGATAGAATCAATGACAAAATCGGTATGGGAAAAATCAAGGCCGTCGCAAGATCAGAGCGCTTTGAGTCACACAACGCCGTTTAACACAGGTTTTTCCTGAAAAAATACTGACTTTTTAATTACAACTTATGCAAAGAGCTCACTGGTTTCAAACCAACCATCCTGGAATCTCCTTTTCCATTCTTGGATGTAAGATTGTGAATATCTAGGAATCTATCCTATTTGGATAATGAGTCGCGTAAACTCTTATTGCTATTGCGACATTCAAATTAACTGAAAGCATATCGACAGCTTAGTCGTTCGTAAAACGCATTTGGTAAGCGCAATAATTGTTCAAAGTAACGCGAAACTGTTGACAACTATTATTTATGTTTTGATTAGAAATTTGTTTGTTGTATTCAGGGCTGCTTCTATTAATTTTTTTTTTCGTATATAGTGAATTTGCATTTGAACAAAAAATATGCCTTTTATTATTAGCATTGCTTACTTACCTTTAGCGATATTTCGTAATATTATCAAAAAGGGCGATACTCTCCTGAGGAATAAAAAATAATTCCAGAAAAATTAGTTTAAAAAATGGAAGGATTTCCCGTATAACATTTTCTTTGGCCTACATTTTAGGTTAAGAACAAGATATCGAGTTGCGGTCTTCGCGAGCTTGTTTGAACATCATATAGCTACTTTTTCATGAACAAATAATACAAATGCATTTAATGTCGAAAAAAGCACTCTGAATCGTTTAAAAAAATTAAAGAGGAGACTACGTTTTCCAGTTTCATTTCGATAAAAATACAGAAAAAACTGTGGATCCGGCAGCACTGGCTCTGCCTAACGTGGCAGATGACTGCGCAGCGAACACTTTCTGCGCATGGATTTGAGATCATAGTCGCCATATTGCTGTCTATTTGGGATTTTAAAGTGAGTAAATATTATAGATTTTTCTCACTTTCCCTTTACTGTATTCAAAATATTCTCTAACATTTGTGGATTCTGTTATACATCTTGTGTAACTGGAGCCACAAGTATACCATTATTTACCAAATAAAAAATAGACAGTTATTTTGAGTTGTTGCATAAAATTGAAGTGCTTCTAGATATTATTTTTTCTTAGCATCTCGACAGGTTGTCTGGCAATACTTCCGCAGTATTTTTATTTTGCGTGGTGGTATATATGCTGTTCAATAATTTTGATCGGATAATTTTTTTCCCGATTCTGCTGGGTGCTACATGGCAAACCTTTGACAGATGTTCCGTATTCTCTGACATTCCTATACATTTTATTTTTAAAATAGAACTAACGATTCAATCGCACATAAGGCAGTCATAGTTGAACAGCAATATACCTTATAAGGTTGACTCAATAGTTCAGAAAATAAGGCTTGCGTTTATTTTCTCGCACATATTAACAAAGGGATTCTGAGAATTGATCCAGTTACTCATCAGTCCACAGTGGTTGGTTTTTCGTTTAAGGCATAAGGAACTATTCTCTAAGAATACAGAGTGAAGATTGCTGATAATCAAGATGTCAGTGTTGAATCAAAGTGGTGAAGAGCAGGTGGAGTGCCCCCTGTGTATGGAACCACTCGAGGTGGATGATCTTAATTTTTTCCCATGCACTTGTGGCTATCAGGTGAGAAGCTAATTTTATTTATCTTTTGACAGCATATTGTAATCAAAAATATGATAGAATCCTTGCAATTATCACTTATAATTAATTTATTCATAGTTCTAGATTCTGTAGCCTATATTAGTAGCTTATTTTGATTTCATATTCATTATGTCACAAGGTTATATGATTTGTGATACATATTTGACAAGAGTCAGATGATATTATGATTCTGTCAGCTTTTGTAGGTACTAGGGGAAAATGTGAGACCATGGGGTAAATACATTACCTAAATAAATTCAATAGTTCTGTATTATGATAGGCTTGTTTATTTGGATCTTGTTTTTACTATGGAGAGCAATCTGGTAGTGATAGTGACTGAAGCTGTAAGACTTTTTTTTTGGTAAATCACAAGGCTGATTGATAACTTTAGAGGCAGTTATCAGGAAGGAGCATTGAAATATGAAGAGCTTTTTTATGACTTAAAAATTAATTGGGATCTGGTTTTGAATTCCACTGACATTAATGATGATGTTTCAATGTTCTATCTATCTGTTGCAAAGTAAACAGGACAATCAAACCACTTCATGTGGAGTTATTGTGCCTAAAGTGAGCATCGAACAAAGAGCCAATATTAAGTTCTGTGTTACACTTGGTAAAACATTTACCAAAAAAGAGTGTAAATTTATTATTATATATTAAAAGCTGTGTGGAAAAGTCCAAAGTGAAGACAATGTTGATTAGTCTCACAATTATTCACAAAGAATTCGTTCCACCAGGCCAAACAGTTAATGCTGTGTTTTATCTTGGCTCTTTGCCCGATAATACACAATCTCATCGACCGACAAAAAATGGCGTTTTAACCATCAACTACTCCCCATATTCTGCTGATATGGCACCATGTGACTATTTCGATTTTCCAAAACAAAAAGTGTTTTGTTAATTTAACCTTGCCACAGACCTTTTATGGACACAATAACGTTTGTTCCTTCCGCAGATATGCAGGTTCTGTTGGCATCGGATCCGTACCGACGAGAATGGCCTGTGTCCGGCGTGTCGCAAGGCCTATTCTGAAAATCCGGCCGATTTTATACCGCTGTCTCAGGAGCAGGTCGCCAAGCTGAAGGCAGAGAAGAGGCAACGTGATCAGCAGCGCAAGGTACGTGGTGCAAGCATACATTCACGCCGGGGATCAAAATTCTTGATCCGATCAAAATGGGAGGCATCTTTCTAGTAATAAATCTGAAGAATATTGTCGATTTTTTTCATAATATAACGGCATCTAATTTTTTCGAATATTCACGTTGCTAAATCTTCGACTCGGACACTTGACCTAATACTTCCAACTTTAGTTTTTTGACTTCTATTTACCAAATAATTTTGTAAAATGTCTAATACTGATCCTTTAAAGCCATAGTGACACAATTTCATTAACAATCTTTCCCTATCTATAGTCTCAAATGCCCTTTTGAAGTCTAGAAATATTGTTACAATATATTTAGTGAGTAACAGATTATTTTGCATACACATAGCTTACAAAACATACTACCTGTTAAAGTATTTTTTTTAAAGTAGATAGATGAAAAGATCAACATTTGAACACTCTTATGGTGAGATAACTATCTTGCTTACAACCTACCATTTCCTTTCAAGTATTTTTTCAAATTTACTAACAACATTGAAGGCGTTGTTATAATTATCTGTTGTTTTTAGGCGAAGTTGAGCGAAAGCCGCAAGCATCTAGCTAGCGTGCGCGTCGTGCAGCGAAACCTCGTGTTCGTGGTGGGTCTGCCGATGCGCCTGGCCGAACCGGAAGTGCTCAAACGGCACGAATACTTCGGCAAGTTCGGCAAGATACACAAGGTGGTTATCAACCAATCCACGTCCTATGCTGGCTCTCAAGGACCTAGTGCAAGTACGTATTGCTCATTGTATGTGATAATACGAGTATTTATCGGCGAAACTAATCCTCTTCTGACACGAAACTGTACTAAACTAATGTTGAAAAGAACTTGTCTACATATTTTTGTCCCTCATAAAAATGTGCTTATATTCAGTCTTGTATTGTGTTCATTGCAGATAATGTAAAAACAAGGAATTTAGTTTTTCTACTAATAACGCATTTGTTTATGGAGCAATGAAGTATGAATCCGTTTTCTAAAGGTATTTAGATAAATATTCATATTTGTGTATATACTTTTGTCCATTACTGTACATACGTATATCAAAAAATTCGTCCGGTTTTCCGCGAATAGGAGGGTCATTTTTGTCAGGTTTACTAAAGAAAGTTTTGTTTCTCATGCAGGTGCCTACGTTACTTACATGAAAAGCGATGATGCTCTGAGAGCCATACAGAGCGTTAACAATATAACGATAGACGGTAGACTGATTAAATCCAGTTTAGGCACTACAAAATATTGTTCGCATTTTATGAAGAATCAACCGTGCCCGAAGCCCGACTGCATGTATCTGCATGATTATGGTAAGTCACGTGATTAATTCTTCCTCTCTTCGTTATGTCGCAGCTTTCTTAAAATTACTCTATTTGCTTGAATTTGTTCCAATAGAAAAACATAAAAAAATCGTAAGTCTTGTACTTTCCAAATTATAGGCTTCAAAAAAAAAAATCGGAAAAATCTACACCCTGTGATGACAGTTCTAGTATTACGACAATATTTTCTTAGACGGTGAATATATACTAAGTGACATATAAATCCGAACACCCAGTTTAAATGGTTTTATTTTAATAAAATTTTGCATTCTCCAACGCGCTTAGGCATGCTTCTGATCAGGTGGTCAATGTCCTCCTGTGTTATCTCATTCCAGGCAACCACCAACTCCTCTCGAAGTGCTTCTAGAGTCTGAGGAGGACGTTGCAAATTGAGCAATCTCCTACCCATCATATCCCACACGTGCTCAATTGGGGATAAGTCGGGAGATCTTGGTGGCCATAGTAACAATGTGACATCATTATGTTGAAAGAAGTCTATTGTGACTCTTGCAACATGTGGTCGGGCATTACCTTGTTGGAAAGTTGGATCTGCCAGGGTGTCAAGATAGGGTAAAAGATGGGGTTCTAGAACTTCGTGGATATAACGCTGCGCGTTCATGTTACCTCTGATGAAAATTAAAGGTGACCTGGAACCATAAGCTATAGCACCCCAAACCATAACTCCAACAGTGTGATGAACATGTCTTTCAACAAAAAACTGTGGATTCCTCCTTTCACCACGTCGCCTTCTAACCCTGGCACGACCATCGTGCATGCCTAAACAAAATCGAGACTCGTCACTAAAGACAATACTGTTCCATTCCTGATCCCAGAGTGACCGTTGTCTGCACCACTCAAGGCGATTACGTCGGTGTTCTCGAGTTAAAGGGAGGACCCAGTGTGGCCGGTATGGAAACAAGCCAAAACTTTTCATTCGTCGGTAAACACTTCGCATGCCAATAGGTCTTCCGTGTTCTGCAAACCATTCATTTGCAATGGACCTGGTAGTGGAGAAACGGTCCCTTAAGGCCAATAATCTTAGGCGGCGATCTTCACGGTCTGTTGTTCTACGGCGGCGTCCAGTGCCCCTTGCTCTTTGCGTACGGCCTTCTCGAAGCCATGCCTGACAACACCTAACCACAGTGTCTACACTTCTTTGCACTCTAACTGCACTTGCCCGAAAAGAAAGTCCAGCTTCCCGAAGTCCCACTATACGGCCCCTATCAAACTCACTAAGTTGACGAAATCGTACAGGTCTCCGTACTCTAATCCGCCAACGTTGATTCTTTACTGCGGCTGAAATATTTATTTTTAGAGCGTTAGTGAACTAAAAAAAAGCAGTATAAAAACCGGAATGTCCAACTGATAAGGCTGAACATTTTTTCACTTGTTATTTACAGTAAGATAAATACTTTCACCAACTTTTATTAAAATAAAACCATTTAAACTGGGTGTTCGGATTTATATGTCACTTAGTATATTTATTAGATCCACAATAAATGTTCAAACTTTCAAGCTTCTTGAAATGATCGGGCTATCAGACGCGCGAATCTTCCGTTATCAACAAATTCAGCTTCTTGTCACGTGTCTCGACTAAATTTTTGATTGGCTCTGAGTAAACTTTATCTTTCTCCGCTCCCCAGTAAAAAAAACGAGTGGATTTAAGTCAGGTGAACGGGCTGGTCACGGAATTGTACCAGACCACATCAAAATATTCTCTAACTGAAACCAGCCATCCTGGTACCTCATGTCTGCGGTACGTCTTCCGATAAATTCAGCAAATGATTTTGTAAAAAGCCTAAATAAATTTCGCCGTTCAAGAACTCTGGCAGCTTAAAGGGTACAATGATGATCCCATTTAGAATACTGGACTACATGTTTACTTTACAACGATTCTGTGATCTATTTTGTCTCATCGAATGTGGATTTTCAGCATGCCAGTCGTGTAGGTTGTGTTGATTCATGTAACCATTTATTTTAAATGTCGACAAAAATTTTCTCTAAAAATCTCGTATCTTCCCCGTGTCTCTGTCACATTGTTTGACAAAACTCAACTTTCGGAAGATAATCCCGCTGTCGTATAGATTGTCCTCGTGTACTGTCTAAGAAAACAATGAAATTTGTAGTAGTAGTAACTAAAAGATCACAGGGTGTATATTTTTCCATTTTTTTTTTCAAAGCCTGTAATTTGAACAGATGTTTTTTATACATTTCTGATACCTCACAAAATTCAAAATTTTAAGTGAAAATCAATATGGATTTACAGAAGGGAAGGCTACATCGGACGCAATAACTAAAATTGTAAATCAAATACATCAAAATATTGATAACAGAATCCCTTCAATCTGCATTTTTGTTGATTTAAAGAAAGCTTTCGACACAGTTAATCACAAATTATTATTAGAAGCATTGGAGAGAATTGGTTTCAGAGGAAACTCGTACTCACTGATCGAAAGTTATTTGTCAAATCGCCCACAATCTGTGCAGATATCAGGATCATTTAGTAAAGAAATGTATATTAAGTGTGTGTCCCACAAGGAACTGTCTTAGGTCCGCTCTTATTCAATATATATTTAAATGATATTTTCCAAATTAATTGTGTTGGCAAAATAACTAGTTTTGCAGATGATACTGCAATATTATATAAAGGCACTGACTGGTCTGATCTGAAAAATGTAATTGAAAATGATTTTATAAAAATTATTCGGTGGTTTAACAGTAGAAAATTAAGCATTAACTACTCTAAAACACATTTTTTACCATTTGGATCTTATGCTAGACATCTGCCAAATTACACAAATTTCTCCTTCAATATTAATGATCAAAAAATGCAAATTAATAGAGTGCCCAACATAAAATACCTAGGAGTGGTCTTGGATCCTCACTTACGATGGGACATCCATGTCAATTATATTTTAAAGAAAGTTAGATTTGTATCCTACAAAATTAAATACCTTGGGAATATATTGACAGAAAAATATCTTCGAACATTATACCATGCACTGATTGAGCTCATCTCACATATGGTATATTAGCATGGGGAGCTGGATGTTCCTCACATATCTATAATTTAGATGTTTTTCAAAAAAGTATTCTAAAAATGATATTTAAAAAACCGAAACTTTATCCCACTGAAAAATTATACGCAGATGTTCGAATGTATGATATAAGACAGCTTTATTTCTTACACAGTATCACACACTACCATAAATTTGTAAACACCGACCAAAAAATTAAACATAATCATTATACCAGGTACAAAATTCGTGGCACAGTGGTTTCTCAACCGCATAAATCTATAATGCAGCGATCATATCTCTATTTAGCGCCTAAATTTTATGAAATTATACCTAAAGACTTAAAAGATTTACGTTTCGGAAATTGTTTCAAAAGAAATTTAAAAAAGTGGCTACATTCTATATCTAGGACTGAAATTCATAAACTCATAAATACGAACATCAGCTAAATACATAATCTACTGTAGCTAATTTTTGTCCTTTTTGTCATTTGCATTCTACAGTTTCAACTTAAATTTATTGGTCCATTTACAGGCGATGCCTTCTATTGGGTCTGTTTTGATTTTATATTTAGTTACTCATATTTTTTGTTACCTTTGTACATTGAGTGAATAAATATTATTATTATTATTATTACTTATATTGACTAGGTCTGTACCCCGTTTATGGCTTAACGCCGACTTCACTAATGAAAAATTGACGCAAGACTTTTCTTCCTGGCACGATCCATATTCTTGTAGATAATGCCTTTTTAAATATAAATATTTTGTCTCTCCTATATTTCTTGGACTATATCTTGTTTTCAACATCTCCGGCAAAAGGTGATGCCGAAGCCAGTTTCACGAAAGAGCAAATGCATGCCGGCAAGCATCAGGAGTACGAGAAGAAGTTGCACGAAAACTTCGCGACGCGCATGAACCAACAGCAGCAGGCTGCGAGCATATGTGACGGTAAGAATTCCGCCAGCACTCCAATACCGACGGCAGACGCGAATAGTAAAGGTGAGCATTCTTTTACAGTTTCACCGACTGAACTTTTCAGACTGATAACACTGATCAACAAAATTTTAACTTTGTCGTGCCACACGGACTTTTTTGATATTTTTTACTTTGATTAGTGATTGTAAGAAAAAATAAACAGTTAAAAAAAATTTGCTAGACAAGGATTTTATTCTATTGAGTAATTTAAAATATTAAGAAAAAACACAGATCTCGTAAATCAAAAGTTATTTTTTTTTATAAATGACTTAATAATCTAAGATTTTATTGAATATTTAGCTTCTGGTTGGTCCCTTTTAATTGTCCAGCAGTAATCTGCTAACATATTTGGGCTCCATTTGCCCTGGTACCGCTTTTCCATATTAGAAATGTCCTGATCGAACCTCTCACCGTGCTCGTCGCTGACAGCCCCTAAATTGTCAGGAAAAAAATCCAGGTGCGAGTCTAAAAAATGGATCTTAAGTGACATGTTGCAACCCAATGCTTGTTATGACAATAATAGCTCGCTAACCAACTCTCTGTAGCTGTCACTCTTGTGGTTACCCAAAAAATTTGAAACAACATTTTTAAAAGCCTTCCATGCAGATGTTTCTAAATCGCTTAATTTTTCTTCAAATCTTGAATCTTTTATTAACTCCCTAATTTGAGGGTCAACAAAAATACCCTCTTTTATCTTTGCATCACTTATTTTAGGGAATTTTTCTTTTAGATACAAAAATCCACTCCCATTGCGATCCATTGCCTTCACAAATTTTTTTATTAATCCTAATTTGATATGCAATGGTGGTAGAAGCACATTATTTGGCTGTACAAGGGGTAAATACTTTAGGTTTTTTTGCCCAGGAACTAACGATGCTCGCGTAGGCCATGTTTTTTTTATATAGTGATTAGTTCTGTCTCGGCTATCCCATTCACATAAAAAGCAGCAAAACTTTGCATAACCCAGCTGAAGTCCAAGTAATAGTGCAACAACTTTAAGATCACCGCAGATTTTGAAGGAATATGTACTGTAATTTATTTTTTCAAGTAAAAGTTTCATATTTTCATAGGTTTCTTTCATATTTGCAGCATGGACCAGAGGTACAGACGGAAGCTTATTTCCATTATGCAATAACACTGCTTTTAGACTTGCTTTCGAAGAATCAATGAATAAACGCCACTGAGAGAGATCAAAATCTATGTCCAACATTTTCATAATCTCATTTATGTTATTGCAAAACACCAAATCTCCATTCTGAGAAAAATACGTTCTGAAGTGTTGATCACGGTTTCGAAAATAGCTAACTTTTGTATTATGATGTAGCAAATTCCATTCTTTTAGACGTGATCCTAATAGTTCTTACTGCTTTTTTGACAAATTTAAATCCCGAACCAAATCATTTAGGTCTCCTTGAGTTATCAAATGTGGCTCGTTTACAATTCCTTTTAATCAAAGTCATCGTCCTCGTCAACACATTCACCTGAAGTGGACGGTTGTGAATTGTTCTCAACAGACGTAGTTGCAACTGGTATTAGTTCAGGCAATTTTTTACAATGAGAGACTGGTCTTAAAAAAAATATATAAATATTATATATATAATATAAAGCCGAAGATAAGTTAGGGTAAATAACTGTGGTTTTTTTCTTGTAATTTATACCTTTTATGTCTGTGAGACAAAAATAGCAATCTGAAACGTGATCTCGCTGTTCAGTCCATATTATGGGTACAGCAAACGGCATAGGTCGTGCACCTTTCTTCCAGTCAGTTAAATTTTTCACACACGTTATGCAACAGACATGAGGGGCCCAGGATTTGTCTTGATGGGCGACAGAAAAACCAAAACATTGGTGATAACACTCCAACACAAGATTCGTAAAATTTCGTCGTTGTTTTTTGAATGTTAGTTCTCCGCAGACATAACAAAAAGAGTTAGGATCATTATTACACTTTCTCGACATATTCACAGGGTTAATAAATCACAAAAAAGTGTTCAAATTCAACAACAAATATTTTTATAAGGATTTACTTGTAAGCGTTTCTGTTAATTTACTGCCGTAGTACTAGTTATGAGTATTACCGTATCACAACAAATATGAGGCTAATAGACATATGACAGCTGTCATGTAATAATGAGGGTAGACTGATAAAACAAAATTAGCTGTCAAAGTTCGTGTGGCAAAACCAGTGTTGACCAGTGTAATACAAAGTTATAATTACAGGGTTTGTCGGGAAAGTAATAATAATAAAAAAAATTATCGAGCCAATCGTTACAATTCTTAAAAAACTTTCAAAATAGGCTCATTCTGCGTCGATGCAGCGCTGCCAGCGCGATTTCCAAGCATTGAAGGCAAAATGCTTGCCTTTCATCGGCCTTTTCAGGCGAGGAAACAAAAAAAAGTCCGGGGGGCCACATCTGGGTTGTAGGGCGGCTGCGGAAGCGTTGGGATGCAGGCCTTGGTCAGGTAGCGGTGTGAGCCGGGGCGTTGTCGTGGTGCAACTTCCAGTCGGCTGCGCTGTCTTGTCGGACCCGACTGACCCTTCGTTTGAGTCTCCTGAGCACTTCCACGTAAAACTTGGCGTTGACGGTTTATCCAGGAGGATGGTGGACGATGCCTTTGATGTCAAAAAAGACAATGAGCATCGTTTTCACTTTGGATTTGTTCCTTCTTCCCTTTTTCGGGCGAGGAGACGCCGTCGTGTGCCACTCGGAAGATTGCCGCTTTGTCTCGGGATCATACTCAAAGATCCACGACTCGTCACCTGTGATTACGATATTCAAAAATTGGGGGTCACTTTCACACATGTTCAAATTTTCTTGGCAAACTTCCACTCGCCGCAATTTCTGGTCGTCAGTGAGCCCTTTTGAGACCATCTTCGCGCACACCTTGCGCATATTCAAATGCTGTGTTACAATGTCATGAACCACAGATTTTGGTAAATTTAACATCCGAAGTACAGTCATGGCGGAAGAAAATGAGTCCTATTACTTTCCGAACAAACCCTGCACGTTAATTCTCCAAAAAAATAGGTTAAAATGATTGCATGACCGATTTAAAAAAGGTTATACAAAGGGTACTATAAAAGTTTTGCAATACATTTCTCCATCCGCCAAAAGCACTCCTTGAACCAGCTCTGCCAAATTTCACCCGGCAGTGCGGCACACTGGAGATATTGTCCAATTAGATTCTGAAAACTCACCCTGTATGTTTAATTTGCTACAGCAGTTACGTCGTCGGATAGCTTGAGCATTCTTAAAACTTCAACACTTCTGGCTACTATTTCAAATTCACTCTTATGCGCTTTTCGGCAAAAATGAACGATTATTTGCTATAACCAATTAACTGTTGCAACGTACTACTAAATTGCATTCTTCAATTATTACATTAATTTTCTCGGACAATAGAACGGTTTTTATTTTTTTACTCAAAAATGACGCATTGAAGGAAAACAATTCAAGAAAGATCATTTGTTTTAATTTGAACGGGGAATCCAAAAATAATTTTTATTCAGCAAAAAACCATTGGCGTACCATTTTTTTCTTTAAAAATATCGAAGTCAATACCCGTACGCACGCCACTGTTAAAGCTAAAAATTATTTTTGCATTGAAAAATATGCAACTTTATTAACTTTCACTACGTACTAAGTATCAGTGAAATATCTGAAGCGGTTCTGAATATATTAATTAATTTACATTTTTTTTTTCCTAAAACTTCAACACCCCGAGTTTTTATAAGGAAACATTTTAGGACCATAGTTTATAAGCAAACTAACATTAATTTGTCATGTAGATTCACACCCTCAAATATTCGCATATCATTAAGGAACATCCTATAAATGAAATGCAAATATACTAAGTGACATATAAATCCGAACACCCAGTTTAAATGGTTTTATTTTAATAAAATTTTGTATAAGTACTTAATGAAGCATAATAAGTAAATGATAAAAATTTCAAAATGATTGCACTGCTTTAAAGCCCTTTGACCTTTAATAATGTGTGGATGCACCCTGATGTGCTACGCATTCTCCAACGCGCCTAGGCATGCTTCTGATCAGGTGGTCAATGTCGTCCTGTGGTATCTCATTCCAGGCAACCACCAACTCCTCTCGAAGTGCTTCTAGAGTCTGAGGAGGACGTTGCAAATTGAGCAATCTCCTACCCATCATATCCCACACGTGCTCAATTGGGGATAAGTCGGGAGATCTTGGTGGCCATGGTAACAATGTGACATCATTATGTTGAAAGAAGTCTGTTGTGACTCTTGCAACATGTGATCGGGCATTATCTTGTTGGAAAGTTGGATCTGCCAGGGTGTCAAGATAGGCTAAAAGATGGGGTTCTAGAACTTCGTGTATATAACGCTGCGCGTTCATGTTACCTCTGATGAAGATTAAAGGTGACCTGGAACCATAAGCTATAGCACCCCAAACCATAACTCCAACAGTGTGATGAACATGTCTTTCAACAAAAAACTGTGTATTCCTCCTATCACCACGTCGCCTTCTAACCCTGGCACACGACCATCGTGCATGCCTAAACAAAATCGAGACTCGTCACTAAAGACAATACTGTTCCATTCCTGATCCCAGTGACCGTTGTCTGCACCACTCAAGGCGATTACGTCGGTGTTCTCGAGTTAAAGGGAGGACCCAGTGTGGCCGGTATGAAAACAAGCCAAAACTTCTCATTCGTCGGTAAACACTTCGCATGCCAATAGCAATTTGCAATGGACCTGGTAGTGGAGAAACGGTCCCTTAAGGCCAATAATCTTAGGCGGCGATCTTCACGGTCTGTTGTTCTACGGCGGCGTCCAGTACCCCTTGCTCTTTGCGTACGGCCTTCTCGAAGCCATGCCTGACAACACCTAACCACAGTGTCTACACTTCTTTACATTCTAACGGCAATTGCCCGAAAAGAAAGTCCAGCTTCCCGAAGTCCCACTATACGGCCCCTATCAAACTCACTAAGTTGACGAAATCGTACAGGTCTCCGTACTCTAGGCATCGTAACCGATCGTAAAGGATGTCAAAAATCAAAATCCGCCAACGTTGATTCTTTACTGCGGCTGAAATATTCATTTTTAGAGCGTTAGTGAATTAAAAAAAAGCAGTATAAAAACCGGAATGTCCAACTGATAAGGCTGAAAATTTTTTCACTCGTTATTTACAGTAAGATAAATACATTGACCAACTTTTATTAAAATAAAACCATTTAAACTGGGTGTTCGGATTTATATGTCACTTAGTATAGAAAGAAACATATCAGGTTCCTACTCTCACTTTTCAACTGGAACACGGCGGCCTCTTGCAGGTAGTTCCAGTTCGAAGTCGTCCAAAGAGAACGTCGCGTTGTCGAGTTCGGTCAGCAGCACCAGCAGCAGTACCGGTTCGAACGGCGGCGGCACTAACAAGGAAAACTGGCCGCATTTGAATAACGGCGTGGGCGAGAAAGACAAAGAGTCGAGCAAGAAGGAGAGAGGCGGGAAAAAGAGCAAGACGAAAGAAGGAAAAAAAGAGCGGAAAGACGGCGGCGGGACGAGGGAAGGCGGTCGATCGGCGGCGAAGCAGGATGGCGAGAAGACGGACGGTACGTTATATTTTACTTTATGCAGGGTGTCCGCAAAGTTGGGGTTTTCCTTTACACGACGTGTAGATCTTGAAAACATAAGCGATTTTTCTTAGTACCATATACACCAATGTCTTAAGGGAACCGAGATAAAGGGCTCTGCAACATCAAAAATATCTGAATACCGTCCTGTAGCCGCGACATCCCCGAGTGGTACTAGGACACTAGCTCAACCCGACGACAGAACTGGGTCGGGGTCAGTGTGTCAGGTCAGTATGCAACCTTCAACCGACGGTTACGGTCACGCGTGTAGAGGTAATCGCGTAGACGAGAATCCTCAACAAGCACTAAAGACGTGGCTAGAGAAGTGCAAGTATCAAAAACTAAAGTGTGGCAAACGCTGCGTGAAGAGGGGCTGTATCCGTTTCACGTCCAACGTGTACAAGCCCTTCAGCCTGACGATTTTCCAGCAAGTTTTGTGAGTGGTTGTTGCATCAACATGACAATAATCCGGACTTTTTGAAGTGCATATTGGTGACAGACGAATCTACGTTCACGCGTAATGGGGTGAATAACTTTCGCAACACTCATGTTTGGTCAGTAGAAAATCCGCACGCTGTCCGTCGGGCACATTTTCAACAAACATTTTCGGTGAATGTTTGGGCTGGCGTGGTGAACCATTGGACCATTTATTCTCCCAAATCGATTGGACGGGATGCAATACCTAGACTGTTTACGCAACATTTTGCCTTCCTTGTTAGAAGATGTGCCATTAAGTGTAAGACAATCAATGTGGTTTCTGCACGATGGTGCACCGCCTCATTTTAGACGCGAAGTGCGTGAGTTTTTGAATGAATTATTTCCGAATAGGTGGATCGGACGTAATGGACCCGTAGCGTGGCCTCCGCGATCTCCAGACTTAACACCATGTGATTTTTTTCTTTGGGGAGGAATGAAACGCTTAGTGTACAAAACTGAAGTGCATACGGTTGACTAACTTCGTCTCGGAATTGAACAAGCTGGTGCTTTCATTCGGGGGAGGGACTCCATTCTCAAAGCCTGCACCGATGCTTGGCTACGTCGTGCACGCACCTGTGTTTTTGAATCAAACGGCGATAACTTCGAACGATACCTATAAAGTACGTTTACCTAAAAACTGAAAACGCGGCAACGCCGTCATATTTGTTACCGCTGTTCGTGGTCTGCAACACCGCCTGCGTCTGCTCGGTAGCGCATCAGCTGATTTCATTTTCTGTTGGAGCGGTATGATTTCGGGCAGAGACGTACTTAGCCCCAACTGGAGAGTGAGTACTTTTTCCTTTATTTTTTTTTACTTGGTCTTCCTCGTTTCACTACACATTACCTTTGTTATTTCAAGGGTAGTTGTTTCTGAAAAGAAAAAACCCAACTTTGCGGACACCCTGTATTTTCAATGTTTTTGTGCAAAAACCAGTGACCAGTCTTCTGGTAACAAGGCCTGCACTCGATGTACATGGTAGGGATAAAGCAAATTGTCCCGCAGGATTCTATGGACTATGGTATGCGATCGTCATACGCGGCGGCCTAACTCCCGAGTGCTGATATCTGCATTGGTTTCCACGATATTTGAAATTTGTTCCTCCTGCTCTACAGTAACCTGTCTTTAACGAGTGCGAATATTAGTGGGCTGAACACTTCCTGTATCTCGAAGTTTTTGGTACACTTGCACAAATGTCCTTCTGTCTGGGTGTACCCGTAGGCGAAATCTTTCGCGATAAACTGAGCTGCAAGATTTGATTTCTGCTTCACCGTAAACTAACATGTCGGCGAACTCTCGATTCGAGAACATTGTAAGTAAACACGACGACGTACGCGAACAAAAACAAAACAACATACTAACCACTGTTACCGTTTGCGATCGATTGCCGGTTCGATAAGAGTGAGAAAGACCGACGCGCTGCTATCATGTGTGTTTTAAATATTTAATTTAGTGAAACTTACTACAAATTTTGACTTAGAAAAACTTAATGCCATTTATTTTTTAATTACCCAGTTTAAAAACGTTTTAGATTAGATTATAAAAATTAGTATGATTGTGGCACTTAAAGTTGTAAACTATAAAGCCATTTAGATAAAAATCTATCGACTTTTGGACCATGGGTCATATGAACTTTTTGACTTGATTTGACCCCCCCCCCCCCCCTATTACCCATTTCAATAATGACTACCATAACGTTTACACCCTGTATTTGAATAAAACCTCGCAGTTGTTCTCCATGGTGTGTAAAATTCGTATTTTTAAGTAAATATTTTTTGTTTGTTTCAGTTAAAGACCCTACAAATTCGGCGCGCACTGGTGGGGGCGGTAGTACTTCGCCGTGTTCACCGGACCACACATCCACCACTCCGCCCCCTGGTTCGACCACGCCGACTTTGCTTCAACAAAGGCTGCCGTCAACCTCAGCTGCCTCAGAACAGGTTAGTCGACTTTTTAGCATTCCTTTCTTGTATTGAAATGCATTGAGTATACCTAAGACACTTTTCATATAAAGATTGGATCTATTCCATTTTATTTTCAACATTTGGTTGGCTCTCGGCTATCTGTGAAGAAGACTGTTGAACCGACTAAAAACTCCACACAAATTGAAATTATAGTAAAATTATTTAAAGGAACTCTTACAATTTTTGTGGAATGCATTGAGTTATTGCCTACTATTTAAATTTGTGTTACAGACTCAACATTTGTTACATCAAACGCTCACAACCTCCACATTATTAAAACTACCCTCTTCGGTGCTGGTGGACGATAATAGTAGCTTTTTCTCGGCGAATGCCTTTCAGAAAGCTGTTCATACGGAAGACGGAAGGCCAGATGAAAACGCGGATGAGGAAGTAAGTTGATTATTGGTTGTTTGGTAATTAATAATAACACTGATCAACAGCCGAAAAATATCCTAAATAAAATCAACAAAATATTACTATTTTTAATGTGCTAAAACCGGAATGAAACTTATTTTTTCAATATTAGTTCAAGTTTTAGAGATACGGTAATTATATGTGTTCCTTCTGTGACAGTGTTCATATACTGTAATTCACAAGAATGCACGTGCTACATTTTTATATTCGGCAAGGAACGATGATGTAATCGGCATGATTGTGTTACGTTATACATACGTGTACATTATATTGTTTTATATTAGCCATTTTTTCCTCAGTTGGCTGACAGCGTTCATGCAAGATGTCTCGAAAGTGTGTAAACAATCCAGATCAGTTTTGTTACGTGTGTGGTGATGTGACTTTTGCGTCTCGGAGACGGTCTATTACTCCACTAATAACAAAGGCATGTCAGCTTTATTTCGGTTGTAAACTAGGTGATCAAGACGAACAGTGGGCATCCCACATCTGCTGTAATACATGTGCTTCAAGTCTGAGGAGCTGGTTAAATGGCAAAAAACGGTCTATGCGCTTTGCTGTCCCAATGGTTTGGAGAGAGCCTACAAATCATATTAATGATTGTTACTTTTGCATGGTACCTTGTGTTGGACAAGCCACAGGTATGTCCAAGAAAAAAAAAATTGGTTATTAACTACCCAAACATACCATCTGCGATGAGACCTGTGCCTCACAGTGACGAAAATCCTATTCTAAAACCCCCAGAATCCTACACTTGCGAATCAGAAAACGAATCAGATCATGGCGATCGAGTGATTCGTCAGGAAGAAGATATGCCTTCAACGTCAAAAGATCCTGATTTTATACCGAGCACGTCATGCCACCAACCGCACAAAATAACACAGTCAGAATTAAATGATCTTGTAAGAGATTTAGAACTTCCAAAATGTAAGGCAGAGTTACTTGGATCAAAACTGCACCAGTGGAACTTGTTAGAAGACGATGTTTCGGGATGTGTTTTTCGTAAACCATTTTTCAATATGGAGAATAACTTTAAATATAAACTATAACCCAGAAGAATGGAGATTGTTTATAGACAGTTCAACATTGAGTTTAAAGGCAGTGTTATTGCATATTGGAAATATTTTACCATCTCTTCCAGTAGGGTATGCAGTTCACATGAAAGAATCATATGACAATATGAAGTACCTATTGACATGCATAAAATACGATGAGCACCAATGGCATATTTGTGGCGATTTGCAAGTTGTTGCACTTTTACTTGGGCTGCAGCTAGGCTACACAAAGTTTTGCTGTTTTTTGTGTGAATGGGACAGTCGGGCAAAGGCACTTCATTACACCAGACAAAACTGGCCTGTTCGTCAATTCCTAGAGCCAATTCAAAAAAATGTACAGCATATGCCATTAGTAGATTCGAAAAAAATTTTATTACCACCACTGCATATCAAGTTGGGCCTAATGAAAAACTTTGTCAAGTCATTAGATAGAGATGGCACAGCTTTTCAATACCTGCGTCAGAAATTTCCAAGACTAAGTGAGGCAAAGGTTAAAGAAGGTATTTTTGTTGGGCCACAGATTCGAAATATTTTGAAAGATACACAGTTTGAAAACACTTTAACAGGTACTGAAAAAACTGCTTGGAATGATTTCCGTCTGGTGGTCACTAATTTCTTGGGAAATAGAAAAGCTGACAACTATAAAACCCTTGTCAAAAATATGCTGTCATCGTATCAAAAGATGGGCTGTAATATGTCTCTTAAGATACATTTCCTACACTCACACCTGGACTTTCTTCCTGACAATTGCGGAGCCGTAAGTGAAGAGCACGGCGAACGTTTTCATCAGGATATTTCAACAATGGAAAAAAGGTACCAGGGAAAGTGGAATCCTTCCATGCTTGCAGACTACTGTTGGACTCTTGGTAGAGAAGCTCCAGAAACGATCCATAAAAGAACAGCAAAAAGACAGCGCATATAGTGATTCTTATAAGTATATGAATCTTGTTACTTTTTTTAATATATCCTTAAAAATAAAAAGTTTTTTTTCTAAACCGCAACTATTTTTTTTATTTCATTGTCATTTTTGGATTCAGCGCCCCAAAATTAACAAAGAAGTGCACTTTTCCCACAAGATACAATTAAAAAACTAAAATTTGTTGTCCAGTGTAATTGGGGAGAGAGCGGCTAGTGGTAACATTTTTTCTTTCTTTTGATGGAGTGACTAAACTATTATTTGAATTGAAAATGGCTTCCGAGTAATCATACATTTGAAAATACAGGGTCTTTTTAAAGTTGAGTCATTTAATTTAGCTGCTTGTAGGTCTCGTTAAAAGGAATTGATATACCAAAAATTACCTACATAAAAGTGGGAAAGTTCACATTTCAAATTTGAGTTACGCGGCAACCCTACACGCGAGGAAGTGGTTTTGATCGACACGTTCGGCGTGCGGGTTAAATAGTCACAATGGAAAGTTGGACCGAAGCGCAACGTACTTCTGCAATCGAGGCTTACTTTAAGAGTGGTGATTCATACGCAGTTGCCCTTCGGAAATTTTGAACACGATACAACGTTCGCCGACCAAGAGATGCCGCAAGTAAGAACCTATTGAAAAAGTGGCCCCACATCTACTGTATCAACAGAAGAAAACGTGCGTCGAGTAAGTGATTCGGTCATTGCAAATCCTCGGCGTTCTGTCCGGAAGCATTCCGCTGCTTTGAGAATCCCTAGGTCAACACTGCATGGCATAATGAGGAAAAAAATTAGTTTTCATCCTTATATATTACGGAAATCCTGTGTTTAACGGATGTTGAATCTTTTTCCTACGCAGCGCAGACTCGAGAACGATGTTTACAGTGACGAGGCCCATTTGCAAAATTGCAGATATTGGGCACCAACGAACCCAAAAGAGAAACAACAGCTACATAGTCCAAAGGTTATTGTTTGGTGCGGCATATCCTCCAGCGGTATTGGACCGTATTTCTTTGAAGATGAAAACGGTCAATTCCGATCGATACAAGGACATGATTGATACTTTTTTGTAAGAACAGAACGTCGATTTAACAAAAACACATGGTTTCAACAATAAACTTCCAGAGGATCGATGGACACGGTGAAAGCACTTTTTCCTCGGAAAGTAATATCGAGGTTTGGAGACATTTACTGGCCTCCTAGGTCACCCGACCGCACGCCATGCTATTATTTTTTGTGCGGTTATCTAAAGTCAAAAGTGTATTCCTATAATCCACGAACACTGGACGAGCTTAAGGCCACAATCGACGAGAAATAAACATCACTCCGGAACTCTGCAAGATAGTAGTTCAGAATTTGCGCGCGCGATTGAAAACATTTGGACGAAATGATATTCAAGAAATAAAATACGCCGAATTTTTTTTTATAAATCAAAAAGTCAACTTTTCCACTTATCGTTTTCTGTAGCAATTCCATTTGCTCCGAAATCGCGTATGTTCCAGTGACAAAATAGTTTTCCCTGCATTAATGTAAGTTCCTGTAATGCTTCTCGAAGTTTTAGAAAACGCAATAACCGGTGAAAATCGTAATGTATAACTTTGAACATAACCTCGTCACAAGCAACCCGTCTGGAAAATGATCAGTAACAGAAAAAAATGTTCCTTTTCCAGGAACGCAGCCGGAATAGTGGACATCACAACCACCTTTACAATATAGGACACAGCCAGCATCACGATGCGCTATTCACAGATTGTCTGCCGGACATCGAAACGCAAGAGGATTGGGCGGCGGCTTTCGGCTTTGCCAGGGGGGTCGATAACGGATCTGGGTTACTTTCTGATGATATAGGTAAGATGAGTATACATGACATACGATACGTATACTTTATCTGAACTCACTTGAAACACTGTGAAATACCGGGTGCGTTTTATATATCTATATTTAACACGCTCTGTTGCTGCAAAAATCGCTAAATTTCGCAGCAAATATCCCCCGTATAAAATCAAAGGCAGTTTCACCAGTCCACGTGGAGTAAAGCACGCCTATGCGTGGACATAGCCAATGAGAAAGCGGGTATTTCAGAGCTCCGAACAAGTGCAGGTGGCTAATGAAAATTGAAACAGTTTAGACAGTGCCGTGTAGCGGTGAATAAACGTGTTTTCTTTAGTCTGTCCGTGTTTTTTCATAGATTTTATTAGTTTGTGTGTTTTTGACTTTTGAATACTCAGTTTACTTGTTGATTTAATTGTTGTGTTGATTGTTCTTGTGTGTCCTAAATATGGCTCTTTGGAGACCTTGGGAAAATGCTCCAAGCCACGAGGAGATGGTTGATGAACCTGTGCAGGCAGAATTCTTTCATAAAGATTTAGAGGAACAGACCCAAAGAGTAATCCTAAATATGTATGATTGTCTGAAAAACGAAAATCCAGATTCCTCGCAAAATCAAATTTTAAACAGAATTTGTATCCTGACAAAAATCAGTCGGTCTACCATTTATCGGGTTATAAAAAGGAGAGATGTAGTCAACCATTCCTTCCACAGAAAGCGCATAGGGCAAAAATTAAAAAGAATAGACGTGGGTTTTCAGGAAGATATTCGTCGTATAATATACGGATTTTATAAAGAAAATTTGGTGCCCACGTTGGAAATGATACGGGATAAATTAAAAGATTATCCTGAAGATTTTTATAATTACAAATGCTTAGACTCACTGCACTGTATTGTAAAACTGTGTGATTTTCAATACAAAAAATTAGATAAAAGAATGGTGATTATGGAGTCGTCTCAAATCGTTGAATTGCGCCAAGAATTTTTGCACAAAGTTAAAATCTATAGAGAGCAGAAAAGAAATCTGATTTACCTGGATGAAACGTGGTATGATACCCATGATGTTGTGCAGTACGGCTGGGTTGACGACAGCAACAAGTGCATTTTAAATGCACCATGCAACCGTGGAAAACGAATCATTATTCTCCATGGTGGCAGTGAAAATAGATTTATACCTAATGCCTTGCTGTTATCTGCCAAAAATATCAAAGAATCATGTGCCGACTATCATGAGGACATGACCTCGGACTTATTTGAAAAGTGGATAGAGTAGCAGTTAATACCAAACATTTCCCCAAATTCAGTGATTATTATGGACAATGCGCCATACCATTCCCGACAGAAAAACAAAATTCCGAATACAGGCACAAAAAAACAAGACATTATTGATTTTATAAAGGATAAGGGAATGGAAATACCACAAAAATCAACCAAAGCCATATTATTGGATCTTATTAAAAGACAAAAATTTGAAAAAGAGTATGTTGTTGACAATCTGCTTCAGCAAAATGGCCATGAAGTATTACGTCTACCTCCCTATTACTGCATTTTTAACCCGATTGAGTTGGTCTGGGCTGCTTTAAAAAAAAAGTAAGAAAACATAATCAGACCCCTCAATTAAGTGAATCGCTATTGGCCACAATAAGAGATGCAGTATCTCATATTGCTGCCACAGACCTATGGAAGCAGTGTTCTAGGCATATTATTGAAAAAGAAAATGAATATTGTGTTTTGCCTCCCGTAAATCCCGTTGTAATTCCTCTACAAGATGACTCTAGCGACAGCTCCGAAGGCGAGGATGATATATAAATACCTATAATGTAAGTCTTTATATACCTTTTTATATACCTACCTGCTATGTAAATATTTGCCTATGTCAAACGTTGGAATTCTGTAATTTTTCCATTTCTTAACTTTCAGTCAACATAAATTAAACTCCCAATATAAGTATTTTTTATCCCAAATCAAAAAAATAAGAAGATAGTAAAATCCATTTATTGTGATATAAAAACATTATTATTATCGTTCTAAATAAATGCCGCACGCCTATGATACGTCATGAAATTACAAAGGACGCGCCGACCAAAGGTTTTTATGCTATTTCAAGTGACTTCAGATACACCATACTTAGCCTACAACATAAAAACGACAATAGGAAGGTTCGCCATTTTTTTTTATTTTTACTCAAATCGAGAGATTTTGTTATTAAAAAGCGATAAAAAAATTGAACAAAAAATATTGATATTTACGTGGACTAAAAGCATTTCAAAATCGTATCGGCGCGAGGCTGGAAAACGTACGTGTCCGCGAGACTAAACTGAATCCAAATTCAAGATGAGATGTAAATAATAACAGTTAGCGCGTGATCTCTCGGTATCAGGTGGGGACAACGCCTCTTATTGGTCAATTCGCCATTAAATTTCAAGCGATCGCCTGGCGGAATAATGCGCGGGGCAGGGGCAGGGCAGGCAGAGTTGGATTCAGGCCACCGACCGTCGCGTGTATCACTGCGTGCTCGTGTTTTCGTATTCACCTTGCTTGGTTGTTGCTGTTGTTAAGTGTATTTGAGTAATTTGTTAAGTTTGTTTTACAACACGTTGATGGTAATCCATCATTCATATCATGAATGCGGCCCTGTACGCCGTCCTTGCATCCATTCTATCTTGGGTGTAAATACACTATAGCTAGCGAACACGTGCACATTCTGGCCCCACCTTAGAGATCCGCCCGGTGGTACCTCCACGTCCGTCTACCGCCTACGAACTGCATCGTTCGTCGCGTTAGCAAGTCTAACGATATCCTTCGCTGTCTAGGCAAACGTGGCGATCTCAAGTCGCCGCTAGACACATCCTGCAACGGCTTCACGAATACTCTGAGCGGACCGGAGACGGGCGGGTTCGCAAAGAAGACGGACCAGTTTGCGAGCGCCCCGAACGGTTTCTACGACCTGAACGCGTCTACGGCTGCTGCGAAGCTGAACATGCTGGACATGCTGATGGCTGGCGCCGTTAAGAACGGTTTCGGTAGCAACGCCGGCGTACAACAACATCCCCAGCCGCCTAACGGCCTAGATCAGACCATGAACAAGTTCTTTACGGACTTCCAGAAGAATAATAAGGTGAGGCATAATAATTTGTAAATACGTTTTTTGAAACTATACTAAGTGACATATAAATCCGAACACCCAGTTTAAATGGTTTTATTTTAATAATATTTTGTATAAGTACTTAATGAAGCATAATAAGTAAAAGATAAAAATTTCAAAATGATTGCACTGCTTTAATGCCCTTTGACCTTTAATAATGTGTGGATGCACCCTGATGTGCTACGCATTCTCCAACGCGCCTAGGCAAGCTTCTGATCAGGTGGTCAATGTCCTCCTGTGGTATCTCATTCCAGGCAACCACCAACTCCTCTCGAAGTGCTTCTAGAGTCTGCAAATTGAGCAATCTCCTACCCATCATATCCCACACGTGCTCAATTGGGGATAAGTCGGGAGATCTTGGTGGCCATGGTAACAATGTGACATCATTATGTTGAAAGAAGTCTATTGTGACTCTTGCAACATGTGGTCGGGCATTATCTTGTTGGAAAGTAGGATCTGCCAGGGTGTCAAGATAGGGTAAAAGATGAAGATTAAAGGTGACCTGGAACCATAAGCTATAGCACCCCAAACCATAACTCCAACAGTGTGATGAACATGTCTTTCAACAAAAAACTGTGGATTCCTCCTTTCACCACGTCGCCTTCTAACCCTGGCACATCCATCGTGCATGCCTAAACAAAATCGAGACTCGTCACTAAAGACAATACTGTTCCATTCCTGATCCCAGAGTGACCGTTGCCTGCACCACTCAAGGCGATTACGTCGGTGTTCTCGAGTTAAAGAGAGGACCCAGTGTGGCCGGTATGAAAACAAGCCAAAACTTCTCATTCGTCGGTAAACACATGCCGCATGCCAATAGGTCTTCCGTGTTCTGCAAACCATTCATTTGCAATGGACCTGGGAGTGGAGAAACGGTCCCTTAAGGCCAATAATCTTAGGCGGCGATCTTCACGGTCTGTTGTTCTAACCTAACCACAGTGTCTACACTTCTTTGCACTCTAACTGCAATTGCCCGAAAAGAAAGTCCAGCTTCCCGAAGTCCCACTATACGGCCCCTATCAAACTCACTAAGTTGACGAAATCGTACAGGTCTCCGTACTCTAGGCATCGTAACCGATCGTAAAGGATGTCAAGAACCAAAATCCGCCAACGTTGATTCTTTACTGCGGCTGAAATATTCATTTTTAGAGCGTTAGTGAATTAAAAAAAAAGCAGTATAAAAACCGGAATGTCCAACTGATAAGGCTGAAAATTTTTTCACTTGTTATTTACAGTAAGATAAATACATTCACCAACTTTTATTAAAATAAAACCATTTAAACGGGGTGTTCGGATTTATGTCACTTGGTATATGTCAAGCACCAATTGGAACTGAAGGTTATCAAATTGTAAGAACAGACGCAATTTCCAGGCATACAGATGGTATATTATACAAAGGGTACTGTAAGATTTTTGCAATAAACGGACGCAAGAGGCTGCACGTTGAGACATGTCCATGAGTGCATAGTAGTCGCCAGCAGCGCGTCTTTTGATTTAGTTGTTCATTCGTATTGACAGAGTAAAATAGGGACTATGGCATCGTGTTACGTAGTGAGACAAGGGCAGTTTTACGGTATAACTTTACGCGTGGTTTAAGCAGTGCTTAGAAGAAATGACGCTTTCGTTAAACAATGATTGTCCTCGTCGTACGACTATATTCAGGTGGTACAGAGAATTTCACTCGGGAGGACGCTGATAGGGCGCGAACGTCAGTAACAGAGGAAACAATTTTGCATGGCCATTTACACATAAGGAAACTTGGTTATCTCTGCATAGTATGACGGAAGAGCAGAAGACTCGTCGTACGACTTGGTGCCGAAAGATGCTGAAAATGTTTGATAAGTGGCAATCTCGGTATGCTAAGTTGTACACGGAACAGTGCCTGCCTAAAGTCCATGAAAAACCTCCGGCCTAAGGCAAGAATGGGCACTTGGTACTTCCACCATGACAACGCTCCACCTCACAGCGTCAAAGCCTGCATCAAGTATTTGACCGCAACTTATCGAGCACCCTCCTCACAGTCCAGATCTTGCTGCCTGCGACTTTGCACTTTTTCCGCATGTGAAAATGAAGCTAAAAGGAAAATGGTTTTCTAGCGATGAGTGCTTGCGACAACGAGTGTTCCGCCCTCCCGGGTGAAACATGGCAGACCTCGTTTAAGGACTGGTTTTGGCGGATGGAGAAGTTTGAATGTGGTGGAAATTACTTTGAAGGAAGTCAATAAAGTGGGTGCTTCAGAACTAAGGGATCAAACTTCTAGGGGTTGTTCAGTGTAACAGTAGAAAACATTTGAGTATAGGGACCCATATCCGGTCCTAAGACGCTAAAAATTTTAGAAACACGATGAATTGCCTAAATAGGCTTTAATGCATTTATATATACTTCGAAGTTGAGTCATTTATTTTAACAGTGAGTAGATCTGATCAAAAGAAATGTTTTTTTCCTTTACCATTTTCCTGGTAAAATTAAAGTAACAAAGTTATAGCCCTTTGGAAGTTTGAGTACCGCCCTGTCTCAATAACAATATTATGTGGTCGTGTTTGGCGACAATGGATATAATCCGCCGTATCGGTTCATCGCATCGGAAACAAAAAAGCGAAAGAATTTGGAACGATGTTTTTACAAGTATCTCATTCATTTGTATACAGTTAGTGTCAGTGAATAGTGGTATGTGTTGCGTGGCTCAAACGAAATAAAAAATGGCACATGTTTATGCGGATCGGTTTCCCAATCGAGTGCAACCAACCCCTCGTGCCTTTGTTAATGTAGTACAACGGGCTTGTGAATCAGGTGACTTAAGACCTCACAGGGGACCTCACGATCAAATACAGGTCCGCACTGAAATACTTGTCGGGAGGATACTTTATAAAACAAGGTAAAATTTTTTTTTTATTTTTTTTTTATTTTTACACACATATTTTGGTTTATCTTCCTTCTACAATCATTATCTGAAAATTAATGACTCAACTTCAAAGTCACCCTGTATATATATATATATATATATAGGTGAAAAATTAAAGCTTCCGCCTTTTGTTGGGTACTTCGACAAAATTTAAGCAAAGAGGACTCTTTATACTTTTTTAATTCTCTCTAGCTTTCAACGGACTTTGCCATCATCATCAGGAGCTGCAATTACAATGATAACAGTAGCAACAAAAGTGTAAAATGAATTTAAATTGACTCAACTTACATCATTCGAAGCCGCATGATTGTGTAAATCAAGTTCAATTCGAAAACAGTACCGAAACAAATTCTTTGGTGATTGCAAACAAACTAAATGAATATTTTGTGGAAAGTATTGTTGATATTGTAGGTACTGCCAATGCTGCACCTGACTATATGAAAATCAGTTTCCAGGGGGAAATGTTGCATACACTTTCAAAATTTCACAGCGTATCATTGAATTATCTAAGAAAAAAAGTAAACAGTTTAAAATCAAATAACAACTGTGCCGAAATGATTACTAAAAACGTGCTGAAAAACTGTTTCGAAATTTTGGGATATCCTGTATTAAATTGGATTAATTGTTCACTGAGAAGCAGTTCTTTTCCTGAAAATTTGAAATGCTCTACAATAACACCAGTTCCCAAAATAAAAAATTCTAAAAGATGCAGCGATATGAGACCAGTAAATGTGTTACCAGACATTGAAAAATTATTAGAGTCCATAGTGCATGACCAATTAATGCAGTTTATAGAAGAAAACAAAATTTTAGTAGAGGCGCAAGCAGGCTTTCGAAAAAAATATTCCACAGAAACAGCTTTCCAGTTGGTAACTGAGAATTGGAGAAGAGCCATAGACTCAGATGAAGTTGTCATAGCAGTATTTTTGGATTTGAAGAGGGCATTTGAAACGATTGATAGAGATATTTTGTTAGGTAAATTGAAGGCATATGGTATAACAGGAAGTGTTTTAGATTGGTTTAGAAATTATTTGTCTAAAAGGATGCAAGTTACAAAAGTTAATGACACGATTTCATCAAAAATTGAAAATACGTTGGGTGTTCCACAGGGCAGTATCCTGGGACCACTTCTTTTTATTTTATACATAAATGATTTACCTGCCATAGTCAAAAAATGCAAAATTCAAATTTTCGCCGATGACACTATGATTTATATAAGTACTAAAAATATTCAGTCTGGTATCTCTTATATAAATGAAGACTTGAAGCTTGTCTCAAAATGGTTAGCATCTAACAGACTAAAATTAAATGCAAGTAAAACGAAAGCCTTGTTAATCGGAAAAAAACAATGTACAAATGTTCAACTGAATATTGATGGTGAAGATATTGAATTCGTAGAAAATTTTAAATACCTGGGAGTTTTTGTTGACTCTCGATTAATTTTTGATATTCATTATGAAAAAGTTATAAATAAGATTAGTAGTAAAGTGGGATATTTATCGAGAGTTTCTGGATGTCTGAGTTCATATAGCAGAAAAATTATCTATAATACCATCATTCTTCCAAATTTCTTGTACTGTTCGACTATTCTATATTTAGCAAATAATTCCATTTTTGAAAGACTGCAAATTTTACAAAATAAGTGCATGAGAATAATACTAAATAAAGATAAATATACTCCAATTAGGCAAATGCTTAGCAAATTAAAATGGCTCAATGTAAAAAATTTTATCAAATATCTTGTAATGATATTCATTTATAAAGTAAAAAATAATATATTTCCATCAAGTCTAACTAATTTAACATCATCAAATGTCGACCATCATTTACATAATACCAGAAATAAAGATGACTTCCATTTAATGACCAAAAAGTATAACATATGCTACAAATCTGTATTCCATCAAGGGTTGATTGAATATAATAAATTATACTCGGAGATAAAAGACCAGAAAACTTTGACAAAATTTAAAGTAAAATTGAGAAATCACTTGTTAAATCTACAATTATAGGTTGCCCAGCATTTACATCATACACCATATGGCTTGAATTTACTAGTTCTAAGTTGTTTACAATTGTTCTGTTTATGTAGCCAAATGTGCTAAATAAATCATTCTACTACTACTACTACTACTACAGTAGTATGTGAGGATGTTGCTAATTGTTGTTTACGTATAGGATGAGGGAAACGTCCAGTAACATGGTGAGAGCTGGATACATGGCACAATGGTCAAAATTATATAAAATATGACAAGACAAGTTAAAAACAGATTAAAAATTATTGAAAAAAACATTAGAGCATTACATCGTGAAGCCACTTGATGATTGCACAAAATGGTGGTCATGGAATAATGAGTGAGGTGAACCCTTTGACAGAAGGCCGAAGGTTGTCAATGTCTGTGTTGAAAGATGGAACGAATTGTGGGCGTGTGCTAAAACGTTGCCAAATCACTTCAGATGATGTGATTTTCAGAATGTTATGTAAGAAATTGTTAAACCGACCAGAGGCAGTTGAATAAACTATATTTTAATTAATGGGAATTTAAATTAACAATTATTAATAAATCGTGAGAAGAGAATTATTAGATTTTGAGTGGAATGAAATTTACTGGTGGAATCGGCCAAAAAAAAAACTATATATATATATCATCACAACAATTCTTCAAAATGTCTTCCTCCAACCTGAATACACGGATTTAAACGTCGCACATGATTTCGGTGGACTTGACTTAAAATTTGATACTCGTTTTGAATGATTTCAAATGCTGCTGTAATTCGTCCAATCAAGTCTTGCTCTGTTTCTACTGGAGTTTCGTAAACCAAAGACTTTACATGTCCCGACAGGAAAAAATCTAGCGACGTTAAATCGGGTGACCTAGGAGGCCAAGAAACTGCTCCACCTCTGGCAATCCGACGGTACCCAAACCGCTGAGCCAATACTCACGTACTTGTACAGCAAAGTGAGCCGGCGCTCCATCATGCTGAAACCACATTTGCTTTCGAACGTTCAATGGAACATTTTGAAGAAGTTCTCAAGGAACGCCGGTAGATAGGTCCTGTTAACCGTTCCGGTAGAAGGTATGGCCCGATCAACAATGCCTGCTCATACGTTGAAAGACCAACGTTGCTGATGTTCTCTAGGAAAAATTGCATGGGAATTTTCTTTGTCCCAAACATGGCTATTCCTACTGTTAAAACTACCGTCTCCTGTGCAAGAGGCTGCATCGGTCCATAACACGTAGCGTAAAAAAGTTGGTAGTGCAGCGATTTGATGAAGAAGCCGTCGACAGTCAATCCTTGAACTTTCTGGAAATGGTAAGGATAAAGTTGTTGCTCGTATTCATATCCTCAGCAATGTGTCGTGTGCTACTTGATGGTTCGTCGGCAACTCGCTGAAGGACCTCTTCTTCAAATTCGACCGTTCTTACGGTTCGAGCAACACCAGTATCATGAATGTTGGTTTTAAACATGCCTGTCTCGGACAGCCGTCGATGAATAGTAATAAACTTTTTATATCTCGTTCGAGATAACGTCCTTGATACAACCGCGCTGCTGCTCGTGCATTGCAGCTTGTTGCTCCGTATGCCAAATGCATATCCGCCAATTCCTGATTGGTAAATTTTTGCATTAGCAACGATTAATTTTCGTTAAATTCTGGCAAACTTCACAAATACGATAGCACGACTAAGGCGATATGGAATGCAGCTACAAAAAACAATCTCTGTTATCGTTTTTAAAGATAACGACACACAAGCGCCGGATATGGGTCCCTGTACTCGAATGTTTTCTACTATTACACTGAATAACCCCTACACGTTTGATCCCATAGTTCTGAAACAACCTGAATAAAGCTGTATTGCAAAACTTTTACAGTACTCTTTGTAAAGGGTTGTCCAATAGGGACGCAGGAAAGTAAACGTCAATTTGACATAGACGCCATCTTTGTTTTCTATCACCGACATGTCATTTTGTTAGTTGAATGTTTACCATTGATCGCTATGGAGTCGTATTCGATTGAAGACCGCATTAAAGTTATTCAAGAGCACTACAAAAATGGTGCAAAAATAAAAAACACGTTTCGCGCGCTTCGTGAACATTTCGGTCGCAACAACCGCCCAAACGAAACAACCATCGGTCGTCTGGTGCGTAAATTCGAGGCAACAGATTCTGTGGCAAATCTGCCAGGCTCTGGCCGGCCAAGGAGCCTTCGCACACCGGAAAATATTGCTGTTGTGAAGGAGAGTGTGAGAGACGATCCGAAACAATCAACAACGCGTCGATCCCAAGAATTGGGTATTTCGAGAACCAGTTTGCTCCGCATTCTCCACAAGGATTTGAATGTACACGCCTACAAGATCCAATTGACGCAAGAGCTGCGTCGGGCCGACCATTTTTCGCGCCGAACGTTCTCAGATTGGCTCCTTGAACACCGCCAAATTGATGCCAATTTTTCATCAAAAATCATGTTCAGCGACGAAGCGCATTTCACTTTGAATGAGACGGTAAACAAGCCAAACTGCCGCATCTGGGCGAACGAAAATCCCCGTGAGTATCAAGAGCAGCCGATGCATCCTCAAAAAGTGACTGTATGGTGTGCATTGTGGTCAAAAGGCATCATCGGACCTTACTTTTTCGAAAATGCGGCCGGGGACGCCGTTACCGTCAATTCGGAGCGATATCACGTGATGATAGAGGACTATTTTTTGCCGCAACTTGAAGGAATGGATATGAACGATGTTTATTTCCAACAAGACGGTGCAACATGCCACACAACCAACGTCAATATCCATCGATTGCAGTCCTTCTTCGGTGATCGCGTGATTTCGCGCAGAGGAAATGTGCCATGGCCACCAAGATCGTGCGATTTGACTCCCTTGGACTTCTTTTTATGGGGATATTTGAAAAGCAAAGTCTACGTCAACAAACCAGCCACCCTCCAAGAACTCAAAAACAACATCATTGCCGAGATAAATGCCATAGAACCGACCATGTTGCAAAATGTCATTGAAAATTTCGACCATCGCGTGGACGTCTGTAAATCCAGTCGTGGTGAACATTTGAGCGATATTATTTTTCATACATAAATGGTATGAATGAACCTTCAAAATAAAGTACCCAACTTGATTTGAATATCAATCTTTCTTGTTTCAATATGCGTTTACTTTTCTGCGTCCATTTTGGACAACCCCATATTTGATTCTAAAACATTTTACTCTTGTTATTCTCCAGAACTTGGAAAATTGAACGTCAGACAGTTAGAACAACAATAATCTCATAGAAAAATTGCCTATATTTATTAATGCTTTTTGATAGAAAACGTTTCTTATATTCTTATTTATTTGTAGGATGCCGCGCAACAGTTCACAAACGGTTTCACAGGTCTCCACCAAAATTATTATGCAGGTTTACAAACAAACGCGGAACGGGTCATGTTTATGCAACAGAAACAATTAGAAGAACAGTTATTAAATCTTACTATAAAACAAGGTAAGCATTATACACTACTAAAAAAAAATAATGGACCAAGAAAAAAATCCAAATTTGACAAACTGTGTTTTGGTGAAACATGATCGTATTTAGATTGAACTAATTTTGAAGATTTAAGATTCTAGTTTTCAGGTTAGGAACAACGGTTATCATGCAATTCTAACAGGTAGCGCAAGAAAAATTGTTTGCAAAACTTTCGCCTTTTTTTTTAGTCTTGTTCTGCAAAAAAGCATGCGCTTCACCGTTCATCAAATCAAGAACAACTGGTAATGCTCCTTGTGACACACCAATGTAAATAAACCAGTTTTTGGCCAGTAAAAACATTCCTGTGGCTCCTCGGCCTCCTTATTTGCCTGACCTGAGTCCTTGTGACTTTTTTCTCTTTCCGAAGTTGAAAAATCATCTCTAGGAAACTCATTTTGGAACAGTCTAAAACATACAAATGGCTGAAACCGCTCCAGTGTCGGAGTTCCAGCACTGTTTTAAAGATAGGAAGAACCGTCGTCTCCAGCGATGTGTGGCTTCAGAAGGAACTTATTTTGAGGGTGACGATATGAAATCGTAATTTTTAGAAGAAGAAAAAGAAATCGGTACCTCATCACTTAATTTACAGACCACGAATCTTCGTTTTTTCTTCTCTATTCATTTGTATCAGACCACGTTTTTGAATGGCTTATAATCATTTCTGTTGATAGTCTAATCATACCAGAAATACTTGTAAAGTCTGGTTTTATTGGTGCAAGTTGTTCAAGCGGGTATTTAAAACATGGACGCGTAAAATGGGTTCACCAATTTTCACGCAACTACTTGAAATTCTTCAAATCAGTAGGATTCATACTTCTAAATAACAACAACAAAGTAGTTCTTTGAGAATTTCTAATTGTTTATCCAAAAACATCTGTTTTCCGGCCATCACTACTAGTTTATTGAGCAATATACAGGGTTCTTTCAAAGAGCATTTGATAGCAAAATACACGTGTTTAACTTGCCGGTATAAGTCACAAACCATTTCGAGTGATAAATGTTATTTTTATGCGAAAAACGAAGGTTACGTCTACATCCAGCATCGGAAATGGAAGGACCTCTGAAGAAGCTTGCCATACGTGCTAGCGAAACGTTAGGAAGCAATTCCAACCTACTTCGGCCTTTAGACCCGAATCAAGACAGCAGTTTAACAACTGGCCGCGAAAGCCTTAACCAATTTGTCATAACTTTTTTGCTATTAGTCGGATCTTTTTACGTGTGGTATCATTTCGCAGGTCTTATAAATACCTAAAAATCTTATATGAAGAGTGTTTTTGTACCTGCCAACACTTTCGATTCAATCCCAAAAAACACGTTTTCTCATTATTTGTTTTACCACAAACATTAGTGTACCCATGTTATGCGTCCATGTTTTAAATACCCCCTTGAACAACTTGCAGCAATAAAACCAGACTTAGCAATTATTTCGCAAACCGGGGCTAAAATTTGTTGTTGTTCTATGTATTTTATTATTGTTATTTGAGCGTGATCTTGTATTTTTCTTAATTTATCCCCGGGAATGAAAACTAAAAGTGGTGACTGTAAACCGCGATTGCAGTCTCTCTAAAAACAAGCCAATTTTCGTTTACCTGACTGCCATTGATTTGTTCTCTTCCAGGTTACGGCGGTAGTACGAATCCAGTATGTCAAAATGGTATCAATCTTCAACAGCCACAGCATTACTTAGGCGGCGAGAACGGTAGATTCGCTAATATGCACAGTCAGCTCTACGGCAGGACCACAGTTAGACCGATGGCGACAAAAAGTTCAGAGGATGACTTAGGTTTCGATCCTATACAAGAGACGCAGAAAGCGTTTGCGGAATTAATGGCATCCGAACAGACACACAAAACACAACATAATAGTACAGGTACGCTTATCGTCGAAACGGCTGTGATTTTACTTCGGCGAAAAATGGTCATATCTAAACTTTAAAACAAACATTTGCAAGCTTCGAGATTCTAGTTTTTAGGGTTTTTAAGAGCAACGGTTCTCATGCAATTCTAACAGATAGCAGAAGAAAAAAAAATCAATACTTCTGCCCTTTTTTTAAGTCCAGCATTTTTTTTCCTGTTATGCCATCATATGAACCAGATGCCTCGTTTATTCAGCTTCTATATCCTGTTTTTAAAATCTCGATACGATCATTTGGCGCGGAGATTTCTGACAACTTGTATCAATAAAACCAGAATATACAATTATTTCGTATTTTCGTCTAATATGTTTAAACTATGCAACACTTGCAAAAATTATTTGGGAAACGTTATGATCTTTGTACTTTTTACCGTTCACCAAACAGTGATGCGGATACATTTTTAAAGTTTTTTTTTAAGACAAAATGCGAAGAAATGTGGAATTTTAGAAACAATATAATACTTTTAGGTGATTTTAATTTAAATTATTATGGTAAAAGCATGAAGACAAGAAAATTGAAAGAAACCATAAACAACTATAGGTTCAAGCAAAAAATTGAAGAGAGTACCAGAATAACATCATTATCAGATTTGTTAGATCTTGTTATTGTAAATTTCGAATGTGCAGGGATTAAAGCTGTACATACACCGAAATCACTACTAAAAACGTGCTAAAAAACTGTTTATAAATTTTGGGATATCCTGTATTAAATTGAATCAATTGTTCACTGAGAAGCAGTTCTTTTCCTGAAAATTTGAAATGCTTTACAATAACACCAGTTGCCAAAATAAAAAATTCTAAAAGATGCAGCGATGTGAGACCAGTAAATGTGTTACCAGACATTGAAAAATTATTAGAGTCCATAGTGCATGACCAATTAATGCAATTTATAGAAGAAAACAAAATTTTAGTGGAGGCGCAAGCAAAAAATATTCCACGGAAACGGCTTTCCAGTTGGTAACTGAGAATTAAAGAAGAGCCATAGACTCAGAAGAAGTTGTCATAGCAGTATTTTTGGATTTGAAACGATTGATAGCGATATTTTGTTAGGTAAATTGAAGGCATATGGTATAACAGGAAGTGTTTTAGATTGGTTTAGAAATTATTTGTCTAAAAGGATGCGAGTTACAAAAGTTAATGACACCATTTCATCAAAAATTGAAAATACGTTGGGTGTTCCACAGGGCAGTATCCTGGGACCACTTCTTTTTATTTTATACATAAATGATTTACCTGCCATAGTCAAAAAATGCAAAATTCAGATTTTCGCCGATGACACTATGATTTATATAAGTACTAAAAATATTCAGTCTGGTATCTCTTATATACATGAAGACTTGAAGCTTGTCTCAAAATGGTTAGCATCTAACAGACTAAAATTAAATGCAAGTAAAACGAAAGCCTTGTTAATCGGAAAAAACAATGTACAAATGTTCAACTGAATATTGATGGTGAAGATATTGAATTCGTAGAAAATTTTAAATACCTGGGGGTTTTTGTTGACTCTCGATTAATTTTTGATATTCATTATGAAAAAGTTATAAATAAGATTAGTAGTAAAGTGGGATATTTATCAAGAGTTTCTGGATGTCTGAGTTCATATAGCAGAAAAATTATCTATAATACCATCTTTCTTCCAAATTTCTTGTACTGTTCGACTATTCTATATTTAGCAAATAATTCCATTTTTGAAAGACTGAAAATTTTACAAAATAAGTGCATGCGAATTAGCGAATAATACTAAATAAAGATAAATATACTCCAATTAGGCAAATCGGTTAAATGGCTCAATGTAAAAAATTTTATCAAATATCTTGTAATGATATCCATTTATAAAGTAAAAAATAATACATTTCCATCAAGTCTAACTAATTTAACATCATCAAATGTCGACCATCATTTACATAATACCAGAAATAAAGATGACTTCCATTTAATGACCAAAAAGTATAACATATGCTACAAATCTGTATTCCATCAAGGGTTGATTGAATATCATAAATTATACTCGGAGATAAAAGACCAGAAAACTTTGACAAAATTTAAAGTAAAATTGAGAAATCACTTGTTAAATCTACAATTATAGGTTGCCCAGCATTTACATCATACACCATATGGCTTGAATTTACTAGTTCTAAGTTGTTTACAATTATTCTGTTTATGTAGCCAAATGAGCTAAATAAATCTTTCTACTACTACTACTTTATGTTTACAGGTCGTAGTCAAATTAATGGTGTAATTCATAATCAAAATGGAGGTCACTTACCACCGCCACCGCCTGGTTTTATACAATCCAGTACACATATGAATTCTTTTGGTAAGAATAGCGAATCCTTCATCGACTAGAGTGTATCTAATTTCTTATTCTATTTCAGGTAGTAAAATTTTACCTTTTTTAAATATGTCTAGTAGTCAACAAATAAACGGTTCAGCGACGCAGAACAACTGGCCTAGTAGTTTTAACTCGCAGTTACATCAGCATCAGAAAAGTAAGTGCATCTACAAAAGTTTGGAAACGTTCTTAGTAATTTTTAAAAAGTGTGCTAATTTTATATTCTTTATTATAAAGGATTATTTTTTATCTCATATAGTTTGCTTACAGTCTTTTGTCCGCTACTGTATGTTATATACTGTGTCCCAGGCCAACTCATCATAGTTATCAGAAAAATATACAAAATCTAAGTCGTGTACTTTTCAAATTATAGGCTTTAGAAAAATCTGCTAAAGATTATTTATATGAAATTTTTGTTTGTTGAAAATTTATTTAGCATTAATGCTACAATTTTGTATAATTATTTGGGACACATACAAATACTGAGATTATGGGAAACTCCGTAGAAGTAATTTATCTTTTTTGGTATTTTTGAAATAGTGCTCGTTTACTATTCACATATACCCACATTTTTATATGATTCGACTACCTCAATTTAACATTTAACCAATTCATATTTTTTAAAATCACTATTTAACAGTTCTAAAGCAGTCTCCAATTGTTCTATATATCAGTGTATCGTCCGCAAATATTTGAATTATATTATTATTGTCAGAATCATTCATATACGAGTATGTAATCTATCTATCTATCCTACTGCGATCAAAAATGGAACCACTGGTGGAATATCTTGATCGATGGTCGAACTGATTTTAGATATAACTAACTCGTGTAACGACTGGAAAGTGTTGGATCCGGCGATCCTGTCGTCTAGCCGTCATTATCCGTTAGCCGCATCAAATATACCGCAGCAGCCTCCCGGTCCGCCCCCCGCGCTCAGGGACAACTTCCAACAGGCTTTCGCTCAGCCCGCGCCACACCAGCCCAGGTATTTATTTAATAAAATGTTCTCTAAACACCAAATAATACAAAAAGATGTCGACATTTTTCTACTGTCGTCTTCTACCGGTGACACCTATCAAAGTCAGGTTTTTGGTAAATGTTGAACTATGATCTTGGGTTTGACCTTGATCCTCACCTTAAAGATCATTTCAGGGTCAACTTAATGTTTAATGGTTATCCCTATTTTTGATGCCGGTCATCGAAATAGCGGAAAATTTTATGGCTAGGTACGAATTTAAGATCAAGGTCATAGTGCTGCTAAGAAAACCACTATGAATTTTATAGGATTAGTGATCAAAATAACTATCAAGATCAGTTCTTTAGTAAATTTTTTTGAGAGATCTTGGATTTGACCTTGATCCTCACCTTAAAGATCATTTCAGGGTCAACTTTTTTTTATGGAAATCCCTATTTTTGGTGTCGGTCGAATTTAAGATCGAGATCATGGTGACCACTAAAGGTGAAATGTGTGCTACTAAGAAAAAAACACGATGAATTTTATAGGATTAGTGATCAAAATAACTATCAAAGTCAGTTCTTTGGTAAATTTTGACGAATGATCTTGGATTTGAATTTAAAGGTCATTTCAAGGACAACTTCATTTTTTATGGAAATTCCTATTTTTGATGCCGGTCATCGAAATAGCGGAAAATTTTACGGCTAGGTACGAATTTAATATCAAGGTCATAATGACCACTAAAGGTGAAATGTGTGCTGCTAAGAAACCCACTATGAATTTTATAGGATTAGTGATCAAAATAACAATCAAGGTCAGTTCTTTAGTAAATTTTGGCGAGTGATCTTGGATTTGACCTTGATCCTCACCTTAAAGGTCATTTCACAGTCAACTTTTTTTATGGAAATCCTTATTTTTGATGCCGGTCATCGAAATAGCGGAAAATTTTACGGCTAGTTACGAATTTAAGATCGAGGTCATAATGACCACTAAAGGTGAAATGTGTGCTGCTAAGAAAACCACTATGAATTTTATAGGATTAGTGATCAAAATAACTATCAAGGTCAGTTCTTTGATAAATGTTGACGAGTGATCTTGGATTTGAACTTAAAGGTCATTTCAAGGACAACTTCATTTTTTATGGAAATTCCTATTTTTGATGCCGGTCATCGAAATAGCGGAAAATTTTACGGCTAGGTACGAATTTAATATCAAGGTCATAATGACCACTAAAGGTGAAATGTGTGCTGCTAAGAAACCCACTATGAATTTTATAGGATTAGTGATCAAAATAACAATCAAGGTCAGTTCTTTAGTAAATTTTGGCGAGTGATCTTGGATTTGACCTTGATCCTCACCTTAAAGGTCATTTCACAGTCAACTTTTTTTATGGAAATCCTTATTTTTGATGCCGGTCATCGAAATAGCGGAAAATTTTACGGCTAGTTACGAATTTAAGATCGAGGTCATAATGACCACTAAAGGTGAAATGTGTGCTGCTAAGAAAACCACTATGAATTTTATAGGATTAGTGATCAAAATAACTATCAAGGTCAGTTCTTTGATAAATGTTGACGAGTGATCTTGGATTTGAACTTAAAGGTCATTTCAAGGACAACTTCATTTTTTATGGAAATTCCTATTTTTGATGCCGGTCATCGAAATAGCGGAAAATTTTACGGCTAGGTACGAATTTAATATCAAGGTCATAATGACCACTAAAGGTGAAATGTGTACTGCTAAAAAAACCACTATGAATTTTATAGGATTAGTGATCAAAATAACTATCAAGGTCAGATCTTTAGTAAATTTTGACGAGTGATCTGGGATTTGACCTTGATCCTCACCTTAAAGGTCATTTCAAGGTTATCTTCATTTTTTAATGGTTATCCCTATTTTTGATGCCGGTCATCGAAATAGCGGAAAATTTTACGGCTAGTTACGAATTTAAGATCGAGGTCATAGTGACCACTAAAGGTCAAATGAGTGCTGCTAAGAAAACCACTATGAATTTTATGGGATTAGTGATCAAAATAACTATCAAGGTCAGTTCTTTAGTATTTTTTGGCGAGTGATCTTGGATTTGATCTTAAAGGTCATTTCAAGGACAACTTCATTTTTTATGGTTATCCCTATTTTTGATGCCGGTTATCGTAATAGCGGAAAATTTGATGGCTAGGTACGAATTTAAGATCAAGGTCATAGTGACGACTAAAGGTGAAATGTGTGCTGCTAAGATAACCACTACGAATTTTATAGGATTATTGATCAAAATAACTATCAAGGTTAGTTCTTTGGTAAATTTTGACGAGTGATCTTGGATTTGACCTTGATCGTCACCTTAAAGGTCATTTCAATATCAACTTCATTTTTTAATGGTTATCCCTATTTTTGATGCCGGTCATCGGAATAGTGGAAAATTTTATGGCTAAGTACGAATTTAAGATCAAGGTCATAATGACCACTAAAGGTGAAATGTGTGCTGCTAAGAAAACCACTATGAATTTTATAGGATTAATGATCAAAATAACTATCAAGGTCAGTTCTTTGGTAAATTTTGACGAGTGATCTGGGATTTGACCTTGATCCTCACCTTAAAGGTCATTTCAGGTTCAACTGCATTTTTAATGGTTATCCCTATTTTTGATGCCGGTCATCGAAATAGCGGAAAATTTTACGGCTAGGTACGAATTTAATATCAAGGTCATAATGACCAGTAAAGGTGAAATGTGTGCTGTTAAGAAAACCACTATGAATTTTATAGGATTAGTGATCAAAATAACAATCAAGGTCAGTTCTTTAGTAAATTTTGGCGAGTGATCTTGGATTTGACCTTGATCCTCACCTTAAAGGTCATTTCAAGGACAACTTCATTTTTTATGGAAATCCCTATTTTTGATGCCGGTCATCGAAATAGCGGAAAATTTTATGGCCCGATACGAATTTAAGATCAAGGTCATAGTGACCACTAAAGGTGAAATGTGTGCTGCTAACAAAACCACTATGAATTTTATAGGATTAGTGATCAAAATACCTATCAAGGTCAGTTCTTTAGTAAATTTTGGCGAGTGATCTTGGATTTGACCTTGATCCTCACCTTAAAGGTCATTTCAAGAACTTCATTTTTTATGGAAATCCCTATTTTTGATGCCGGTCATCGAAATAGCGGAAAATGTTACGGCTAGGTACGAATTTAATATCAAGGTCATAGTGACCACTAAAGGTCAAATATGTGCTGCTAAGAAAACCACTATGAATTTTATAGGATTAGTGATCAAAATATCTATCAAGGTCAGTTCTTTAGTAAATTTTGGCTAGTGATCTTGGATTTGACCTTAATCCTCACCTTAAAGATCATTTTAGGGTCATTTTTTTTATGGAAATCCCTATTTTTCATGCCGGCCACCGAAATAGCGGAAAACTTTTACGTTCAAGTACGAATTGAATACTAAGGTCACGGTGATCACTAAAGGTCGAATGGAGGTCAAATGTGTGCTGCTCGGAAAACCACTATGAATTTTACAGGATTAATGATGGAAATAACTATTAAGGTCAGTTCTTTAGTCAATTTTGACGAGTGATCTTGGATTTGACCTTGATTTTTGATGCCGGCCATCGAAATTGCGGAACATTTTTACGTTCACATACGAATTGTAGAACAAGGTCATGGTGACCACTAAAGGTCAAGTGGAGGTCATTATGTGTGTTGCTATGAAATTTACAGGATTGGTGACGAAATTCCTGTTTTTGATGCCGGTCATCGATATAGCGAGAAAATACAGAGCCGTCCTGTGACTTATGCTGTATTCTTGTCTAATTTACCACTCTTGCTTTGATATATATTGTGCAACTATTTTATTGTTATAGTACGACAAACTATCACTATATTCTCTATTGTTATTCCTGGGAAAAAAAATTATTATCATTGGTTGCTGCTATCAAAATGGTGGCTTTGCTATAGTCTTCCGACTGGACTGATCGTTATTTCTCCCGTTTGTAGGTCTCCGTTAGACTACCAAGCAAACAACACATTATCAAACTTTCTCCAGCACCAGCAGCTGCCGCAACAGAGCAGCCCTTTCGCGGGAGCGTTTTCACATTTGAACTCTCAAACGATAAATTGGCCGGGCAGCAGCAGTCTTGTTACTAATAACGACATCAACGGTCAGATCAGCAGTCCTCCGGGTTTCAGGAACGCCCAGCAGACCACCACGAAACAGGAGTGCTAAGCACTTCGAGGATAACATGCGCCAGCACCTCACCACGCGTCGTTTGAATGGGTCACTTGTGTAATTTATTATAATAAAATGAATTATATTCGGAATTTGGAACGTTGGAACTAACGAATTCGGATAAGATCAGAACAATTTTTTTCGTTTATATACAGTCTTCCACTAAGATTTGACAATTCGTATGAATATAGGATTGTTTTTTGAAACATTCAAGCAAGCTAAATATAAACCCTGTTGTAAAAGAAGTGCAGAAGGATTTATATATTCTTTAGAGTGAATGCAAAGGTCCCTCATTCTGGGTAACTTCAAAGTTATGTATATAGAAGATTTGGGAAAGGGTTGAAAACAAAATGGGTATGTCCAATTCGTTGCAACAATTAGTTGGTTATTGCTAAATATCGTTTATTTTTTTATTGCCGAGAAGTGCGTCTGAGTAAATTTGTTAAAGCCTTTAAAACTTCATCGCAATGTATCTCGGCAGGGGAGCGTCTTTGTTTTTTTTTTTTGTTATTATTGGATGTACTTAGAAACATTGCCACGTCTTTCTGAAACACCCTGTAGAGATTACTCTAAACAATATTATATTTTTTTTTGCCAAAAAATGCATTTTTTAACTAATAATAAATAGTACAGTTCACGAATCATATGAGAATATTATACATTTATAATAGATTAGTGTTAGTAATTGTTGTAAAGAAAAGAATAATTATTTGCACTAATCTACTGTAAATGTGGAATAATCTCATACAATTTCAGAGCTGTACTATTATCAACAATATTGTTAAATAATGATATTGTTTATCGGTCATCTCTATACACGTCATGAAACATCCAGGCTAAAAGTATTAAGAATACTCCTTCAGACTTTAGAAAACAAGTTATGTGCGAACACGTTAAGTTGAAGATTGTATGTATTATCTTGTGATGATCTCTCATCATAGCGTTATTTGAACAACATTCGTGTCTTGGCATGGTAATGGATCGTTTGAGTGGGAGTATAGTAACTTATGTTGTTATTTTTTTATGCACTTTATGCTTTACAAATATTGGTATTGTTTTTTTGAATCAACTGTTGCACTATTTTCCAAAAATTGCATATTTTTACTTACTTTGTAGTGTCCCCTTGAAACAGCGGCTGCTGGCTACACTTGTTTTCTACCTCTGCGTATATTCCGAATTCGTTATGTTTTTCAGTACGATTCATTTTGGCCATGTAGTTTCGGTTATAAATTCGTCTTAATGGATACTAATCGAGTAATATTTTTCTTGCAATATTTGTCTATAACTATGACGACTATAGTCCAGCCATCATAAACATATTGCAGCATATGGCCGGATGTTTCAGGAAGTACATCCCAAATTAACAAAAAAAAATCCTATGAATATGGCTCCAAAGATGTTTCCCTACCAAGTTTTATTTCCGAAATCGTCTAAAATCCTGACTATCTTTACCAGCTTCGTAAATAAAACTGCATAACCCTGTATCTCGATACACCCAAATTTATAGGAACTTTTTTTGGTTATTTTTGGATGTACTTCCTAATGTCGGACAAGTCTAGTGGACCATACTGAAAATATTGCTCGTTTAGAAGAGTCACAAAACGGTTTACAGGTTGAAAGTTTGATGCTTCAGAAGTGGGATAGTGAAATATCGAGAAGTTTTGAGGAGCATATAAAAATGATTATTATTGTTTTTAAGGCCGGTATCAATAATTACTCCAATTACTTGACCTTTCCATTCTCATATGGTTGTATTTGGTTGGTAATTATTCGGATAATCAATGTTTTGCCTACAGGCTCGGGTTTTTAAATGTATGATGATGGGCGCGTGCAGGAATTTTGTTCAGGGAGGCGGATCATCAGCAAGAGAGCTTTTGTGAAAGACTACATGTCCCCAACACTCCCAGTGGGGGATAAATCTTAAACATCCCCGAAAATGTACCTCCCACCTGCATACCTCCCCTGCGGGCGCCCAGATTTCGCAAATGTCCATTATGACTAGTTCATATGATTCTAGCAGTTGCCGCTTACACGTTTCTTTTGCACTTGGCCTGTTTACGGCTACATTGTTAACCAAATACCTCATACTTAAATGTTAATGGTAACCTGTACTGTTAAAAAAATTTAGAGAGCAAGAAAAAAGGTTCTAGTTTTTGTTTTTTAGCCGAATTTTAGGAGGAACGGTTCTAACAGCCCAGGGAAACTTTTGCTTCTTTTTAGTCCACGGGCTTGAAAAAAAATGTTCGTGTTAGGCCTTGATGTGGATCAGATAGCCCGTTTATTCAGCTTCAATATCCTGATTTTGAATGAAAAAGGATCATCGACAACTGATATCTCAAGCTTTGAGGATTTGTTTGTTGTTTAACAGAAAAAATATTCAAGCCCATGGAAATCGAAGAACTAAAATTGGCAATACATTATCAAACATTAAAAACATTTCGATAGGTGTGCCACAGGGTAACGAAATTAGGGCAATTACTATTTATTTTATATATTAACGATATTCCTGATATTTTACAACACTGCAAAATTCAACTATTTGCTGATGATAATAAACTTAAACTAAACACAAACAAAATAAAATATATACTAATAGAAAAATCTTATAAAATACGATAATTCTTCCAATTAATCATGAAAAAATTGTGTCAATCGAATCATTTAAATATATTGGGGCATATATGTAGACAGTAAATTAAAATTTGAAAGGCAGTATGAATATATTATTTCAAAAATATCCAAGAAAATAAATTACTTTCAAAATTACAAATATTAGAAAAGAATCCTATGAGAATCATCTTAAATAAAAATAAATATACTAGAAAAAATTTTATGCTGAAAGAACTACAATGGTTAAATCAAAAATTTCATAGCCTACTTGGTTTTCATTTTCATATTCAAGTTAAAAAATCATCTTCTACCAAATCACTTGGAAAATTTTATAGTATTGAACAATGAGTGCCACAATTATTCTACTAGAGGAAGTATAGACTTTCAATTACAAAACTGCAGTAGCAATATTACGAGCAAGTCAGTATTTCAAAAGGGATTGTACGAATTTAATAAATTAAGTAATGATATTAAGATGTGTGTCAGTTTGAAAATGTTCAAAGGGAAATTGAAAAAATATCTCATGGAAAACCAGAATTCATAGTAGCGAAATTTTGTATAAAAATATATAGTCTTGAAGACAATATATTTTGTGATATACTGTGTAATATGGATATTGTAGCATTAATGCTAAATAAATCTGAAACAAACCAACTTAGTTGCATGAGAACCGTTGCTCCTAAAATTTTTCTGCTAAAAAACTTGAAAACTAGAACCCTAAAGCTTCAAGTCTAGATACGGCCACTTTTCACCGAAAGCCTGTAAAAAATCACCGACAAAAACCCTGATTTTTGTCTTACTCCCTTAATTTTTTTAAGTAATGTATATCCATTAACGTGCGCTACTTGCGCCTGCAAAAACTCTCTAATCATAGGTATTTAACCCAGATTTTTTTCAATCGCAAATTAACTGTCTCGCTGGTTAACTAAACCTTGACCGTAAATTCATCTATCAAGTTCTGGTCAACTAACCCGCAATTGTTGATGCGGCAACGCTGCTTCTGCGTCTGAACTACGTGTTCTGTGCCGCTTTGGTTTGTATGCAACTCGTGTCACTGTCAGGCCAAGAAGGTTAGGCGATACGGTTTAACTGCAACTCACTAGTCGAGCCATAGAAACTTGATGACCGTTTGAGGACAAGCTTGACATTGTTTTTAGTCAAGTGCCGGTTAGCAGTAAGGTTACAGTTAACCAGCGATTGAAAAATCGGGCGTAAACCTGTGTAACTAGACGAGAATGGATTCGTCACTTGGTTCGTTGACTGCTTCCGGAAGAGCTCCGATATGTTTGTTGATTTTGAAACTTGATTATGCACTGCAGCTACGAAAATGGAACTTTTGTGCAATATACGGCCGTTGTAACATATAACAGGTGTACTCCGTGAATTTGAGGTGCTGCGTGTGATTATATTTTGCTATGATTGAATTAGAAATGTGGGTACTTCGCAGATAAATATATTAAATGAATCAAGTAAAACTTATATTATGTACATTTGAGTATATGAAACAGCTAAATATATAATTCAATCTAGACTTATGTTTTATTTATCGGCTGGAGAAGGATATCCCAGAATAACATGTTAATCTGAGGAGCCACAGGGATGTTTTTACTGCACACAATGGAAAAACAATCGCAAAAAATTGTTAGGGACAACCAAATGATTCGAGCCTGTTCAAACTTGTACTGAACGCGGATCACATGTTTGGCTGTCTGACTTCCGAGCCCGGCACCTCCAGTGTTGCCAGATCAGTAGGCATAGGAAATAAAAATTGGTTAGACTGACAAACATCCAGCAACAGTTGATTCCGGTGCTCCCATACCCAGATTTGCAATTGTAGAGGAAATTGGTGAGCCCTTTGCAAGAATGTGATTATTTTTAACCAAATATCTAACCTTTCTGTTTCAACTTTTTAAAAACTTTTAAGGTGTTTTTTAAATTCACCGAATCCCAAAGATGTATAACTTGATGTCTGTGGTATAAACAAACACTGATGACCAGAGCATTTATAATATCAATTTAATTGTCGATTTGCTGAAAATACATTACTCTCATCAATAAATAAGGTACATAATAAGCTCGCTTAAAAATCTAATGGATGTGAATTCGCACCGGAGCATCCCATTGAATGGACGGCTTTATTACCGTGCTTTTTTCCAGTCTCTTTGTTGTCATCTTGAATATCTGCAAGCAAAAAAACTTTAGCTATATAGTCTAAGCGCCATATCGTCGGTCGCCTACCTGGAGGCAAATGCAGTATTTCTATGGAGAATCTTTTCCTGCGGAGTTTGAAGACGTACTCGACTGGTCCGGGGTGTTTGGAAACCAGCGAATTCACGGCTGCCAACTTGGTCAAGTAAAAGAAACCATGGTACTCGTTGAGGCTCTGGTTGTTCTCCAACTCCGTGCCGCTGAACGCCTGCAGCCGCAGCGCTATGTCACTGGAATGGATGCATCGCTCGAGCGACATCTAGAACCGCCAAATAACAAACTGTGGTTTTATTCGCGCAAGTTGTTCAAAAACATGGGCGCATAAAATGGGGGTAAAATTTTTATTGGGCAACAAAGAATGAGAAAACGTGTTTTTTTGGGATTCAATCGAAGTGTTGACAAAAAGAGATGAGACCACACGTAAAAAGATCCGACTAATAGCGAAAAAGTTATGGCCGAAAAACGAGGCAAAATGCAGGTTTTGGCACTTGCTGGTAATGCGACGATAATTTCACGCAACTACTTGAAATTGTAGGTTTCATACTTCTAAATAACAACAAAATTGAAGTGTATTTGGTCAAATAGCTTTTTGAGAATCTCTAATTGTTTCTCCCAGAACACCTGTTTTCCAGCCATCACTACTAATTTATTGAGCAATATACAACCGTTATCTTTTTGTACCCATTACTATAAATTTCAATTTATTTCTAAGACGGATAGTGTCATTCTGCGTAGTCACAGCAAGACAGATAATAACGTCACTTTTATTAATTCGTGAATGTAGATATTTATTAAATTCCCAAAATTGTGATGTCAGAACGAAGGAACATACTAAATTGCTTTATGGGAAAAATGTTGAAAATTTTCAAGCACGTAATTTGTAAAAATTGTAATTATATTTTATATTCAAGTTATAATGGTTTTCTGTATATTAAGCAAATTTATTTAGCTGAATAAAAGTTATAAATACAGTTTCACAATTCATTACAAGTTATTAATATTTTTAGTTCCCATCTATTACAATTCCAAAAAAAAATTCACGAAATTCTGACAAAAGCTAAGTTTTGAAAATCGGTCTTGCTGGCGTAATTTTTTACCATCGCTGTTTTAGAGGACTAAACAGTTACTGATGCAATGAGATGACATAACCTGTGCTTTATTGGTGGATAGATTGCTAACAGTATTTTCCTTAACAGTTAAGGCAGTGTAGTGAAGTATACAGGGTGATTCGCAAGTCGTGACCAAAAATGAAACATCATACACAGAACCGCATTTCGAGGAGGGGTCTTCTATAAAATATTTTTTCTTCAAGATAAAGAATTAAATTAATACATTAAAGCTTTATAATTAAAAACATTTTTTAATATCTTCAAATCCGTCAACTGAACTAAAATTTACTATTATTTTCCGAATATATGGTTTCATTTTTGGTCACGACTTGTGAATCACCCTGTATATAGTATAAATAAGCTAAAAATTAAATTTCCTCTAAAATCCGGTGTAAATGGTGATGCTATATCCAGAATTTTGAACGATTTACAATACAAAACGATGTGATGACCCTCTACTATCTACTAAATAATCTAATGACGATCAAAATCGATATAACAAAATATCTAATTTTTACATAGAAAAGTATAATTCAAAACTTTTGTATAGTAATAAATATATAGTAGAAAAAGTATCAAGCATCAAGTACCTTGGTTTAATTACCGATGAGATTTTTTTTTTTGAAACAAATCTTTATTCAATATTAAATTTTTACAAATTTTATAGGAAACAAAGTTCTCTAATCTGTGTCTAAAACACTGGTCTCCAGAACAACAATACTTAAAGTGCGAATTTTAGCTACAATAAATTCAAGTGTCTTTACATAATTTCTGAATACCTGTACTTTTTTTACATTATTTGGTAGGTTGTTATACGTTTTTACTGCATCAGTGATAGGGTTATTTAATCCTATATTGGTTCTAGTAGGAATGTGGTACAAATTATTATGTGAACTTGTCTCATGGTCATGCACCTCATGTGTGATCAAAATGTGTGTATTACACTTTTGTTGGTTGTTTAAAATTTTGAAGATCATTTTACATTGTTCTAATTCCAACAGCTTATCTAGTTTACAAACCTTCAGTTCTGAGTACATATTGTCCGTGTTGGCAAGTCGATCATAGTTGAACAAAATTCTTAATATTCCATTTTGCAAAACTTGTGCTTTATGAAATTCAGTTTTTCAACACATTCCCCAAATAGGTAACATATATCTAAAGTGTGCTAAGACAAATGCATTGTTACGGCGGTCACAAATATAGCATAAGTAGACGTTAGCTTTATTTGATATTCATCGATTTAGGCATCAAATAAGGTTAACGTTTACGTAAGCCTCTACTATCTACAATAAAGTTGATCCAATTATTTTTAACACCCTCAAAAAACTGTAAACAAATGAATTCAGAACTCACCAAATCCTAAGCAAACCTTGTCGTGTCTCCAAATGTATCCAAAAGGTAACATAACACCACATAATCACTGCATATTAGCACACTACACGATGAGCATCACATTCGATCACGCCGATATTTCTTTGTTTGTACCCGACGCGCACGACGTCTTGCTTCCGCGAGATCCAAAGATCGACTGAACAGCAGCTGTCCGTTGTGCGCCGGCCGTACCGAAACGCTCTCGATTACGTCACAGTCACATGTCCGTTTCTCTCTGCCAATCGCATCTTAGGCGGAAAGTGGGGTGCGGCGTGGGCGGAGCTACGCCGCCGCTGGCAAATGGGACAGCTTCAAGATTAGCGTGGTCTACGGACATGTGACTGTGACGTAATCGATAGCGTTTCGGTGCGGCCGGCGCACAACAGACAGCCGCTGCTCAGTCGATCTTTGGATCTCGCGGAGGCAAGACGTCGTGCGCGTCGGGTACAAACAAAGAAATATGTGCGTGATCGAATGTGATGCTCGACTTTCTCGTCGTCAGGGTGCTAATATGCAGTGATTCTGTGGTGTTCTGTTATCTTTTGGATACATTTGGAGACACTACAAGGCTTGCTTATTGTTTGGTAAGTTCTGAATTTGATGCTTAAATCGATGAATATCAAATAAAGCTAACGTTTACTTATGCTATATTTGTGACCGCCGTAACAATTCAAATCTCGATATTTTCTAAACGGAAAGAGATATCCATTTGCGATTTTCGGGACGTTTTTGACCAACTCGAGAACACGTACAGGGTTCGACCGGTATATTTCTTTTACTTATCCACTTATACAGGGTGAACAAAAGAAATCATGTCTTTTAGCAAAGTTTGGTACTGTGTCAATTTTTCATCTTGGAAATTTTCTAAAGTTGGTTATAACTCAAATTATCGAATGTTTAACTTCCGCAATAAATGTTTTTTGATTACCCTCTCCATGCAAATATTACGTTTCTCTAGTTTCATCCTACTACCTACACCTCAAATACGTAATTCCTAAGTAGCAAGAATATTGTCTATATAAAGAAGAATTGTATAAGATTATTGGGATAAATTTTAATAGCAATTGCTTGAATGGTGAATTTTGGTAGTTGAAATTATATTTTTTATCTTGATTTGATTTCAATGTCTCTAGATAAACAACAAATAGTTGTAGCTGTTTTCATTGACCTAAAAAAAGCTTTTGACGTAGTAAGCGTAGACATTCTTTTAGATAAATTGTTTAAAATGGGATTTAGAGGTGTTTTGTACAGCTTGATTAAGTCTTATTTATATGACAGAAAACAGTACATAAAGCTTGGAGACATTGATAGTGAATGGTTATCTAGCACCTATGGAGTACCACAGGGGTCAGTTCTTGGACCTCTGTTATACAGTCTTTATGTACTGAATCTCAAGTTGGCCAATCTGAGGGGAAGATATTTTACCTTTGCAGATGACACTGTACTGGTATATACTGGAACAGACGAAATTGCTTTAACGAATCTTATTAATGATGACCTGAATAGTTATCTTAAATGGCTGTTTTCGAATAGATTAAAAATTAACATTGAAAAAACAAAATACATTATATTTAAACAAAAAAATAAGATAGTTAGCAATAATCTAAATATTAACATAAATAATATAGCGCTAGAAAAAGTGTCAAGTATTAAATATTTGGGATTACTGATAGATGAAAGTTTAAATTGGTCACTTCACGTAAATGGAATTTGTGATAAAATAGTTTCAATGCTATCTGCCTTATATAAGAGTCGAGATTATTTGTCCAACAAAAGCAAATTTCAAATTTATAATGCCTTCTTTCTTACACATTTTAGGTACCTCTTGCCAGTATGGGGTATGTGCGGTGAAGTTAATTTTAATAAAGCTCAAGTTTTACAAAATAAAGTTCTGAAAATATTGTTTAATTTTGATTGGCTTACAAGTTCTAATACACTTTATTCAAATTTAAATTTAAACAAATTAAGAGTGTTATTGGAGGTGGAACAATGTAAACTTGTTTATAAAATTATAAATAATCTACTAAAAAGTAACATAAATATTAGGTTCTACCATAACGTGCATGATCACCAAACAAGATCACTAAATAATGTTTATCAAATTTCCACAAGAACTAACATAGGTTTAAAAAATCCGATCACAGACGCAATTAAGAAATTTAATAATTTACCTCATTGTATAAAAGATTCAAATAACTATAGAAGTTTTGTTAGAGAATTGAAAGATTGTAAAAATGTTAATGAATTTATTTGTTGAAATTATGAGCAACATTGCAGTGTACCTGTAGTTCATATATATTAATTATTGTCTTGTTATTCTCGGGGCCAGTGTTTGCAAACACTGATTAGGGAATTATTGTTATAACTGTTATACTTTTGTATTATTGTGTTTAAATAAATTATTTCAAAAAAAAAAAAAAAAAGGTCGTTTAGTGAACTTACTAATTAGCATAATGCATTCACGGAGAACAGAAAATCAAATAGTTACCTCGTGGTAGAGATGCGTCGGTACGGTAACCATGGCGACGGCATAAGCGGACCTAACTAGCGCTCTCAAGCAGAAAATGAACTTGTCGAGGTCTCTCGTGCCGTCTATAGATTGTAGCGACTTGCGATGCGGCAGCCACATAGGCGATCCTAACGAATGGATACCTATTCTCAGCATCGAACGTTTCTCCGGATTGTCCTTTAAGAAAAACTTTCCCTCTTTGATTTTGTTCTTGATCGACTTCAGGAGTTCGTTATATGCGGGATTCGAGTATGTTTTTGTACCTGTAGGGAAGCCGTGGACGTCGTTATTTAAATGGATAATCATCACTGTTCCTGGTATAATGGATGCCTTGATTATTTTAGCAGAGCGTATCCCATTTGCAAATCGGGTGACAGAGGTTCAATGATAAATATATATTTTGGGCGCCAGAATACAATATATGGTTGCCTGCCTTTAATGGTGCAACTGTGCTAATTTTTTATAAGACTTACAAATGTATCGCTTTACGTGGTGCAGTTAAATTTAGCTATTCTATTTTAAAGTGTATTATCATTTTTGCAATAAATTTGCAACTTACCATTTTCAATCCTTAGCCCTGTCCAGCAGCAGATATCCGAGTTCTCAATGTCACTGACGTCTATCGTTTTTGACAAGTCATAGATATGTCCGAAATCTTTGTTCTCTTTGGGGCCATAATCACTATCGTAACTGGGTAAATTTTGATATCTGAATGCGATTTGTAACTTATCATTATTGGAGGTTTTTGAAACTGCACTGTCGCCAACTTCGGGATCACTTTCAATCACAGCAGGTAGTTCTTTAATCTGTAAAAAAATGGCGTCGTCTTGCACTGCAAAGTTTCCAAGGATGTAGATATGATACTTACAATATGGTAAGGATTTACATCTTGACTAGCAATGAATGTAGAATGCGTTGATACAATACCCTCAGCAAGGAAATACTTTAGTAATACTTTTGAGTAACAGCCATGGAAATCCTCTTCTGAAAAATAAGGTCAAGTACAGTTGACTAACCCTATACAGGTTACATACAATTCAAAAACAGATGGTTATTACAAAGTCCTTAGTTCATAAACCATATTCAATCACATGCAAATGCTGACTCTATAGATAATAAAAATACCTATCCCCAGTTTCAAAGGAAGCTTCAATATATTTAAGAAATACAAGTGGACCTGTTACCAGAAAATACCCTAACAATTGGAAAGCTGTGCCTGCACAAAAGTAAGCATACCTACTGTTACAGCCAATTTACAACATATTGCGCGACTTCAAATGAGCTTTAATCTTTTCCTATGTTAGTGCTTCTATTGTATTTTTCAATTTTGAAAATGTTATAAATGAGATCATTTTTGGGGGGCGCCATAGGTTTATTAAAAAAATTGTCCAAAATAAGGGTCTGCATTTTAATGAAACGTGTGGCATTAATGTACAACTGGCAACTATGGCATACCCTCAAATAAATGGCGGTTGACAATGACATAAATCAATCGTGTTACCCTTGAATAACATGAAATTCTACCTTCTTCAGTGTACATGTTTTGTGCTAAATATTTTGCAACGTAACAAATTTGGGACTTTGCGAGCGTTTTTAAATCTCATTTACAACCCAAACCTAGTCGAAGAAACAAACTGCTGATGTAGCTAAGCTAGAGAATTACCCTTAAACTTCTACTATGAAATATGCTGAAAATGACGTTTACACAAATTCTGTTTATCAACATGTACAAAAGTGTTACAGCATAATGGAGACTTACCAATTAAAACTACAGTGCCTATGGGTATTCCATTGCCTGTGAATAAAAAAACACGACTGAGTTCGTTACACAAACGAGAGAAAATCGTTGTTTCTAACCTAACCAAATCTTACCTAAGAGAGAATCCAAGGTTTGTATGCCCGACGAAATCACTAATTGGCCATTGTGGGTACTAAATTGACTGCCTGGGATATGATGATGAATGTTTTTGTCCATTTAAAATTAAATGACTAATTTTTTTGAAAAAATTTGACTAAAAACAAATATATGTACGATTCTTTGTTTGACACGATGTGATAGTAAAACATAGAACATAAACTCTGAGGAAAGTCGGATTCCATCTTACTCAGGGACAACACGATTGACTTATGTCGTTGTCATGCGTCATTTTTCTTAGGTGCGCCGTGGTTGCCAGATTGTGCATTGATGTGGGACATCTTAAAGCGGCATATGTTATCAACATTTTGTGCTATCTTGCCGAATAACTGCGTTTCGCAAATAGAAATGTCAATAACAACCATTATAAGATTACGCATATATACTTAATAATCTGGAAAGGTTACAAAAGCATATGTTGCAAATACCCAAATGTTTTCATTCTCCAGCCTTTGTTAGCACCTGCGTAAATCAAGCAAATAAATAATTATGGAAAAAATGAGTTATGTTACTACTTTTCACAGATTGTTTTATTGGACAAATAATCCATATTACTGTCCCGCAGAAAGTTTTCTCATGGGAGGTTGATCATCTTCAAGAAATTACTTTTTTGAAATTGTACCTGCCCCAAAACTTCTTTAAGAGCGAAAGTAGCAGATTCTTAAAAAAGTTGTATACAAAATCAACTAAATATGCGAAGCGAATTCTCAGGAGAGGTCACACTCCCCTGACACCTCCCTGGGAGCGCCCAAGTTTATTGTCCAAAAACAACAACCTTTAGAATCCAGAAGGTATCACACACACACACACAATTTCTTTCTCTTCTCGCTCCTACTTCCTTCCTTTCTCCCTCTCCCCTTTCCCCTGCAACTTGTCTGGATTCAGGGCCACCAGACCTGACAGACTGACGACAGACACTGACGTTACAGTGACTATGACCTAAAGGCTAAGGTCCTCCGTCCCGCCTTGAGAGGCAACGACGAGTAGTAGTACACACACAATTTATACACATTTAGTTTTTTATTTGCAAACATCTAATATTTTTTTCACAGTGACAGCATTCGCATCGATATACATGCCTTGAGAATAAGCCAAGTGGATTTTGTTAACAATTTTTCATTTACATTCTCAGCACCTAAACAGATTTTGAAAAAGGTTACTTCGATTCTAATCATCAATTTATTCTTAGTGGAAGTACCTAGGAATTTCTGTTTTTCTGGATTAGGCTTAGGCCGCACTACGGTTTTTTCCCGCAAGCGGTAAACCACCAAACCGCAAAACTGCCCGAGACGCACACACTACGGTTGAAAACCGCGAAACCGGGCACGATTTTCACAGTTTGAAGGTGGATTTCAATAGAGCTGTATGTGTTGTTGCTCTAAGAAGCAGAAAAAGAAAACGTTATCAAAAATTTCGCAAATATTGGGTCCATCCACTGACTAGATTTAAGAAAGGTCTCTTATAAAAAGTATCAAGAAATTTTTCAACTACTATCGGAAGGAACGGAAACGAGGACCAGCGGAAGTTCTGTGCTTTAATCACGATGGCGTTTATATCAACGACATTCCATCCTAACACTTTTGACACTGTGTGGCTAGATGTACGATTACTGGGGAAAAGTAAATATGCAGAAAATTCTTATCCACCTGTTCTTCAATTTTCTGTAATCGGTAACCCCACACGCCCCCGTTTTTACAACGTCACACCATCACAAGGACATTCGCTCCCAGAAGTCCCTCCACCTCAAATTGTCCCACTGGAAGCTGCCTCCTATGAATGAACTTATATTTTCGTTCAGATTACACCTGTCTAGCAATCCCCCACCCTTAGCCCCATTTTCAATGAATTTCTTAGTATTATGCATATCTGGTTCTTCATGACGGTGTTCCAAAAAATGAAAGTACCGCTCGCGGATGCCGCGTCAAATGTACACGCGCCAATATAAGTTCTATGAACTACAAATTTTTCTTGCTAGTCATTCTGTAACACGTCGCGGTTTTAAAATCAGTCGCGAGAAAAAATTGTCAGTGCGGTCGCTTCCATTAGTCGCAAAATCAGACGGTTAAAATTCGCGGCGGTTTAGCCGTACTGCAGGCCCATAAACTCTATAATTCCGCTCAAAAATTCAATATGGCGTCCATGAGAAGAAATAAAGTTGTTGCTGGAGAACGAGAGAAGAAACTTCATATTGGAATTCTAATTAAGCCACCTTGTAGAGGAGAAAAAGTGCGCGATTCATTTTGAAACTCCACTACTAATAAAACCAAGAAAAAATAAAATGATTTTAGGATAATTCGTTCTTTTGCGACTTCATATCTCTTGCAGCTTTCGAGCTCTCGATGGTGAGTCAAATTTGAAACACCCTGTATATACGGTGTAAAGTTACGCGTGAATCGACATACATATTATGCTCTATGAACTTTCTCGGTTTTTAATTTATAGAACCGTTCATTTCGGCCAGATGAGTAGCTTCCGAGTCCGGTCCTGTCCAGGTACATTAGCTTTGCCTTTATGATTTAAGAGTTCTACCACCATTTTTTCTGAGCTGTTGTTTCACCACAGTTTCGCATCACTGCTTTTGCAGCCGATGTTCCTACATCTATCTCGTTCCCGATCCATGCAACAGATAGAGACAGACAAGCCAGTTTGAAATTGACGCAGGCGTACAGCCTTTCCTATGGGTTTTCTAAGCGGTGTTGCCGAACCTACCGATATTTCTACCGAAATGAAAAGATGCCCTCGAAAAACTTGTGTAGTACAAACATATACTTTTTTCATAAACGGCGCCGCGTTACGCAAACGCCTTTTGATCTACCGCTGATCTTACGACGGACTCGATTGTTTCTTCCTACCGATTTTGTCCTTCAATCTAGCGAATTTCAAAACTTTCAGATTTCGTGTTCTCTGGGTCGGCAACAGTGGTTCTAAGAACTTTTCAAGGCTACGGTTGTTTTACCCTTTAACGGTGAGAGTGAAGCGACGCGGCCATTGTTCAGACTGCGGAGGACGCTTTGTGTTTTCTCATCCTTGATTTCACTGAGAAATTCGGTTTATGCGGAAAATCTGATGGGGTGCGATGCAACCTGTTGATCGAGTTGCTAGGCGACGAAGGAGTGTGACATTGCAGCAACGTGGCGGCGCCGGCGGACAAGAAACAAGGGAAGTAAACAACCTCTCATTATTCACATCAATTTTTATTTATTGTTCTCCAAACTTTTTTGCACGATTCAGCTAATCTCGTATCTGTCGTCTGGAAGTCTACGTTCACGTCTACGTTTGATATACGATTGATTTATAAGAGTTTCCTATGTTTAGATTTCAGTTTATCGGGAATTGCTGATTGAGCGAAATGATAGGTTGATGTAGCATCAGTTAAGTCCGAGATTATGCCCTTTTTCTTATTAGTGCGGTCAAGGTAGTGATCCGCTGCCGAGAATTCAAAATGTTTATCAGTGGGCTTTGGTCAATCTTCGTGGTCTTTGTAAGAGGTTGTAGGGTAGGTTATTAGTACAAAAAGCTAAATGACTCTTTGATACACCATGCAAAACAGGACCGCATCCGAGATATTTACTAAAATGCAATTATTTTTTAAATGATGTTGTATGGTCTTAGAAAGGTAAGACTATACTTTAGCGCACATCGCAAATATTTAATTTCTTATTTTGGTACTGTTGCGTATTGCAGAACTTCGGATTTCAGTTTTTTCACTTGAAACTTATAGAGGGTAGTCTGATAAATTATTTTGCATCATAAAAGGTGTGGATGAAGCACGCTTTTCATGAAATTTTTTTCCAAAACATTGCATTTTTTAGCAGTATTTCCACCGCCATCTATCATATGACGTTGACGTCTGTGGATATGTCATATATGAGAGGCGCTTGCCTGCGGTGTTGCCGGATTGGGCTCCGTATTTAGGGAAAAATATGAAAAGTGGACAATTTATATTAATGAAACAAAAAACTGAAACAAACCACAGTAGTAAAATTAAAAGTGATTCTAAGTAGAAAACAAAAACGTGAAATCGGAACTTCTACAATACGCAACAGCACCATCAAAATGATTACATTGTTTAAGGAAACAAAATTTTTATTAAATTTCAAGCTACAATTTCAAGATTTCTGCACAATCAATCACTGATACCTCAAGAGTCATGCACAATTTGTATAAAACAATTCACCATTTCTTTGACTGTTCTATAGATATTCCCTTTTTTTATTGAGCCATAGATGTAATAAATTCATTAGACTCCCTTCAATAAAAAATTGATTGAAAAAAACTGGAACTATGGACAAAAATATATAGACAAAGCAAAACAATTATAGAAAAAGAAGCAAAGTTCATTGAATTATGGAAAACCAATCATGTTTGTGTTAATATTTTGTAGCATAACCATTATTATCAATCACCGCCTAGCATCATCTCGGCATAGATTGTAGAAGTTGTTTGATATAATATTCATCAATCTGTCTTCACGTTTTCTCTAAAGCAGCATCATAGTTTTGATAAAAGTAAGTAGTGATTGATAGGGTCAAATGCTTTGCGGAAATCTGTGTATATCACATTTATTTATTTATTTACAGCTTTCCATAACATACAAAAAACATTACATTTTACAGATTACAATAGTCTATCAATAAACTATCTTCCAATCTGCTTAGAAAAAATGTTTTTTCACATAATCTCTTTCGAAAACAACCCCATTAAATGAATCTGCATGTTGCCAAACCTAAAATTGCGTCAAATTAATTTCTTATTAAGGCTGTGCAAAAAATCTAATCAGAATTCTTGGACTGTTACCACTGGTAATGAATGGGTGATCGTATCCAAATGGCAGGTAGCAGTACAACTGACAGAATCTGTTTTTGCGATCGAGTGGCTCTTCTAATGGTAACTCTGTATCCTCTGATATTGATGTAATATTTGTTTTCCAGGTAACAAGGGTAACAACGATTGACAAACAATTGGTCCATAGGGGGCGTTTTTAATGGGTGAGGGGCTAGTGCACTGGTTGTTTGCAGCGGTGACTAGATCCACACTCATTAAAAAAGCCCTTCTACTGACGGCATACGAGGGCGGTCCGATAAGTACTTCTGCTCACCGCCCCATGGCGCCACTATCGCGAGAGATCTTTACTATCATGTAGTACGGCTACTGTCAAAATTTCAGCTTTATCGTTTTGTTTTGACCGCGTGTGGAAGCCGGCGTTTTCGCGGATTTTAGAAAAATGGAAAATGGAAAAAAGCAATATCGGTCGATGGTTCAATTCTCGTTTTTTGAAGGGAAGAAAAAGAATGAGGAGGTTATCGCCGTCACGGAGACCTACTTTGCAGACCTACAGATAACGTATTTTTCAGACGTGATAGAAGTTGGAGTTCAATGGTATCGAGGTAAAAGGGGGGCTAAGTACTTATTGAGAATTGTGGCTGGATGAAGTTGGGAACCCTGTGTCGGCGCGTGTGCGTCTGGTCCACGTACTTTTAACAAATCGTGACTAGATCCATACTCGTCTATAAAGGGCAACTGTTCATAGTACTTCATCAATTATAATTAATGTTGTGTTTATGATTGTTTGATATAGTACAAGATTAAAAACATCGTCCATTTTGATACAAAAATGGTATAAGTTACATAAACTGACGTAGAGGAAAACGAAGAATGCCAACATGTTTCAGATCGCTGACCAATGGTTTGGAGAAGAAGGTATACCTGTTACCTACCGACTTTTTTCATACAGTCCTTGGTTAGTGCTTCCTCTGATTGTGGAACACTGTCGTCAACGTTTGAACTGGAGCAGAGAACGGCAACATTGCGAGGCATAATGTCATCTTCAGCGTCGAATCGCGGTTCTGTCTAGGTACGCCGCCGTGGAGAACGCGGCATCGATCATCTCATTTTATCGATACCTAGATGTATACAGGAGTGTATTCAGCTGCAGGGTCGCCAAACAAGTTATTTTTTTTCTTATTGTCAATAAAATTTCGTACGAATGTTTTGTTTCATTCTTGATGTAAGACCATTGCCAAAAAAGTTTAAATTATTTTTTCAGGGTGTAACACAGGTCGACTCTGTCATGAGATATGGCATATCATATTGGGGGATCTCTACTAATTCAAAAGATGTGTTCATGAAACAGCAAAGAATTATCAGATGTACAGCAGGTGCTAGAACACCATGTAGATCTGATTAAGAAATTGAGAGTACTAACACTTACTGGCTTATATACAGGGTGACTTCGAAGTTGAGTCATTTATTTTAACAGTGAGTAGATCTGATCAAAAGAAATGTTTTTTCCTTTTATCATTTTTCTGGTAAAATTAAAGTAACAAAGTTATAGCCTTTTGGAAGTTTGAGTACCGCCCTGTCTCAATAATAATATTATGTGCTCGTGTTTGGCAACAACGGATATAATCCGCCTTATCGGTTCATCGCATCGGAAACAAAAAAGCGAAAGAATTTGGAACGATGTTTTTACAATTATTTTATTCCGTTGTGTACAGTCAGTGTCAGTCGGTAACGCGTGAGTGAATAGTGGTGTCTGTTGCGTGGCTCAAACGAAATCAAAAATGAGTACCGCCCTGTCTCAATAATAATATTATGTGCTCGTGTTTGGCGACAACGGATATAATTCGCCTTATCGGTTCATCGCATCGGAAACAAAAAAGCCAGAGAATTATATATATAAATACAATTATTTCATTCAGTTGTATACAGTCAGTGTCAGTCGGTAGTGGATAGTGGTTTCTGTTGCGTGGCTCAAACGAAATAAAAAATGGCACATGTTTATGCGGATCGGTTTCCCAATCGAGTGCAACCAACACCTCGTGCTTTTGTTAATGTAGTACAACGGGTTTGTGAATCATTTGACTTAAGACCTCACATATGGACGGCATGCCGGTGCTCCAAGACCTCACGATCAAATACAGGTCCGCACTGAAATACTTGTCGGGAGGATACTTTATAAAACAAGGTAATTTTTTTTTTATTTTTACACATATTTTGGTTTATCTTCCTTCTACAATCATTATCTGAAAATTAATGACTCAACTTCAAAGTCACCCTGTATACCACCTCATAGACCTCAAATTATGTGAAGACCCCAAATATTTATGGTCTAAAAATGTTTAACCTACTTCCTTTGGAAATCAAGAATTGCCACAGTCTAAAGACATTTGAGAATCTCTTGAGACTAATTGAAAATATCTTTTATAGTGTGGAAGAATATTGTGATATATATCGTTAAATCTTATTTTTTACTTTTTTTGTGCCTATACAATGTTTTTCGTCGAGAGGAAGTAAAAAAATAAAAATTAAAAAGATTTTAGATTATATTTTAAACAGTAATTTATCATGATTAATATTCTCGTTCCAATAATATCAAAACATCTAAGCACCCTTTTAGACAAAAGTCTCTTATTTGCATTTGATTTCAGTTTACATATAATCTTGGAAAAAATAAACATTTTAGGAAAATTCGCTTTCTTTGGTCTCTATCAAGGACATGCTCCATTATTTCCTTGCCTAAATGCTCAACTTTGCCTCCAGTCAAGCGTATTTCTTACCGTTCTCGAGATCCCAACGGTGAGAGTTGAATTTGAAACGCCCGTTACGAAAATTAGAGAAAAACAACTGTTAACATCTAATTAATTCATTTATTTTTGTATCACTTGCCTTAATAAAATATAGTACGAGTACACTATAATGAATCTGAACAAAACAGCACAGGGCACAAACAAAATATCGCAACTGCGCTATCGACAGGCAACGGAAATTTGATAATACACATACGAAATAGTAACAAGATAATACACAGGTAATTGTTCGAAATACACTACTACAAAAATCGAGGCAGCAAGAAAAAAATATAAATTTATCAGTGATTTTTGACAGGTTGTATGTCGGTGAAAAATGGTCGTAACTAGAATTTAAAACTAGCATTTTGCAGCTTTCAGATTGTAGCTTTCAGGTTTTTCAGACGAAACATTTTACGAGCAATTCTAACAGATAATATAGCTTGTCAAAAATCACTGAAAAAAATTGGATTTTGTTCTTGCTCCCTTAATTTTTTTTGAGTAGTGTAGACCAGCATTCAGGGAGAATATTTTATTGAATTCATGGGAAATCTAAATAAGACCGCGCAAAGTGCCACCTACTACCTGAAACGACCACTGCTAAAATGGAAAAAAATACAGCAAGCTTTTTCCTCATCTCGTACATCAATATCAACTTTTCTCTTAATTTCATTTATATCTTTGTCTCGCCAAACTATTGTGGTATCGTCAGCCAAAACTACGAATCTACCACTTAAGCCCAAGCTTAATAAATCATCGATATAGACTAAGAATAGGATCGAACCTAATACCTTGAGGTACCCGTTGCCAATTTTCAACCCGCTTGTTTTCATCAAGGTTTAATAAAATATTCTCCCCGAGTACTGTACTAGTACACGGGCGGTCGTTCCGAATATGCGGATATGGTACGTAGAACTTATTGCCTAGGTCTAGCCGGGAGAGGCGGAGGCAGAGCGGACCTCGCTGGAACTGGAGGCGGTGCCGCGGGGCCGACTTCGGGTCTAGGTGGTGGGGGCGGGGGGATTTCCGGCATGCTGCCGCCTGTGAATTCAGCTTCGTCGTCTATCTCTTCGTACACAGAGTCGTTCGCAGAAGGATCTGGAACTGAATGTAATCATTAATAATACAGGGTGTAAACGTTATGGTAGTCATTATTAAAATGGGTAATAGGCGGGTCAAAACAAGTCAAAAAGTTATATCAACCACAACCTTACTAATTTTTATAATCTAATCTAAAACGTTTTTAAATTGGGTAATTCACAAATAAATGGCATTAAGTTTTTCTAAGTTAAATCAAAATTTGTAGTCAGTAAGTTTCATTAAATTAAATATTTAAAACACACATACAACAGCACGTCGGTCTTTCATCACTCTTATCGAAGCGGCAATCGATCGCAAACGGTAACAGTGGTTAGTTATTGTTCGCGTACGTCGTCGTGTTTATTTACAATAATTTACATACACCTAAAGTTAGCGATCGCAGTTGGACAATGCTGCCCTTGGTAGGGCATTTGATACAAAAATTAAGAAAATCGTAAATACTATTAAGTACGAAAAACTTGAACGAGAACTTGCTGGCCGCTATTGGAATTTTGGTGAGAATATGGAAAAAATATATGACAACATAATAGGAAATATAAAAACTTGTTTAGATCTTGCAACTGATAAAAAAGTGATTTGCTCGACAAAAAATACACCCTGGTATAACAAGAATATTAAGGCAGCTCAAAATTTGAGAGATAAACAATACAATAAATGTATATTCACAAAATCAAATGATGATTGGGAGGTATATAAAACTCTTAGGAATAAATGTGTATATGTAATTAGAGAAGAAAAAAGAAAATTCTACGATAAACAAATCGATAATAACAAGTGCGACAGTGTAAAGATGTGGAAGACTTTAAAAAGACTGATCAATTCGAAGAAGCATGATTGTGTAAATCAAGTTCAATTCGAAAACGGTACCGAAATAAATTCTTTGGTGATTGCAAACAAACTAAATGAATATTTTGTGGAAAGTATTGTTGATATTGTAGGTACTGCCAATGCTGCACCTGAGTATATGAAAATCAGTTTCTAGGGGGAAATGTTGCATACACTTTCAAAATTTCACAGCGTATCATTGAATTATCTAAGAAAAAAGTAAACAGTTTAAAATCAAATAAGAACTGTGCCTAAATGACTACTAAAAACGTGCTGAAAAACTGTTTCGAAATTTTGGGATATCCTGTATTAAATTGGATCAATTGTTCACTGAGAAGCAGTTCTTTCCCTGAAAATTTGAAATGCTCTACAATAACACCAGTTCCCAAAATAAAAAATTCTAAAAGATGCAGCGATATGAGACCAGTAAGTGTGTTACCAGGCATTGAAAAATTATTAGAGTCCATAGTGCATGACCAATTATTGCAGTTTATAGATGAAAACAAAATTTTAGTGGAGGCGCAAGCAGGCTTTCGAAAAAAATATTCCACAGAAACAGCTTTCCAGTTGGTAACTGAGAATTGGAGAAGAGCCATAGACTCAGAAGAAGTTGTCATAGCAGTATTTTTGGATTTGAAGAGGGAATTTGAAACGATTGATAGAGATATTTTGTTAGGTAAATTGAAGGCATATGGTATAACAGGAAGTGTTTTAGATTGGTTCAGAAATTATTTGTCTAAAAGGATGCAAGTTACAAAAGTTAATGACACTATTTCATCAAAAATTGAAAATACGTTGGGTGTTCCACAGGGCAGTATCCTGGGACCACTTCTTTTTATTTTATACATAAATGATTTACCTGCCATAGTCAAAAAATGCAAAATTCAAATTTTCGCCGATGACACTATGATTTATATAAGTACTAAAAATATTCAGTCTGGTATCTCTTATATAAATGAAGACTTGAAGCTTGTCTCAAAATGGTTAGCATCTAACAGACTAAAATTAAATGCAAGTAAAACGAAAGCCTTGTTAATCAGAAAAAAACAATGTACAAATGTTCAACTGAATATTGATGGTGAAGATATTGAATTCGTAGAAAATTTTAAATACCTGGGAGTTTTTGTTGACTCTCGATTAATTTTTGATATTCATTATGAAAAAGTTATAAATAAGATTAGTAGTAAAGTGGGATATTTATCGAGAGTTTCTGGATGTCTGAGTTCATATAGCAGAAAAATTATCTATAATACCATCATTCTTCCAAATTTCTTGTACTGTTCGACTATTCTACATTTAGCAAATAATTCCATTTTTGAAAGACTGCAAATTTTACAAAATAAGTGCATGAGAATAATACTAAATAAAGATAAATATACTCCAATTAGGCAAATGGTTAGCAAATTAAAATGGCTCAATGTAAACAATTTTATCAAATATCTTGTAATGATATTCATTTATAAAGTAAAAAATAATATATTTCCATCAAGTCTAACTAATTTAACATCATCAAATGTCGACCATCATTTACATAATACCAGAAGTAAAGATGACTTCCATTTAATGACCAAAAAGTATAACATATGCTACAAATCTGTATTCCATCAAGGGTTGATTGAATATAATAAATTATACTCGGAGATAAAAGACCAGAAAACTTTGACATAATTTAAAGTAAAATTGAGAAATCACTTGTTAAATCTACAATTATAGGTTGCCCAGCATTTACATCATACACCATATGGCTTGAATTTACTAGTTCTAAGTTGTTTACAATTGTTGTGTTTATGTAGCCAAATCTGCTAAATAAATATTTCTACTATTACTACTACTACAATGATCTCGAATCAAGAGTTCGCCGACATGTTGTTAGTTTACGGTGAAGCTCGTCAGAATTCAAATCTTGCAGCTCCAATTTATCGCCACAGATTTCGCCAACGGGTACACCCAGGCAGAAGGACATTTGTGCAAGTGTACCAAAGACTTCGAGATACAGGAAGTGTTCAGCCCACTAATATTCGCACTCGTGAAAGACAGGTTACTGTAGAGCAGGAGGAACAAATTTTAAATACCATGGAAATGAATGCAGATATCAGCACTCTTGTGGTTTCTTCATGACGGGGCACCACCACACATTTTTAGAGGCGTCATTCAGTATTTGAATGAACATTATCCAAATCGCTGGATCGGTCGAAATGCTCCTGATCCTCGAAAATGGCCAGCAAGATCTCCTGACCTTCATCCGATGGATTTCTGGTATTGGGGAGAACTTAAAGGGATGGTTTATGGGGCTGGTCCAATAACAACTGACGCGTAACTTCGCGAAACAAATTTTAATGCGGCTTAAATAATAAATGGACAACTTAAATAATAACGTTTTTACCCTGTATAATTTGGTTAAGAACTCCTTTGTTGTAATTTTGTTTGTTGGGCTAGTACTTTGATCATTCATGTTGTTTCATTTTAAATTTTTTCTCTTTGTATTTTTTTTTGCCCTGCAAATAAACGCTGTTATTATTAGAAGTGTTACAACCACAAAAAATAATTTCTTCAACTTGATTTTTTGGCTATGAGGTAGTCTCACATCAAGAATGAAACGATAATATGTACCCTTGTTTCTTTAATTTTAGTTTCTTGTTACATTCTAACTTAGCTTGCCTATATGTTTCTTTTAGCCGCCGTAGTAGACTCTTCGGTCTCCTGATCAGTCGCCGTGCGCTGTGCTGGTTCGAATCCCGTCCCAGGAGAAATGTTTCTCTTGGCTATGGATGTTGTGATTGTCCGTAGATGGTAGACGGTCTCTGACTGTCGAACGCGGAGGTACCACACGTGTTCCCTTGCCAGAGTCCGTGTGGCGTCCCCCCTTTCCCCTGTATCCCCCTATAGCCCCACGGGTGTTTAGGCATTAGGCCTTCGTGGTAGTAGATAAAAAAAAAGATACGGTAATGCTGATCGTGTGATATTCTGCTAAATGTAATCCTACCTTCATTCTGTCTGTCGGTGGGGTTTGAAACCGGTGCGGGTGGCGCTGGCCGCAGCGGGTGCCGCGGCACCGGTGGCGATGGTCTGCTAGGCGCTATGCTGATCACCCCCGCCTTCGGGTGCGACGATCGCGCGGCAGACTGGCTCGCCAACTTGGATGGAGTAGAAGGGGGCCGGCCGGGAGGGGAATTAAACTCGTTCACTTGCTGGGGCTTCGTTACTTCCGGGATACCTAGACCTATTCGTGGAGGACGGTTAGGCACTGTAATTACGAGGTCTGTAAATTAACTGATGAGATTGGCGACGTAGCGTTCGATCTGACGAAACTGGCGGCGCTGGGCTTGGAGGGGAATATGTGTACAAGTTTGAACTCGCTCCAGTCATTTGGTTGTTTTTTGTGAAAAAAAAAATATAAAAAAGTCAGTCTCATCACTTAATTTAAAGACCTCATATGTTAGGTGGCAGATATGTGAAAAAAGATATAGCTGGAACACGTGACTTCATACTGAATGATAGAATACTCACAATTGTATTCTGATTGACCGGTGTTTGCATTCAGGGGAATCGTGTTATCCGAACATATCCTTATCTCTTCTTTTGCTAATTCTACCCAATTCGGCGTCCTCAAACATAGCCTGAGATCAGAATCCTTAATCTGAAAGATACGTGATTAAAGTTTGACCACATGATGTGGCACAGCCAAATGGGAAAATCGATCAGAGTATAGATCAGGATGTTCCAGAAGTCGGTAATGGGGAATAGGCCAAGTCACAATAGTTATCGGAAAAATACAGTCAAAATCACGAAAGATGACTATTACGTCATACCATAAATTGTACTGAAGCAATCAATGGACGTACGTCGATGATAAAATCACAAATCTCATGAATTTATATTACGATTTTGCGAAGTTAGGTTATTTCACTGATTATTTTTATTTTCATTTTATTTCATGGTTTTAAGTGATACCTTAACAATAAGTTTAGTGTGCGGTTTTTGTTTTGAAAAAACAGTTATGAGTGAATACACCTTAAGACACTAACACCAAAGACCAAAGTATTATTCGAAAACAACCAAACCTTCTTTAACATAACCTATCTATTCATCTTTCAAATATGATCGATCATGCAATATGAAAACATTGTCTATCTTTGTCGGATTAGCAATACAGTTTGTGTAGACAATAAAATTCTGTTTGTCTCTGTCTAACATATTTGAAATTTCATTAAAATTACTCACAAATCGCTGAGATTTGTCTTTACTACAGACTAAAATGATGACGTAATCGTCATCTTTCGTGATTTCGACTATATCTAAGTATTAATGAAAGTGATCATACTGTCTTGCTGACAGCACGTAGAATGAGACTTTCCGTCACTCCCTCTGATAAAAAATTGAAATTTGTAGTGACTGGAACTAAAAGATCATCGCAGGGTGTAGAATTTTTTTAAAGTCTAAAATTTGAAAAGTAGTCTGCTTTTTTGATATTCCCCTATTATGACTTGACCTATCCCCCCTTTCCACCTTGACGTCGACATCCCGTATCTAGGAAATGGACAACCCTGCACATTCAAGTATTTCCTTGATCCCTTCGCCAACTTTTCGATTATATTCTGGCCTATTCTACATGGAATCCTATAAAATATAAGCAAGAGAAAAAATATTGCAACTTCCTTATTTGACAATGACGAATTTATCCCATTTGGCTGTTATACACTGTAAATAAAAAATAATGTTACCATTAGTTTTCCATTCGTCTTGTTCATGACCTCTAAAGCTGCTTGACCATCCCTGAAAACGAAATAGTTTCATGCAACGCAGTACAGTAGAACCCCGATGATCCGAAATAATGTGGACCCAAGTGCTTTCGGATAAAACGGAAATAAATATTTAGACTCATAATGCTTTTATTGAAAAAAGTAAATGCGTTTGTTAAGTGAGCATATACCTATACAAAGTTACGTATAATATAAACATGTGGATACAAACATACATATTTACGAGTACAGCAGACGCTCGATAACGTAAACACGGGATAATGAAAACTTGCGCTAATGTAAACACAAACTTCGTTCTATAGGATCAAACGGAACGCGCGATAACGTAAACAATGTGTACGCTCGATAACGTAAACAACTCCCGGCGCACGGAAACAGCGCGACGGTAAAATGCTGAAGCCTCGATGATATATGTCGGGCGTCGGGGAGTCCCCGATTTATGATGTAGAGTGTAGGGGATTCACCTCCGCGATAAAATACGACAAACTCGGTCAGTCGTATGATCGTTTAGGATACGTTTATACGTACGTATGTATTTCATTTTTGAACTTAAGTGAATACATTGCACGCGTTAATATATTTTACGACTATGGCATCCACATCCTATAAAATAAAGTGTTTAAAGTTGAGTGAGAAAGTGAAAATCATAGACGAAGTTGCACTAGGTGCGGGAGTGACACAGTTAGCAAAAAAATATGGAGTATCGAAAGCAACAATCTGTAAAATTAAGCGTATGAAAACTCAAATTTTACAAAGAACGTGCAATACATTTGGAGGTCCGGGAAAAAGAAAAACTTTAAAAAATGCGAAGGCACCTAAAATGGAAAATTCTCTGTATAAGTGGTTTTTAAAACAACGGTAAAATCATGTCCCAGTTAGTGGCGAAGTACTTAAACAGAGAGCGAGACTGTTAAATGAAAAACTGAAAGACACTGAAAATTTCGTAGCTAATGATGGCTGGCTACAACGATTCAAAACAAGATACGGAATTCGACTGCTGTCTATATCTGGTGAAAAATGATCAGCACAACCACAATTAGTGCAACCATTCAAAGAAAAATTGATGAAAACAATTACCGAGTTAGATTTAAGAATGGGACAAATTTACAACGCAGATGAAAGTGGCCTTTATTGGAAAATGATACCAGAGAAAACCTATGCTGCATCATTTGAAAAATCTGCCCCGGGAAGAAAGCCGGAGAAACAACGAATAAAGTTTCTAGCCTGCACTAATGCTAATGGTTCACACAAAATAAAGCCACTGGTAATTGGGAAAGCAAAAAATCCGCGCTCATTTAAAAATGTTAATATCCCTGTTGATTATGACTGTTCAAAAACAGCTTGGATGACTAGCAGTATATTCCTGAAATGGTTCCGCAGGTGCTTTGTCCCTCAGGTATGTCAATCAATTATCCCAAATGCTCTATTCATAATTTGAAGATGTGTTTTCTATTTGTAGGTACAAGGTTTCCTAAAACAACAGAAGCTTCCAATAAAAGCGTTGTTACTATTGGATAATGCACCAAGTCATCCTCCCGAGCAACAACTGAGGAGCAGGGATGGGTCAATTATCGTCATGTACATGCCGCCCAACGTAACACCGTTAATTCAACCGATGGACCAGAATATAATAAGACTCACCAAACTGTACTATAGGAAGTTTCTACTTTCATCTGTCTTATCAAAGAATCATGAAAACTTATCTGAGGCTTTAAAAAAAGTAACATTACGAGAAGCTGTTTTAGATTTACATATGGCCTGGAATGAACTTAACCAGCAAACTATTCAAAAATGTTGGAACAATCTCTTTTGTACCAATAATGAAGATGATGAAGAAGACGATGTCCCCTTAAGCGTAATTAGAGAACGTTTGCGATCCAATAATGATAATGTTATTAGTGTATCATTGGATGTTGTTGATTTATTGAAAACAGTGAATCCCAACATTGTTTGTACTCCTGCTGATATTAATTTATGGAACGAAGATAAGCAGACGAATGATGCTGATAAGGAGGAGGATATGGACAGTGAGGATGATGAGAACGATCCCATTGAAGTCAGAAGAAAAGAAGTTTCATACACGGATATTTTAGTTCTTCGTAAATTACGGGCGCAGGCATTGGAAGAGAATGCTAAGCGCAAATTTACGCAGACAACAATTGTTAATTATTTTTCTTCTAATTAAAAAAATACTTATCGCTGTTAGAATATTTGTTTATTTTGTTATAAATAGTATGTATTAAACGCTTCTTTTAATAAATCAAATATTATATAAATCACGTTCGCTAATGTAAACATTTCGATAATGTGAACCACACTTGGATTAAATTAGTTTACATTATCGAGCGTCTGCTGTATTTAGTAACAAAGGAAATAATTTTTAACAACACGTTTTGCATTGTTTCTATTTTTGGCAGCATATCCCTCCAACGTGTGATAAGTAGCACTCAGCTGCTGTCGCATTTTACCGAATATTCTTTCCCCGAGTTGTTATTTTTTACACTCATTTGAGAATAAAATCATTGCATGTAAAACGTTCAAGAAATGTATGGTCTCCCCCTTGAAAAATTCTGATCAAACAAAAGAAATGTTGAAGGGTTTCGGGAGAAAAATTTAATGGCATTTCAAAAAATATGTATTCAGTGAAATCTCCCTTTGGACGAATACCAACGGGACCGACTAAAAGTGTCTGTTCGAATTAGAAATTAGCTACAATTGGTGTACCCGTTTCATGCGTCCATGTTTTAACAACGTGCATCGATAAAACCAGACTTTACACGATTATTTCGCGAAAATTTGCTAATATCGTTAGACTACTGACCTGAAAGTGATCCACATCGTGTTCGCGACAAATCTAACGAGTACGATATCTCCGAATGGCGTCAATTCATCAACAAGCGCCATAGTGAGGTCATCATCGAACGCTGTCTCGTCTTTCCCGTCCAGCATAGAAACGACAACGGTAGCGTCCGGAGGCCCCGCCCACGCAATCACTTCGTAGAAGCAGTTGTCCCTGCGTGATTCTTCCACATGCCGCGCCTCTATGTCCACTATCGCTATCACCGGTCTGGAATAGGAACAAATAGATCGTTAACGCACAATAATAATAACGGTAATAAAATGTATTCCGACAGGAATAACAATACACAATGCGGTAACAGTTTGCCATGCTACACGCAGTGATCGCCAACCCGTCGCTCGCGAGCTAACGGGCACCTCGCAAAGGCAATTCTGCTGGCTCACAACGTATTTTAAAAAGGCGTACAAACCATACCGTAAATTTTGTAAATTCTCATAAAAAACACAAGCAGCGGCAACACTGCGGTGAGCGATCTGTTCGAGAACGATCTCGATTACTTTGAACGGAATATACAGGGTGACTTTGAAGTTGAGTCATTAATTTTCAGATAATGATTGTAGAAGGAAGATAAACCAAAATATGTGTGTAAAAATAAAAAAAAAATGTTACCTTGTTTTATAAAGTATCCTCCCGAAAAGTATTTCAGTGCGGACCTGTATTTGATCGTGCGGTCTTGGAGCACCGGCATGCCATCCCCTGTGAGGTCTTAAGTCACCTGATTCACGAGCCCTTTGTACTACATTAACAAAGGCACGAGAGGTTGGTTGCACTCGATTGGGAAACCGATCCGTATAAATCCGTGATGCCGCGTAAATAAGAATCATGTCCACAAGTTCAGCATTTTCGTAAACATGAGTCATTTTTGATTTCGTTTGAGCCACGCAACAGACACCACTATTCACTCACGCGTTACCGACTGACACTGACTGTATACAACTGAATAAAATAATTGTAAAAACATCGTTCCAAATTCTTTCGCTTTTTTGTTTCCGATGCGATGAACCGATAAGGCGGATTATATCCGTTGTCGCCAAACACGAGCACATAATATTATTATTGAGACAGGGCGGTACTCAAACTTCCAAAGGGCTATAACTTTGTTACTTTAATTTTACCAGAAAAATGGTAAAGGAAAAAACATTTCTTTTGATCAGATCTACTCACTGTTAAAATAAATGACTCAACTTCGAAGTCACCTTGTATACGCGAGGCGCGACGACAGTGCGCTCAGTTTAAAACACAAAGTCCAACGGTTGAGTTAGAGTTGCAATTAAAAAGATTATGAGCAGCAGTAACAAGATGAAGACATACCATTTCCATTCGGAATAAGAAGAACAATATTTCTTTTTCAGGAGTTAAAGGTAAAAATGTATGTATGTTTCCCAAAAACGATAATCCTCCGAACCTTCCGTAATTTTCGGGCTTTACTGTCTATTAGGAAGGTTTATCACGGACGCTGGGAAGCCCAAGATGAAGAATAATTAAAACGGCGAATTTTCGAAAAACTGAGAGAAATCGATCTGAATTCCGTTCTGGACCTCATGAGAGATATTAGAAGAAAGTTGCGTCTGGTAGAGCAGAATGGGCCACTCCACATAATTCGATAGTATGAATTAGTTAAGTATTGAGTTGTAATTTATGATAACTACAGTAAAATACCAAAATTGATGACAGTAGCGAAACTCATCGTACGACACTGCTATTACACGGAGGCCTTTGAAAAAGCGGCGCCTCTTTGTAATCGCTGTAATAATCAAAAGGTACCACGTCAAAGCAGTGGCGCACGATGACTTCTGCTACTGTCATCAATTACTGTATTTGGACTTTAGTTAGTGTTTAAATAAATTGCTTCATTAAAAAAAAACGATGAGTATTTTGTGGCAAGAATTTTCGGACATACGTTATAATGGACCGTGCTAGGGTTTTAGAGTGAAAAAAAAAATAGATTATTTTGATACAGTTTTATAGATGACGAAACCGCTTCCGAATACTGGTTCGGCCGTTTTGAAAATTTGGAAACTCTTATAGCAGATACGTCAACAGCGATCTGAAACAATCTTTATAATAATAATGTTTATTGAAGAAAAAACACGATTTAGGAGCGAAATAAAAAAAGCATATCCCGCAATAAACATATACAGGGTGTTCCTTAATGATAGATATGGCCTTGCCGACGATAACCAGACTGATTTATCACCAGAGATATCCCGATCGTGCTTTTCCAGATAGTCGAACCTTTTCTAATATGCATCGTCGTCTTGTTGAAACCGGTTCTGTCCGAAAAGGAACAACTGAAGGTAGACCTCTAAGTGTGAGAACACCTGAAATTGAGGAAGCAGTGCTGCACGAAGTCGAAGAACATCCTGAAACGAGTACGAGGAAGATCGCTAGACACTTAAATACTTGCCATCAAATTTTTTGGACAATTTTAGTGGATTTTTTGTAATATCTTTACCATATTTTAAGAGTACAGGCATTACTTTCCATTGATTTTTTAAAGCCTGTGACCTTTTGTCAGTGGTATCTTCAAAAAATTACACAAGATCCGCAATTTGAATCAATGTCCCCAGACCTTAACAGTTTAGATTTCTTTTTGTCGGGCTATCTTAAGACCCTAGTGCTGTACACAAGTCCCATTAACACTGTAGAGGAATTAAGAGAAAGAATAGTTGCAACTTGTGATATAATAAAAAACACTCCAGGGATACTTTAACGAGTGCGCAATTCCATGAGAAGGAGGGCGGAAGCATGCATACTAAGTGAAGGGGTCCATTTTCAACAATTTGTGTAATCATTTCGGTGGTTTTAATGTTATTTTTATGTTGTCAGTTGTTGTTGTTCATTACCCCTAATGTGTTTAATTTTTCCAATTAAATTAATAATATTTTTGCAAGTTAGACAATAGAACGGTTTTTATTTTTTTACTCAAAAATGGCGCATCAAAGGAAAATAGTTCAAGAGAGATCATTTGTTTTAAATTGAACGTGCAATTCGAAAATAATTTTCATTTGTCAAAAAACCATTTTTTTCTTAAAAAATATCGAAGTCAATACCCGTTAAAGCTAAAAATTATTTTTGCATTGAAAAATATGCAACTTTAATAACTTTCACTACGTACTAAATATCTGTGAAATATCTGAAGCGGTTCTGAAAATATTAATTAATTTCCATTTTTTTCCTAAAACATTTTTGGACCATAGTTTATTAAGCAAACATTAATTTTTCATTTAGATTCACACCCTTAAATATCCGCATGTCACAAAAAGCAAATGCTTGTGCGTGGAGGAATGTAATACCCATTGAGGTCGTACACTTCCAACTTATCATTGCCCTGCTAGCACATTTTTAGCCTGCTTTAACCTGCTATTTTTGACAAAAAACGTGGTCTAAACGCCTACCTGTGATCACTCTGTTTCAATTCGGCTCTCCCATAATATACCAGTCGCCCTTGATCGCTGTTATCGGGTGCTCCTGGCGGTACACGCCTCCTCCACAGCACTCTATCTGTCCATGCCGGTGCTCTGCATTTTTCGCTCGTGTCATAATCACCGCTGAACAAGTCGTATTTGTACGTCGGATGAAACGTGATTTCTCCCTCCAGGAAGTTTTTGAACACAAGTCCTGGAAAAGCGTTTGTTCCACCATAAACTTTGATTTTGTGACCGCAATTGAATCTCAACACTAGTGGGAGATACAGCTTAGGGGTTGTTTACACGACATTGAAAAACTTGTAACAATTAATAAATATCAATGTATTTGGGAAAGATTTTTGAGAAGTGTTTGAATAACAGACTTTGTTCTTTTCTTGAGAAATATGACATAATATCGAACTGTCAATTTGGATTCCGCAAAAATTGCAATACAGAGCAATCTCTACAAGAACTTACAGGACAAGTGCTTGAAAATTTTCAAGATGGAAATAAGACTGTTGCAGTTTTCCTAGATCTTCAAAAGGCTTTCGATTCAGTATCTCATACAATTTTATTAAAGAAACTAGAAAGTGTTGGAGTGCGTAGTGGAGTTCTGAACTTATTTGAGAACTATTTGGCTGATCGATTACAACAAGTTAAGGTAGGGTCAGATTTAAGCAACATTCAAAAGATCAAAATAGGTATGCCTCAGGGGACAGTTTTGGGACCAACACTGTTCCTCATATACATAAATGAACTACTTCGATGTAATTTCAACTGTAAGATGATATCATAAGCAGACGATACTGTTTTAGTTTGCACTGGTCATTCATGGGATGACGCAATACGGAATGCCGAGTTGTCATTAAATAAAGTCAAATGCTGGTTGGATAACAATTTACTTAAACTGAATATCTCTAAAACTAAGTATGTAACGTTTTCTCCAACCAAAGCAGGCATGTCATTACACCACCGAACATTAATTATAAATGATAGTGCTGACAGTGTCGAAAGAGTTGAAGTTATTAGATACTTAGGAATCATTGTTGACAGTAATTTAAACTGGCAGAGTCATGCCGAGCTTTTGGCATCGAAATTAAGGAGAATTATTCATAAGTTTTTCATTCTTAGGAATATTTTAAGCAGAAAGAGTCTTCTCTCAATATATAACTCGTTTGTGGGGTCTCTACTAACTTACGGGATAAGTATTTGGGGAGCCGCATACACTAGTACTTTAAAAATACTACAAACCACGCAAAATTATATTGTCAGGACTATTTTTCGTATCCCATGTAGGTCAAGTTGCAGATTCGTTTACATTGAAAATGATCTTTTGAATGTTAGAGGTTTATATATTTTTGCTGCTCTAAAATTTGTTCACTCCCGAAACAATGTTCCAACCAGCCACGCTTATGAAACAAGAACTAAAATAAATATAAGTTACACCTATACCAGAGTGAATAAATCTGTTTGCCAAAAATGCATAAAGTTTGATGGTATTAGGTTGTATAATAAATTACCCCTAGAATATAAAATCCTCTCGAAGTATAGTTTCAAAAAAGAATTAAGAAGTTCATCTTAAATAACTTTGACATGCTTGCATCGACGGTAGCTTGACTCAACTCAGTAATTTCGTTTCTATCTAATGTTTTTTTTTATTTCTTTTTTTTTATATACATTTGCTCATAATATACCTTATGACCATTAGCCATGCATTGAATTTGTATATTGTATGACACACACAAGCTTATAGCTTAGGTGTCTATTATTTTGTAGTAAATTGTAGTACTCTTGTTTCTCTGCTTAACCTTTACGCAAAATTTTTATTGTTTAAACAAGATAGTTTGACCTTACTCGAAATATCCCTCTATTATCATATTTCAGATATTCATATTTTATGTACTCTATATTTATACTTTTGAGTGTTTTTAGTATGCTTCTGTACTATTGTTATGAATTTTAGATTTGTTTATGCAGAAACGTAATTTAGGATTTGTGACGACAAGATCCAGACATTTACCCTTTACGAAAGTATACAGAATTTTCACAATTCATATACCGTTACTTGCTGGTTCTAGATCTGATGCTAGTATCTTTGCTCAGATTTCTGTTGCAATCTTGGTTATTCAGGGTAGCAAGAGCATACAAGCTCATGTATTTTTGAAGCTTTTTTCATTTAAATTGTACTGAAGGTTGTTTTTAATTTGTAAGTTATATTGGTTTTTGAATTTGAATAAACTTTGAACTCAATTCCATGGCTTGCAGTGATACTAAAAATCGGCCAAAAGTGGTTTTTATACAGATTTGGCCATGGTTTCGTTCTTATCTACCAAGGACTTTCGCGTTTGTATCAAATTCTGACGAGCAGTTTGCCATTCTATCGGCCTGGTTACCCAGAGACCAGACAAAGACAAAAAACTTACGGCCGTTGGTGACTTAACACTAGGCAACACTACCCCACAATTTCAGTCTTATGCTCAAATAAACAGATAAGGTGTTTTAGACGTTTTATCTTTCCGTTAAACCGAAACTTTTCTGGATATAACATCAAACGTGACAAAAATATGCGACTTCTGCAATGAAAGTAAAGATAGCTTTCGTAACAATTTATAAATAAATTTTCGACACATAATAATAATTTAACTATCAGTCTCAAGCAAGGAAGATACTGTATGTCGCATACCTTCCTTTTGCTGCTTTAGTAACTGGTCGTGCTTTAACGCCTCCGAGATGAGTCCTTGTTTTATTAACTCTTTCAATTCGTCTTTGTCCAAGTCAACCCTATAAACGATAAAAATTAAATAATTATAGTCAACAGTTACAGTGATTGTAATAATGATAATATTCAGTAATAATAACTATAGCGATAATAGTTACAATTATACCATAATATATAGGACAATAAACATCAACAATCTAAGCTATCTCAGAATTGAAATCCAATAAAAATCCAAGTCAGAATCTCTCAAAAAAGATTCTTAAGTCAAAGCTGGATCTACATTATCAAGATCAAAAAATATTCCTGTTGGTATACCACAAGGTAGTAAACTAGGTCATCTACTATTTATTTTATACATTAGTGACATTTGTAATGTTTTAGATTATTGTAAACTTCAGGTATTTGCAGATGATACATTAATATATATCAGATGAAAATATAGACACTGCTTTCCAAATGATAAATTCCGACTTGGCAAAAATCGTAAATTGGTTAAATGTAAATAAACTAAAATTGAATGCTTCTGAAACAAAATGTATGCTAATAGGGAAATACCTAAATGAAAACGCTATCACAGGATAAATGGAGAGATAATTGAAAATGTTGAATCAATTAAATATTTAGGTATATATATTGATAGTAAACTAAAGTTTGAGGATCACTATTATTTAAATAGCGATTATTTTAGCCACTTGTAATTTTTTAAATAATTTTTAAAATTAGTTTTTATTTCTCGAAATTTCCCTAATAAAATTATTTTAGGAATGATTTTTTAACTAAATAATAATTTTTTTTAAATAATTTTTAAAATTAGTTTTTATTTCTCGAAATTTCTCTAATAAGATTATTTTAGGAATGATTTTTTAACTAAATAATAATTTTTTTTAAATAATTTTTAAAATTAGTTTTTATTTCTCGAAATTTCTCTAATAAAATTATTTTAGGAATGATTTTTTAACTAAATAATAATTTTTTTTAAATAATTTTTAAAATTAGTTTTTATTTCTCAAAATTTCTCTAATAAAATTATTTTAGGAATGATTTTTTAACTAAATAATAATTTTTTTTAAATAATGTTTAAAATTAGTTTTTATTTCTCGAAATTTCTCTAATAAAATTATTTTAGGAATGATTTTTTAACTAAATAATTATTTCAAAAATTGCCTAAAAAACAAATTACTTTTATAGGGCTTCTCATAGTCTTGGTACCTATTCCAAGAAAATAGTTTATAATACAATTATTTTACCACAATTACTATATTGTTCAACTATCTTGTTCACTGCCAATGAAGCTGTATTCTCAAAACTACAAGTCTTGCAAAATAAAGCTATGATAGTAATACTGAATAAAAATACGTACACGAAAATAAAATCTATGTTACAAGAATTGCAGTGGTTGAATATAAAAAAATTTATATCATATTTGTTTCTTATTTTTATATTTAAAACAAAAAAAAATCATCTTTTGCCAGAACATTTAGAACAGTACATAGAATTCAATAATCATTACCACAATTATTATAGTAGAAGTAGTAGTAGAAAGATTTATTTAGCACATTTGGCTGCATAAACAGAATAATTGTAAACAACTTAGAACTAGTAAATTCAAGCCATATGGTGTATGATGTAAATGCTGGGTAACCTATAATTGTAGATTTAACAAGTGATTTCTCAATTTTACTTTAAATTTTGTCAAAGTTTTCTGGTCTTTTATCTCCGAGTATAATTTATTATATTCAATCAACCCTTGATGGAATACAGATTTGTAGCATATGTTATACTTTTTGGTCATTAAATGGAAGTCATCTTTATTTCTGGTATTATGTAAATGATGGTCGACATTTGATGATGTTAAATTAGTTAGACTTGATAGAAATATATTATGTTTTACTTTATAAATGAATATCATTATCAGATATTTGATAACATTTTTTACATTGAGCCATTTTAATTCGCTAAGCATTTGCCTAATTGGAGTATATTTATCTTTATTTAGTATTATTCTCATGCACTTATTTTGTAAAATTTGCAGTCTTTCAAAAATGGAATTATTTGCTAAATATAGAATAGTCGAACAGTACAAGAAATTTGGAAGAATGACGGTATTATAGATAATTTTTCTGCTATATGAACTCAGACATCCAGAAACCCTCGATAAATATTCCACTTTACTACTAATCTTATTTATAACTTTTTCATAATGAATATCAAAAATTAATCGAGAGTCAACAAAAACCCCCAGGTATTTAAAATTTTCTACGAATTCAATATCTTCACCATCAATATTCAGTTGAACATTTGTACATTGTTTTTTTCCGATTAACAAGGCTTTCGTTTTACTTGCCTTTAATTTTAGTCTGTTAGATGCTAACCATTTTGAGACAAGCTTCAAGTCTTCATTTATATAAGAGATACCAGACTGAATATTTTTAGTACTTATATAAATCATAGTGTCATCGGCGAAAATCTGAATTTTCCATTTTTTGACTATGGCAGGTAAATCATTTATGTATAAAATAAAAAGAAGTGGTCCCAGGATACTGCCCTGTGGAACACCCAACGTATTTTCAATTTTTGATGAAATAGTGTCATTAACTTTTGTAACTTAAGAGGAAATATAGACTTACAAATAATATAACTAGCAAATCAATGTTTCAAAAAGGATTACTTGAATTTAATAAACTAAATAATGATATAAAGTCTACTTGTAATTTAAAAGAATATTTCATGGACAATGAAAATTCTTAGAGATGCAAATTTTGTTTTTTTTTCTGAATATCTGTATGTTATGTTATTGTTTAGTTTTTTAGAAGAATGTAATTGTAGCAATCATGCTAAATAAATCTTAAACAAACAAACAAAAATGACATTATTTAATGCATGAAAATGAAAGTGTTCTACCATTACTACTGCGTCAAAACAAGAAGAAGAAAACAAAATTTTGAAAAATAGTATGCTGGATTTAGAAAAAATATTCTACAGGAACAGCAACCCAAATGATTATGGGAGCCTGGAGAAGTATAGATGAGAAAAAAATGTACTGCAACAGTATAGTCGGTGACCTTGAAAGTGTTACACCCAGAAAAAATAATTTGTAGCTACCAATTTTTGACAAAGGATTCAACTTCGAGGACATCATTCAAGGATATAATTACCAAAATTTGACAAGCAGTCAATATTTCCTCGGGTGGTAATCCATTCTAACAAAACGACAGTTGCGTGCTTACCTGTAATTGAAATCGCCGCACCAAAATAAGTATTCGTGCGAATTAAGCGACCTACTCATGGGGAATGCAATTTTCCTCGTGATCTCATTGTAATCGGCATTCCTTTCTCCAACCTGCGACTGCCCAGCGGCAAAATGAGCGCAAACAAAAGCTATCGAAGTTGAGTGGAACACCATACGAATAGCCACCGCACCTGATCAAACAGAATAATCTAATTGGAAAATTTGCCTTGCAAAAGAATCTGACATCGACAAATTGTATTAGAAATTTGCAACAAGTGTTAATTAGTGTTTAGATGTTACATGTCCCCAACAAACTATAAAGACTAAGGGCCGTACTGTCAGTCGTTCCTTCAATTCGTGCCTTTCCCTTCCTCAGAAAGGCTGGGATATTTCTGGATTTCTACTGTTCCGTGTCACGCTGATAGATTCCCTGCCTAATTCAAAGACTTTCCAACGAATCGATCAGCGCTTACGAGAAACTGGTAAGAAATGATTATAGCCTTATTTTGAGTAGTAAATTTGGATTATACAGGGTGACTTCGAAGTTGAGTCATTTATTTTAACAGTGAGTAGATCTGATCAAAAGAAATGTTTTTTTCCTTTACCATTTTTCTGGTAAAATTAAAGTAACAAAGTTATAGCCCTTTGGAAGTTTGAGTACCGCCCTGTCTCAATAATAATATTATGTGCTCGTGTTTGGCGACAACGGATATAATCCGCCTTATCGGTTCATCGCATCGGAAACAAAAAAGCGAAAGAATTTGGAACGATGTTTTTACAATTATTTTATTCAGTTGTATACAGTCAGTGTCAGTCGGTAACGCGTGAGTGAATAGTGGTGTCTGTTGCGTGGCTCAAACGAAATCAAAAATGGCACATGTTTACGAAAATGCTGAACTTGCGGACATGATTCTTATTTACGCGGCATCACGGATTTATGCGGATCGGTTTCCCCATTATCTTCCTTCTACAATCATTATCTGCAAATTAATGACTCAACTTCAAAGTCACCCTGTATATGAAAATATGGGCCGACATAGTGGAGCTCCCAGAACTGTATGATAGCCTCAGCAACACATTTCCAATTAATGGTATTCAGAGGAACTTAGAATTTTAAAGTCAGATTGAATTTCAGAGCCGACACTTTCCAGGTATTTACAATACGAAAAAGAACGAGTATAAAATAAAAATCAGAAAGTTTAAACGTACGAGCCCTAACAGAAAATAGTTCGGAAATTATTTAATTTTATCTTAAGTTTGTTAATTTGTTCAAGGTTACATTTGACATTGAAATATATTGTTTGGACATCATATTAACAAAATTGTTATCAAGTAATATGATACTAAACTATAAAACTAAACTGATATTGATAGCGACAATATTTTGCTGACACGCAAATGATCCGACGAACCATTTCAATAGCTCGTTACGCCTCCCCTTGCCTTGTTCTGATAACAATAAAAGATGCTATTACCTTTTTGATTATCAATTTATCCGTATATTCACTTACCTTTGTTGCCTGTATGTCCTCCCAAACCGGTTTTAACACAATCTACTGCAACGTCGCGTATATACGGTACATGTTCCTCTCTCACAAATATGTACAAACACACTCCGACCAACTGTTGATAAGTCACCAATACGAATGAGCGGTCTCGCGATAATACCTGCAAAACGGATTTAGTATCAAAATATACAGGATGGGACAAGAACTTGTCGAAGTGATCTATTTGTGGATTGATGTACAATCAACCAATTAATCGTGTTTTTCATTCATCTATTCACAAAAAGTGTATCACAACTGAGTTGGCATCTTATAGAAAAACCTACGTTATGTCACAAAAAAACCTATAAAATGTAAAAAAAGAATCGATAAAATGTCGCTTTTCAAGATACGTAATACCGGAGCCGGTAAGTTTAAAAGATTATTGGGTACCTTTGCGTCTTGTAGAACTTCGGATTTCACCGTTTTTCTCACTTGAAACTTATAGAAGGTAGTCTGATAAATTATTTTACACCATAAAAAGTTGGACGAAGCACGCTTTTCATGAAATTTTTTTCCCAAAACACTGTATTTTTTAGAAGTTATTTCCCCCATTATTTCCACCTCCATCTACGACGCTGACGTCTGTGGATATGTCATATATGAGAGGCGCTTGCCTGCGGTGTTGCCGGATTGGGCTCCGTATTTAGGGAAAAATATGAAAAGTGGAAAATTTATATACATTTATATCAGTGAAACACAAAAACAAAAAAATGAAACAAACAACAGTAGTAAAATTAAAAGTGATTCTTACTAAGTATAAAACAAAAAAAAAACAAACAGCAGTAAAATAAAAAGCAATTCTAAATGATTATAAAAAGCAAAAAATTAAACCAGTAGTAAAACAAAAAACAGTTTAAAAAACAAAAAATAACAAACAGTAAAATAAAAAGTAATTTGGACGGAATTAAATTGTTCTTCGTTTTATTACTGTTTTTACTTTTTGTTTTGTGTTGTCACTTAGAATTGCTTTTTATTCAACATGGAAATCAAAATTTTTTGATTTTTATAATTACATGAAATTGGTTTTTGTTTTACTACTGTTTTTATTTTTTGTTTTTTATAATTATTTATAATTTATCATTTTTTAGCTTACTACTGTTATTTTTTGATCTATACTTATTAGGGATCGCCTTTTATTTTGCTACTGTTGTTTGTTTCAGTTTTTCGTTTTTGTGATTCATTAATTAATATACATATGTATATAAATTTTCAACTTTTCATATTTTTCCCTAAATGCGGAAGCCAATCCGGCAACACCGCAGGCACGCACCACTCATATTATGACATATCCACAGACGTCATATGGCAGATAGATGGCGGTGGAAATAATGATGGAAAGAACAGCTAAAAATACAATGTTTTGGGAAATTTTTTGTTTCTAAATAATCTATCAGACTACCCTCTAAAAGTTTTAAGAGAAAAATCAGTGAAATCTGAAGATTCACAAGACGCAACAGCACCGATTATTGCTAGAAAAAATCATATGATGAAGGTACCACTAGTTCTCACCTTCTGTAATTCTGTCGCCCACTGTTTAGAATTTTCGCTGCTGCTGTTCATGATATTGGCCGCGTTCAAGTCGACGATCTCTTCGAAGCCGATGGCATAAATGTCTACCGGAGCAGTTTTGTCTGCGCGATCCTCCTCATCCGGACTGTCATCCTGATGATCGAGCAACGCTCCTTCCACGGTGCCGCCGGAATCTTTCAAATGGGCGTCTAATAACCAATCGGACAGTTTTACCTACAGTGAACAATGATTATAGGTCAATGGAACAAATTTAAGTGAATAAGCGAAAATTCAAATTAATCCAATATCTGCCTCGCTGAAGTCATTTTTATACTGGCTGTCAACAGTTTATTAAAATGATTAAGACACTTAAGGAAACTTTCTTATCTCTGGGTACCGCAACTGTGAAATGAAAATTTAAATCCTCCCTTGAACGTTCCTCAAGGAAGCGTCATTGTTTAACCGTTTCCAAAGAAGCCTCAAGGAAGGTCTACGAATCCGACTCTAAATTCGTCGTCAACGTTAAGATCGTACTAAGGAAAATTATGGATTTTTACGTACATCTTTGAAGGCCACGCTGCGGAAATGCCTGCCGCCATTGACGTTATACGTGGCGCAGGCGATACGCAAACGAAGAGGCTCAGTATATTCACAATGGCGCCGGCATAGTTCACGCAACACAGGAATAGGAGCTGCAATACGATAATGGTACAGTTAGAAAGGGCCATCAGCTCCCAGCCGATTTCTCGCCGGGTCAACGAAGGTAAAATTGAACGAAATTTTTTGCACCAAGGTCGCAGGTCAACTAAGAAAAAAAAAATTCAGTCCCATCACTCAATTTACAGACCTCGTAATTTTTACACACTAACACTATTTTATACTGGCATGCATTATCTTCCTTGCATATAAGCTGAAAGAATCACTTGTTATACCAATCTATAAAAAAGATGGTGGCTAATTATAGGGGTATTTCTTTGTTATCCGTATTCGCAATATTCTTCGAAAAGGCTTATTATAATAAACTGATAAAATTTGCTGACAGATTCAATATCATCAACAGGTACCCATTTGGATTTCAGAAAAACCTATCTACAAAAGATGCAGTATTGTCTATGTGTGACTTTGTCTTAGCGTGCCTTGAAAAGAAAGATAAAACGTCTTGTCTCTTTATAGATTTAAGCCGCGCTTTCGATACTGTCAAAAAGCTTAATAACTACGGAGTCAGAGGAACCGCTTTAAATTGGACAGAAGGTTATCTATCCGATAGGAAACGAGTTGTCATTAATAATGGTGGATGTAAAATATCTTCTAACACCAAGGTTATTTTAACTGGTGTCACCAATTTGAATGCTTTCCAACGCCGAGTTAAAAGTCTATTCATGGAAAACCCTTTTTAAAGCATTGAGCAACACTTAACATCAGACTCGTGAATTGTATTATTGCAAACAATTAATTTTTAATCTGCCCGTCCCTCTATTTTTGTTTTATTTGTTATTCATTCACTTCTTTTTAGTTTGTTTGTGTATGTTGTTATTTTGAGTACCTATATTATGTTTGTATTATTTAATTTACTTAGTGTTGTCTCGATCACAACTTTTTATTTATTTTTTTTCTCATTCATCGTTGACAATTTGCTGATACTTTTTCAAGTCAAATATATTTATTTATATCTTTAATTAACTGCCCATGCTCAGATATTAAGTATTGCGGGAATTTATCATTGCATGGTTTTATCGAATCTTTATTAACTAAATAAAATAGTATCCATACCATGTAAAGTATTGTATGGTAAGAGCGTCCTAGCTCTATCTGCCAATTCTGAAGATAAGGTCGATCCGACAAGAAGTATATCGATTGCTTCTTGCTTCAAGTTGTCTAATAAATTGTTTTGTATTGTTCTTGCCGCTGACCTAGCACCGTCCATTAGCTAAAAAGTCATCGGGATTATGTTAATAATCGACCTTTGCCTCGGCTTGTTTATGATTAACTGTGCATTGAAATTGTAATATAAGATTGCTGTAAAAAATTAGATTCAATGAATTTCCGGCCGATATATCCAGTCTATAAAGTATCAGTCTCAGTGTTCCAGCCTGTCGTGTACTATAGTTGTGGATTTCTAATTGGGTTATGTAGCCTACCTTAGAACTGCCTTGTATAGCCCCGGTACCGGCGTAAATTTTGCTGATTTCATTTCCGTTATTCACCCACATCTGTCTGAATACTTCTTCGAACCTCGAAATCACTTGCTTCTTATCAGTAAGTTTCATAGTTTCCAACTGTTCGGCCAGTATTTCCAGTCCGAGGAACGTTTGAACGCAATTCGTACGATCCAAACAGTCTAGACAGTTGACCCGGACCGTACCACTCTGCATCCTAAATAAATGTATCTGTTTTTGGTATCCATCGAAATAAGACAGCACAAAACTGCATCTATCTATTGGAACACTAAAGGCCTGTTTCATGCTTCCAGGCAATCATCAGCACAATCTACGCTCGTTGCTGTTCACTCTCGCATTTGCGGTTTCTTGTAATAGATGGCATTTTGTGCTATCTCATTTTGATAGACCTTATACTTCGAAGTTGAGTCATTTAATTTAACAGTGAGTAGATTTGATCAAAAGAAATGTTTTTTTCCTTTACCATTTTTCTGGTAAAATTAAAGTAACAAAGTTATAGCCCTTTGGAAGTTTGAGTACCGCCCTGTCTCAATAATAATATTATGTGCTCGTGTTTGGCAACAACGGATATAATCCGCCTTATCGGTTCACCGGATCGGAAACAAAAAAGCGAAAGAATTTGGAACGATGTTTTTACAATTATTTTATTCAGTTGTATACAGTCAGTGTCAGTCGGTAACGCGTGAGGGAATAGTGGTGTCTGTTGCGTGGCTCAAACGAAATCAAAAATGGCACATGTTTACGAAAATGTTGAACTTGTGGACATGATTCTTATTTACGCGGCATCACGGATTTATGCGGATCGGTTTCCCAATCGAGTGCAACCAACCCCTCGTGCCTTTGTTAATGTAGTACAAAGGGCTCGTGAATCAGGTGACTTAAGACCTCACAGGGGACGGCATGCCGGTGCTCCAAGACCGCACGATCAAATACAGGTCCGCACTGAAATACTTGTCGGGAGGATACTTTATAAAACAAGGTAACATTTTTTTTTTAATTTTTTTTACATATATTTTGGTTTGTCTTCCTTCTACAATCATTATCTGAAAATTAATGACACAACTTCAAAGTATACTAAATGGCGTAGAAAATGCAACACTGACTGGGAGTGCTGTCTCTTTGAGCATACTTTTACAAGTTTTATGTCTACTGATAAGTAGAAAGTGATTAAAATTTTAACTCGAAGTTTCGCAAAACAGTTGAGATATTCCACCTCAATATTAATAATGTGGATAGTAAAGTACTGTTTTAAGAGCATACATAGAATAAATTATTTGCGGAATATCAAAAAAGATAAATTACATCTATAGAGCTGCTCATAATCTCAATATAATTACAAGTTCTACAAAATAAATCTATGAGAATCATTTTAAATAAAAACAAATACGCTAACATTGAGTCTATGTTAGAAGAACTACAGTTGTTAAATTTGGAAAACTGCATAAAATTGCATAGTCATTATTATAACGCAGTATAGATTTTCATCTAGCAACTAACAAATCTGTATTTCAAAAGGGAGCATTTGAATTGAATAATGATATTAGACAGTGTTGGAATTTAAAAATGTTTAAGGCGAAATTAAAAAATCACTTTATGAATACCCAAAATGTAAATTAAACGAATAATTAAACAAAATTGACGTTGAAGCATTAAAGCTAAATACGAGCGATGTCTTTTAAGTTTTGTATATGGAAATAAAACAACACGGTAGGTAGATTTAAATGACTTGTTGTGAAAGTTTGAATTTAAGTTTACTAAAGAGTGAGATCAAGATTCAGTACTGACGTTCGATCCGCGCGGCCTACTATGTTTCTATATGCAAAACTTAAAAGACATCCCTCGTAATCTTCAACACCGCACACGTATCATGTTTATTCTATTCTATAATTGAAAAACAATTTATTTTTAAACAGATTTCTAATTCATACAAATTGCGGATTATAAATTACCTGTGAACATGAGGACCACTGGCATGATAAAACCCGAATTCTTGGAGTTGTTGCACGATTTTTGACTTTAAATTCTGTAAATTAGCCTGATTTCCACCTCTACATTCTTGATGATAGTCAAACACTACATGAGGTATGTCCGTATGTACAGACTCTTTATGATGCTTCTACAACATTAAATATAATCATTGCAACAACATAAAGAAATACACAACGTACAGCGTGTTTAAGAAATGCCACATTCATAGGAACTTATTTGTTATTCTTGGATGAACTTTCTACCCTACGAATATTGGCACGTCTTTTTGAAACGTTCAGTACATAAAAAAATCTACATTTTGCAGAAAACTATCGTACCTGAAACTCCTGGCTGAGCATCGCTTCGCCCTCTTTGCTTCCAACCAAACTAGTTCCGAGCAAATTTATAATGACTTGCTTGTTGTATTTCTCTTTCATCATCACCATATGTTTGTTAAACGCGGACTTTGAAGATTCGTATCCCCTGGAGACTCTTACTTTGTGAGATCCTACCTTGAGATGAATCAGAAAGAAATAGTACATTACATAACTGGTTTCAGGAGTAACTCATACGTAATGTCCATATGACGTCATGTATACTTTATCTGAAGTCACTTGAAATAGCATAAAAACCTTTGGTCGGCGCGTCCTTTGTAATTTCATGACGTATCATAGGCGTGCGGTCATTTATTTAGAACGATAATAATAATGTTTTTATATCACAATAAATGGATTTTACTATCTTCTTATTTTTTTGATTTGGGATAAAAAATACTTACATTGGGAGTTTAATTTATGTTGACTGAAAGTTAAGAAATGGAAAAATTACAGAATTCCAACGTTTGACATAGGCAAATATTTAATTAGCAGGTAGGTATATAAAAAGGTATATAAAGACTTACATTATAGGTATTTATATATCGTCCTCGCCTTCGGAGCTGTCGCTAGAGTCATCTTGTAGAGGAATTACAACGGGATTTACAGGAGGCAAAACACAATATTCATTTTCTTTTTCAATAATATGCCTAGAACACTGCTTCCATAGGTCTGTGGCAGCAATATGAGATACTGCATCTCTTATTGTGGCCGATAGCGATTCACTTAATTGAGGGGTCTGATTATGTTTTCTTACTTTTTTTTTTAAAGCAGCCCAGACCAACTCAATCGGGTTAAAAATGCAGTAATAGGGAGGTAGACGTAATACTTCATGGCCATTTTGCTGAAGCAGATTGTCAACAACATACTCTTTTTCAAATTTGTGTATTTTAATAAGATCCAATAATATGGCTTTGGTTGATTTTTGTGGTATTTCCATTCCCTTATCCTTCATAAAATCAATAATGTCTTGTTTTTTTGTGCCTGTATTCGGAATTTTGTTTTTCTGTCGGGAATGGTATGGCGCATTGTCCATAATAATCACTGAATTTGGGGAAATGTTTGGTATTAACTGCTGCTCTATCCACTTTTCAAATAAGTCGGAGGTCATGTCCTCATGATAGTCGGCACATGATTCCTTGATATTTTTGGCAGATAACAGCAAGGAATTAGGTATAAATCCATTTTCACTGCCAGCATGGAGAATAATGATTCGTTTTCCACGGTTGCATGGTGCATTTAAAATGCACTTGTTGCTGTCGTCAACCCAGCCGTACTGCACATCATGGGTATCATACCACGTTTCATCCAGGTAAATCAGATTTCTTTTCTGCTCTCTATAGATTTTAACTTTGTGCAAAAATTCTTGGCGCAATTCAACGATTCGAGACGACTCCATAATCACCATTCTTTTATCTAATTTTTTGTATTGAAAACCACACAGTTTTACGATACAGTGCAGTGAGTGTAAGCATTTGTAATTATAAAAATCTTCAGGATAATCTTTTAATTTATCCCGTATCATTTCCAACGTGGGCACCAAATTTTCTTTATAAAATCCGTATATTATACGACGAATATCTTCCTGAAAACCCACGTCTATTCTTTTTAATTTTTGCCCTATGCGCTTTCTGTGGAAGGAATGGTTGACTACATCTCCCCTTTTTATAACCCGATAAATGGTAGACCGACTGATTTTTGTCAGGATACAAATTCTGTTTAAAATTTGATTTCGCGAGGAATCTGGATTTTCGTTTTTCAGACAATCATACATATTTAGGATTACTCTTTGGGTCTGTTTCTCTAAATCTTTATGAAAGAATTCTGCCTGCACAGGTTCATCAACCATCTCCTCGTGGCTTGGAGCATTTTCCCAAGGTCTCCAAAGAGCCATATTTAGGACACACAAGTACAATCAACACAACAATTAAATCAACAAGTAAACTGAGTATTCAAAAGTCAAAAACACACAAACTAATAAAATCTATGAAAAAACACGGACAGACTAAAGAAAACACGTTTATTAACCGATACACGGCACTGGCTAATTTTCAGTAGCCACCTGCACTTGTTCGGAGCTCTGAAATACACGCTTTCTCATTGGCTATGTCCACGCATAGGCGTGCTTTAATCCACGTGGACCGGTGAAACTCCCTTTGATCTTATACGGGGGATATTTGCTGCGAAATCTGGCGATTTTTGCAGCAACAGAGCGTGTTAAATATAGATATATAAAACGCACCCGGTATTTCACAGTGTTTCAAGTGACTTCAGATAAAGTATACCTCGAATGAAGATTTTATGTCGCTGACTTGTTTTGTGTGCTTTCAACACACTTTGAGTAATTACAAAGGGTTCTATAAAAGTTTTGTAGTATGACTTAACAAACAGACGCAGGAGGTGGCATGTTTGCGATCAGCTGTGACACGCTGCCTTCTTAAGCAAACTTCCATCCTAGGGCCTCCTGGAAAAGCTTTGCAGATGGGTGGCTAACTTTATCTCTGGCCGCAAGATATCGTCGTAATTGACGGGTTCTCCTCTTCATCCCACAACGTCAACGCGGGTGTTACCCATGGACAGCACTATACATGCAGGAATACAGAGCGACAAGCCGATCTCTGCCGCTGTGTTGGAAAATGCTAGCGACGACTTCATCTCTGACGAGCAACCTGGAGGTTATCACTGCTTGGGGACGCAGCAATCTAGTACAGTTTAACGCTTCCAAAACACAGTACCGTATACTTTATCTGAAGTCACTTGAAACACTGTGAAATACCGGGTGCGTTTTATATATCTATATTTAACACGCTCTGTTGCTGCAAAAATCGCCAAATTTCGCAGCAAATATCCCCCGTATAAGATCAAAGGCAGTTTCACCGGTCCACGTGGAGTAAAGCACGCCTATGCGTGGACATAGCCAATGAGAAAGCGTGTATTTCAGAGCTCCGAACAAGTGCAGGTGGCTACTGAAAATTGAAACAGTTTAGCCAGTGCCGTGTAGCGGTGAATAAATGTGTTTTCTTTAGTCTGTCCGTGTTTTTTCATAGATTTTATTAGTTTGTGTGTTTTTGACTTTTGAATACTCAGTTTACTTGTTGTATTGATTGTTCTTGTGTGTCCTAAATATGGCTCTTTGGAGACCTTGGGAAAATTCTCCAAGCCACGAGGAGATGGTTGATGAACCTGTGCAGGCAGAATTCTTTCATAAACATTTAGAGCAACAGACCCAAAGAGTAATCCTAAATATGTATGATTGTCTGAAAAACGAAAATCCAGATTCCTCGCAAAATCAAATTTTAAACAGAATTTGTATCCTGACAAAAATCAGTCGGTCTACCATTTATCGGGTTATAAAAAGGGGAGATGTAGTCAACCATTCCTTCCACAGAAAGCGCATAGGGCAAAAATTAAAAAGAATAGACGTGGGTTTTCAGGAAGATATTCGTCGTATAATATACGGATTTTATAAAGAAAATTTGGTGCCCACGTTGGAAATGATACGGGATAAATTAAAAGATTATCCTGAAGATTTTTATAATTACAAATGCTTAGACTCACTGCACTGTATTGTAAAACTGTGTGGTTTTCAATACAAAAAATTAGATAAAAGAATGGTGATTATGGAGTCGTCTCGAATCGTTGAATTGCGCCAAGAATTTTTGCACAAAGTTAAAATCTATAGAGAGCAGAAAAGAAATATGATTTACCTGGATGACACGTGGTATGATACCCATGATGTTGTGCAGTACGGCTGGGTTGATGACAGCAACAAGTGCATTTTAAATGCACCATGCAACCGTGGAAAACGAATCATTATTCTCCATGCTGGCAGTGAAAATGGATTTATACCTAATGCCTTGCTGTTATCTGCCAAAAATATCAAAGAATCATGTGCCGACTATCATGAGGACATGACCTCCGACTTATTTGAAAAGTGGATAGAGCAGCAGTTAATACCAAACATTTCCCCAAATTCAGTGATTATTATGGACAATGCGCCATACCATTCCCGACAGAAAAACAAAATTCCGAATACAGGCACAAAAAAACAAGACATTATTGATTTTATGAAGGATAAGGGAATGGAAATACCACAAAAATCAACCAAAGCCATATTATTGGATATTATTAAAAGACAAAAATTTGAAAAAGAGTATGTTGTTGACAATCTGCTTCAGCAAAATGGCCATGAAGTATTACGTCTACCTCCCTATTACTGCATTTTTAACCCGATTGAGTTGGTCTGGGCTGCTTTAAAAAAAAAGTAAGAAAACATAATCAGACCCCTCAATTAAGTGAATCGCTATTGGCCACAATAAGAGATGCAGTATCTCATATTGCTGCCACAGACCTATGGAAGCAGTGTTCTAGGCATATTATTGAAAAAGAAAATGAATATTGTGTTTTGCCTCCTGTAAATCCCGTTGTAATTCCTCTACAAGATGACTCTAGCGACAGCTCCGAAGGCGAGGATGATATATAAATACCTATAATGTAAGTCTTTATATACCTTTTTATATACCTACCTGCTATGTAAATATTTGCCTATGTCAAAAGTTGGAATTCTGTAATTTTTCCATTTCTTAACTTTCAGTCAACATAAATTAAACTCCCAATACAAGTATTTTTTATCCCAAATAAAAAAAACAAGAAGATAGTAAAATCCATTTATTGTGATATAAAAAAATTATTATTATCGGTCTAAATAAATGACCGCACGCCTATGATACGTCATGAAATTACAAAGGACGCGCCGACCAAAGGTTTTTATGCTATTTCAAGTGACTTCAGATAAAGTATACCACTATTGCCTCATTTTGCAACTGTGATTAGATTACCTACCTGTACACCCGGTTGTTCCCAAAACAAGGGCACCGAACCTCGCGTTTGCAGATACGAAGTGATTTCATTGTCTAGATAGACCATCTGCTCGGTTTCCACAAAATTTGCAACATGCCCTTCATCGTTGGTACCGCGTACGTTAAATCTGGAATTAAATGTACAGAGGTGCAATTTAATCGTTACTATACTAAATTCGCCGTCTCCGAGAATGAGGAAATTACTAATCGGACGGCCCTCGTACTCAATAACATTCATTTTTACCGTGTTCCAGCTCGCTCACAGCTCAGTCTCGATATGATGGCTGCCAATGCTTTCTTCGAGCCAACATAGACAGTTCTCATTTCCACCGAGCCACACATCGCTTTCACGAGCCAACTTTGACAGTCGACGCCGTATCTTATAAGGTGGATGTGAAGCATTCGGTTCCTGAAATGGAGACGCAGCGAAATCAATCAACGCGCAAACGATTTCGGCTCTGAAAATAAGTGATCGCAACCATACATTTTCTGCTTTGAAATACAGGGTGTAAACGTTACGATAGTCATTATTTAAATGGGTGATAAAGGGTGTTAAAAAAAGCGAAAAGTTTCATACAACATGGGAGTCAAAACGGCATTGTTTTAGAGAAAAGCGAATTTAAAGTTGTTATTGGACCAGACCCATAAACCATCCCTTTAAGTTCTCCCCAATACCAGAAATCCATCGGATTGAGATCAGGAGATCTTGCTGGCCATTTTCGAGGATCAGGAGCATTTCGACCGATCCAGCGATTTGGATAACATTGTAAATAAACACGACGACGTACGCGAACAATAACTAACTACTGTTACCGTTTGCGATCGATTGCCGGTTCGATAAGAGTGATGAATGACCGACGCGCTATTGTCATGTGTGTTTTAAATATTTAATTTAATGAAACTTACTTACTTACTTACTACAAATTTCGGCTTAACTTAGAAAAACTGAATGCCGTTTATTTATTAATCACCCAAATTAAAAACGTTTTAGATAGGATTATAAAAATTAGTAAGATTATGGTGATTGTAATCCATTAAAGTTGTAAACTATAAAGCCATTTAAACAAAAATCTATTGACTTTTGGACCATGGGTCATATGAACTTTTTGACTTGTTTTGACCCCACTTATTACCATATGATTTACACCCTGTATTTTACGATATAACGGAAGTTAGGAAAAAGTTACAATCTTTACCCCTCGTGGTCGATCCCTCATGTGCGTCTCTGTGTACCGATTTACTTGAAAACAATGCTACTTACCAAAAAAATCGATGATCTGTGGTGGAAGTTTTGCTTCTTCTTTGCGCACATAACGTCAAATCTATGGGAGTGCCGCTGGCGGTACCAGACTGCCACGTAAAATAAAACGTCCCACTGTTCAAAAGCTTCCGCACCTGTAAATACATCGACAGACTTGGTTTAATGTCACGTAAGACGAGTCGATATATCTAGAGCAGAAAGTACATTAAAAAATAACGAAATAAGTTCCTATAAATATCGGTCCGAGATACAGGGTTATGAAGTTTTATTTATGAAATTGAAAAAAAATTATATCTACGGAGCAGGTAAAGATACTGAGCTAATATTTTGAACGTTTAGTGAGCACATCATCAGCAATTAAACGCACAGAGTTTCTCTGCCCAAACTGGCCTTTTCAGAAAAAAACTGCATTTTATAAAATACCATTTTTGAACGTTTAAAATTCCAACTCTGTAGATATATTTTTTTTTCACTTTAAATAATAAAACTTCATCACCCTGTATGACTGTAGCATATTTGAACCAATATTTATAAGGATTTTTTTTATTTTCGTATGTACTTCTACCCTAGAAATATCAGCACGTCTTTTTGAAACACCCTGTATATGTATCTATATTATGCGCCGACTAACAAACCTCAACAATCCTATCTTCGTTCTGTGGATAGTGCAAAGGAACAAATTGCGTCTGTGTAATTCTGAATATCTCAGAGTCTCCGATTTTGCCAATCGAAAAACAGCCTGAGATCATGACTAGGTACAACAGTGTGGACTCTCCAGCGTTCAGCTGGAGAACTCCCAGACATCCATAAGCATCCAAAATCTTCGTGTACTGCTTCTTAATTGTCTCTGTTTCTTGCGATGCTAGTACAGAAAACAATTCCGTATATTACTAAAGATTGTAGTTGATATCCGAAAATTATTTCAAATTTTTGTCCCCTCGTCATTTGACCTTGATCAATGCATAGCAAATCAGGAAATAATAGTTTGAAACTAGCAAGACATGGCCTACTGAATCAGGAATGAAAAGTCATTAATCACTTTGAATAATAATGTATCTTAATTTTTATTAGGTCATGTATGGTTTTGTTTATTCTGCTCTTCTTTTTCTCCCGTCTACCATTTGTCATTTCTTTACAATAAAAAAATATAAACAATGAAGCAAGGGCTGCAACCCGAAATCAAAAAATGTTCTAGCTTCCAACACAACCATTACCCTGAGGGACTATCAGCTCTCAATCAATACAGTTCTCTTGTTTCAAGATCTATGGAAATGAAGACTTGTTATTTTTAATAAAGGACCAATAAATTTATTATTATCTTTTACATAGTTTAAATGTCAATGTACCCATACAGGATTTTACTTCTCTTTTATTTTATCCTGCATCATAAGGCAATAATACAGCGGATTACAAATTGTACTACATTTGTTATACTGTAACAGTATCGTTCTTCTTTAGTGGAAACAGGGCATGCAAAAACGTATCAATGCTAGTCAAGTTATCTTAGGGACAACTTACAGAGTACTGCAATGGCTTGAGACTCAAACAGCAGTGTATCTTGCTTGTTTTTATATTCCAACAAGACGCTGTGAGTGCTCGGTTTTGATTTTTCAAAAACACGGAAGGCCTTGTGCATCGCCATCACGTTCCTTTTGTTTTAGGCGATTTGACTGATTTTTCGCTGGTATATTCCTATAAAGATTTTTCTGGGATGCCGCAGCCATAGAACATAAACGGCCTCAGCAGGTGTAAACAATACCCATGCTAAAATCCATTGTAAGCAACGTCAACAATTTTAGCCACAAACCCACTGGTTCGGTTTAAACTCCTCTCAAAAACATTTCCTCGTCGATCCGTCAAAAATTGATACACTAGTCGTGGGGTGCAGCGTTGCCGAACCGAAAGATACCAAATAGATAGTGCCGCTGAAATTCGATAGATTCAAGGTCAAAATCGGTGGGAGACAAAAGGTTCGTCGCAAAATCAGCGGAGGTTCAAGGGTGTTTGCGCCGTGCACCGCCATTGGTCCATGTTTTTTTGCTGAAAATCTTAATTATTTTAAAAAATCGTGAAAAATGAGCACTTTTCCGTAAATGTTCCATTTCGGTGGATATACCGAAAAATCGGTAAGTTCGGCAGCACTGAAAGTGGGACTTCTTAAGCCATGTACAGATATGTAACAACACCGCGAACCGAACCGCAGCGCGCGCATTTTGACGAACAACATTGCAACGAGCATCACCACAAACCGAACGTCATCGCGCAACAAAATGACGATCCAACTTTGATGTTTGTCGTTCAGTGAAAGACGAATACTAACTGAAATGGATATAGCAGTAGCAGCAGCTGGCTGTATTTATTTTCACTACGAATTATCAAAAAACAAGTGATGAGGACGTTCGAGACGATGGTGGCAAACACAGTTATATACGAATCGATCAGCACACGGTTGCAACAAATTGATAACGGAATTGCCATTTTCCGTTCACATAAGCCAGCTGTTGTTCCCGTTGTGGACGCTATCTGCTCCCAGGCGACTTGTAACGCTAATCAGGTTCGCGACGGCGTTCTTTTCACCGTCTACACTAGCGCAGCGCGGTTTTGTTCGCGGTGTTGTTACATATCTGTACATGGCTTTAGGCGAACTGGCGTCGCCAAGGTCATCCTCACCACAAAATATATACACGGAAAGATGGATAACTCCGTGCATTTTGACTGGCGACACGTTCCTGTCATACTGCGTTGGAGATACGTCACGTCAGCTGTCAATAGTGTCGCTGTCACAAGTAATGGTTATTTTCTTTGAATACCTATTTTTCTCAAGCGTAAAAATTTGTTTAGTTCAACTTTGGAATCTGAAGTACAACGAAAACAATATAAGACTATGTCTACCTGACCTTGACGGATTCGTCAGAATTACGTCATTTGGCGATATGGGGAATTTTGAAATAGCACTAAATATTCAGCTGTCACTAACACGTGATGGATACTCGTGAAAAAGACCATACATTTTTCAGCGTATACGAGGTCTGTAAGTTATGATTTTTGTTCAAATATAATTACAATATACTCAAAATAACTTCCTTCTGAAGCCACACAGCGCTGGAGACGGTTCTTGTATTTCTCATAACAGTGCTGGAACTCCGATACTGGGATAGCCTTCAGCTGGTCTTCGGGAAGAGAAAAAGTCACAAGAACAAGATAGGCGAATAAGGAGGCTGAGGAGACAGGAATGTTTTGCTGCCAAAATCTCGTTTATTGACATTGCTGTATGACAAGGAGCATTATGGAATTATCGTGATGCAACTACCAGCAATGCGAGTAGGGATGTTTGATACAATCAGATATTTAGGAGTATCGATACTTCCGATATTTTTATATACGACACTTGAGTGTATCGATGATACATTTCACGAGTATCGATATCTTTGATATGTACTGTGTCAGAAAGAGTGACTAACTTTACATTAATTTTCTTCTTTGTTTCCTTCCGCTGGTGCTACTCACTTCACGACCTCACATAATTCATTTCCTTTGGATTCCAGGGTTGACACATTAGGGGGATTTCCTCAAAAATCAGGTAATTATTATTTCAACGGTGAAATTTTTTTGTGGAAAACATATTTTACTCGGTGGAGGTATTATTATGTAATGTCATTACATAATGTACTTGTTATATATTTATGTCTTTGGGGGTATTTAGCGACATACAAAAAATATTTTAAGATAAAAGAATACCTAACAAATCGTACACCTAAGGTAACAAAAAATGAATGGTATGTTTTGAGGATTTTTTAAAAGTCCTGTTTTTAGGGGATTTTTACATTTCGACTGGGGAAATTGAGCTAAGCGACCTGGCAACCCTGTTGGATTCTGTTACGGGGAATTACACACAGAGTTTTTAATATTAATTGATAGTTTAAAACAATACATTGTGATAGTGATGCCTCCTGTAAGAAGTGACGTGTGGAACTAAATCGAGTTTAGGTGAGAGATGTTAGTTACGCAATTTTAAGGTTTTTTATTAGTGCACGTATTTGACGAATTAGTCATGGAGTTGAAAAAAGGGTTCTAAAAAAAAACAACGATTTTCGTCAGTGTATGTTCCGTATCGAAAAGTTTTGATACTTGTGGTGTCGATAATTCCTAAAACGATACGAATCGATAATTCTCGTGGATTGGAACATCCCTAGAATCGGATGTCCTTGATATGCTCGGAACACCAACTCTCGATGACATTTGTCCATAAACGCCATTGTGCTTAGAGCATAGAACTTCTGCTGGTGATTGATGCTTCAAATCTATACACATCTCAGCAAAACCTAACTACAAATCGGAATCAGAAATGTTGAAAATCTCCAGACGCCAAGCTCGCCATTTTTGTCGATATTTGAAGCCGCCAAATCGCCACTTGGCGAAAAATCGACACGCCTGGTAACGTTCCCTGCCCCCTTCTAATCCCCGCGCCTCCGGCGTTGTCAGATCTAACGCGACGTTGCTACTCCAATTTATAGACCTGTTTTGTGGTACTAGGTATGAAAAAAAAACGTGTTTAGGGTTGAATTTTATTTCATATCAGTCGCTATATTGCTTAGCAAAAGAACAACTGACGTATTGTTAGGCAACAAGTGTAGTATGTTTGCATTGGAACAGAACAGTAACTGCTTTAGTCGACCTCTTCGATGGTGGGTCCAGCCCCGCCACCGGGAGCGGCACCTCCTGCACCAGGGGCTGCGCCTGGAGCACCACCCGGGAATCCGGGCATACCTCCAGGGGCGCCTCCTGCACCCTGGTACAGCTTCGTTATGATCGGGTTGCAAATGTTCTCCAGCTCTTTCTGCTTGTGCTCGTACTCTTCCTTATCAGCCAGTTGGTTAGCGTCCAGCCAGGCGATCACCTGTAAAAGAACAAACAAATATAAATAAATCGGTACATTTCTAAAACTAGATTGCCTCCCTAATTGGTCGAAGATCCGTTTGGATTTTAATATTATTAAAATCGACCCTAAATATCCGGTTACTAACCTCGTTACATTTCTCCATGACGGTGTTCTTGTCAGCCTCTGAGATTTTTTCCTTGATCTTATCATCCTCCATGGTGCTCTTGATGTTGAAGCAATAGGATTCCAGCGCGTTCTTCGCGGAAATTGTAGCCTTCTGCTTATCGTCCTCGTTGCGGTACTTCTCCGCCTCGTTGACCATACGCTCGATATCCTCCTTGCTCAGGCGACCCTTATCGTTGGTGATCGTGATCTTGTTCTCCTTGTTGGTGGATTTCTCGATCGCCGTCACGTTCAAGATGCCGTTTGCGTCGATGTCGAACGTGACCTCGATCTGAGGCACGCCCCTAGGCGCTGGCGGAATGCCGGTCAGCTCGAATTTGCCCAGCAAATTGTTGTCCCTCGTCATCGCACGCTCACCCTCGTACACCTGCAATGAAACACTCCTACAGTCAAATATCTACTACTGTTTGAACTTTTCATCTTGCGACATTATGTGTATGACAACGACTATACCTGAATGAGCACTCCCGGCTGATTGTCCGAGTATGTGGTGAAGGTCTGCGTCTGCTTGGTCGGAATGGTGGTGTTTCTTTTGATGAGGGCGGTCATGACGCCGCCGGCGGTTTCGATACCCAACGATAACGGGGTCACGTCGAGCAACAGCAGGTCCTGCACCTCCTCGGACTTGTCTCCGTGCAGGATGGCCGCTTGTACGGCCGCGCCGTACGCGACGGCCTCGTCCGGGTTGATCGATTTGTTCAGCTCCTTGCCGTTGAAGAAGTCCTGCAGCAATTTCTGAACTTTCGGGATGCGCGTCGATCCGCCGACCAGCACGATGTCGTGAATTTGCGCCTTGTCCATTTTCGCGTCGCGGATCGCCTTTTCGACCGGTTCCATCGTCGAACGGAACAGATCGGCGTTCAGCTCTTCGAATCTGTAACGGTCAGTCGGAATTGAAACAAAAAATTCGACTGGGTTAGCGTCTTCCTTGAGACATGAGACTCCCTCGGAAACAAGGATATTTCGAGGACAGTGACAATTCTTAGAGGTGCAAATTTTGTTTTTCTAAATATCTGTATGTTGTAGTTTCTTAAAATAACGTAATTGTAGCTAGAACAAACAAAAAAGTAACCAAAAGTTAAACCCTTTGTAGCTATTGACTTTCTTAGATTTCAAGAGAGCATTTGACATTATTGACAGGGAGAAATTGTTAACGAAATTGCACTGCTATGGATTTCAAGGTTCAGTATTCAACTTATTACAAAATTATTTGATCAACAGAAGTCAAAGAACTAAAATTGGCAATACATTATCAAACATTAAAAATATTTCGGTAGGTGTGCCACAGGCTGGCAAATTAGGTCCATTACTATTCATTTTATATACAGTGAAAGCTCCCATAAGCGGACACTCACGGTTCCGTAACTTTTGTCCGCTTATGGGAGGTGTCGTTTAAAAGAGAGTATGTAAGTATAGAGTATAAATAACGGGGTATATAATCATGAGGAAATGAGGCATTATAATCATGAGAAAAATGAAACAGAAACTCGCCACATTTTTAAAGTATGTATTTATGCTATATATCTATATAATATATGTACATATACGCATACAAAAACATAAATGCTTCAATACATGGTACGAGAATTTAAAAAAAAACATTATTCTTTAGCTTGTTGAAAAAAGTTTAAAATGCTTGTCTGAAGAAATTTCACCATCTTTTGCTGAAGGAGACAATTTTCGTAATGACTTTCTAAATTTTTCAAATGTTGAAATGCAGTGAAATCATCTTTAGCAAATTTTTTCAATATAGAAATATCATTTAGAGCTTCCCCATATGAATTTATCGTTTTTGAACCGCTTAGTGAGTCCACCAGTTCCACTTCTTCTTCTGAGTCGTTTGGACTACCATATTCAAGTTGGCCTGGGCTTTCTACATCCAAATTCGAAAAGTTGCCAATGGCATTTTCTTCTGTTGTTATGTTATTGTCTATGGCCAGGAAATCATCTACTTTCTGGGGATCTGCTACTCCTAAATGTTTGGCATGTCGCAGTAACTGAGCAAGTGTCGCTAAGGGCAGATCGTCTTCAGCATCGCAATAATTTTGCTCAGCAAATTCTGAGCTACATTCACTTTTTCTGAATCCAGCTTTGCCAAAACAGTTTTTAATTGTAGAGGAATTTACTTTATTCCATGCTGTTTTTATAAAATACAAAGCTTCTAACACATTGATAGACTTTGTAAGCTCAGATAAGCTTTGACCATCGTCAATTTTTGTTAAAATATGTTTTAAAATCAAGTGCCGATAATAAAATTTAAAGTTCTGTATGACACCTTGATCCATGGGCTGACAAACAGAAGTTGTGTTTGGCGGTAAAAATATAATTTTCACATTTTTCATTTTCATATCACGAGGATGAGAGCATGCATTGTCTAAAAATAAAACAACTTGCCTTTTTTGGATTCTCATTTTCCGGTCGAATTGGACTAACCACTCAGACATGATTTCTCGGGTCATCCATGCCTTTTTGTTGGATTTCCAAGTCGCTGGTAGATCCTTAATAGCAACGTTTTTTAAAGCACGGGGACGAGCCGCTTTCCCGATCACAATCAAATCGCATTTTTCACCGGCCATATTTGCACAGAATAAAATGGTTAGTCTATCTTTAGACAACTTTCCACCCACACATGTTTCTCCTTTAAAGGACAGAGTTTTGTCGGGCAATGCGCGAAAAAAAAGTCCACTCTCATCTGCGTTGTACACATCTTCTGGTTTGTAGCCAAGCAACATGGATGGAAGTTTCTCCAAAAATTGTGACACATCAACTTGATCTACTGCAGCAGCTTCGCCAGATATGCATTTGAAACTCACACTATGTCTCTTGCGCCACTTTTGCAGCGACCCGTCGGACGCACTGAAATTATTATAGCCCAAAGTAGTGGCGATTTCTTTAGCTTTCATTTTCACTAACGGCCCTGAGATTGGAATGTTCTGACTTCTAGCTTTCACAAACCACTCAAAACATGTTTTGTCTATAGCAAAACCTTCCTTTTTTTAAAAATCCTTCTTTTGATTTATATTAGTTCCTGATTGCCATTTACTCCTGATATCTTCCTTATTTTTGGCAATTTCAGCTGCTTGCGTTTTCCCAATATTAAACCTCTTTGCCAAATGACGAACTGAAACACTTTCTCTGTCTAATACGTTAACAACTTCCATCTGTTCCTTTAACGAGAGCATCCTTTTTTTTGGTGCCATTTTACAGTTACAATAATAAAATACGTAACTCAATCAACTAAGAATTTGCCTGAACTGAAGACAAGCCACAAGATTACATACAGGCTACCCAACGAAATGCGTAAATGGGGAATCACCTAATATAAATCGGGGAATTACCGAATTTTATGTATGTAGATATGTGCATTGCAATAAGCGAAACTAAAAAATCGTCCGGGTATTAGAGTTTCGCATCCGCTTATGGGAGATTTTTTGATCACATACAGGAAAATCTAGTGTCCGCGTCCGTTTATAAGAGCGTCCGTTTATCGGAATGCATTTAACATTGAAAATTGATGGCTGATATTCGGTTCCAGGAACTTTGTCCGGTTAAAAGAGATGTCCGCTTATAGGAGCTGTCCGCAAGGAGAGCTTTCACTGTATTAACGATGCTAAAAACAAACATACCTAGCCCTGGTGATGGAGGTGTAGAAATCGATACCCTCAAAGAGCGAATCGATCTCGATGCTGGCCTGCGTCGAGGAGGAGAGGGTGCGCTTCGCCCTTTCGCAGGCTGTCCTCAGCCGACGTAGGGCGCGCTTGTTGCTGGTCAAGTCCTTCTTGTATTTGCGCTTGAACTCTTGCACAAAGTGGTTCACCATGCGGTTGTCGAAGTCCTCGCCGCCGAGATGCGTGTCTCCGGCCGTGGATTTCACCTCGAAAATGCCATCCTCGATGGTCAGGATGGAGACGTCGAAGGTGCCGCCGCCCAGATCGAAGATGAGCACGTTGCGCTCCCCTTGACCCTTCTTGTCCAGACCGTACGCAATCGCGGCCGCCGTCGGCTCGTTTATTATACGCAGAACCTGGAAAAAGGATTATTCCGTAACGCACGATTTTACTATTATTAACAATAATAACTTTAGGTAAGTGAATTTGAAAAGATATGATTTCACATGAAGGCACACCTCTAGAATGAGTAATGATGCTAACATTACTATTTTTTCATCTCTAAATGTTTTTCGACAAGACTACAGGGTTATCCAAATTAAGTGTCCACCATTAGTAACTTTGTTATTAGTGAAAATACAAAGTTGTTTGAATTAGCAAACTAGTAGCATTTTTAACGCTGGTAAAAATGAGAAATAAAAAAAAACAATTGAGAGTCATTATTTTGATTTTTTTCAGTAAAATAACATTTTTTTAAATGGAAACCCCTGTATACTATATTTTTTTCTGTTAAAGCATCAAATTTTAAACAAAAAAGCTTACAATAACTTTTCTCCTAGGTTACAAATTGTTGAAGCTATGGCCTCCAATCTGAAACAATTAAATTGTATCGACAAACTTTATTTTCAACATCAACTTATAATCTTACAAAATACAATAACAATTTTTTTAAAGAAGATGCTCGAAAACACCACCTTGTTCTTCAATACATTTTTGGGCACGTTTTTCAACTGCTCGAACTGTCTTAAGTATGGTCCTACCATCTATCTGGGTTATCTTTTCCCTAACTGCAGTCTTTGACGCGTCAAGGTTATCGTACCTTCGCTTGTAAATTTGGTTCTTTAAGTAACCCCACAAGAAGTAATCAAGTGGGTTTAGATCTGGTGATCTGGGAGGCCATTTGTTCATATCCACTGATCATTAAAAGTAGTACTTAGAAAATGATAAGTACCTCTGGAGTTGTGGGCAGGTGCGCCATCTTGCTGAAAATGCAGATGATGTCTACTTATAAGATCCAATTCGTCTAAGAAATTAGTCAGAATTTCTGACATAAATTCCACATATCTTTCACCAGTTAGGGTTCCCTCATAAAAGAACGGGCCAACAATTTTTGAACCAATTATACCGCACCAAACGTTGAAACTGAAACGGACTTGTGGGCCTCTTGGATGTACTAACAAAAGATTTTCTCTTGACCAATAATGGTGGTTTTTTCTATTAAACATTCCAGAATTTGAAAAATTTGATTCATCTGTCCATAAAAGGTAACGAAAGTTATTTACATTTTGGCGACAGAAGCTAAGATACCAATGGCAAAAAACAAGTCTTCTCTCTGGATCCCCTGCCAAAAGCGTTTGAACTGGTTGGTACTTATACGGAATAAATTTGTATTTTTTTAAAATCCTTTGAACAGTATCATAACTGAAATTAGAGTCCTTGAGAATATCTGCTATTGAATTCTCACGATAAGCTTCAAAATATCCAATAACTGCAATTTCCATGGCCTCGCTTATTATGAATTCTTTTTTTGCCCTTGTTTTAGCAAAAACATTTTCGTTGCCCCTAAATTTTCGATAAAGTCTCAGAAAATATCGTTCATACGGTTGAATGCGAGCGGGACATAATTCACTGTAGTGCTCTCAAGGAGGATTTTCTGCACACTAAATAGCATTCTAACATATCACACTTTTCTTCATGGGAGAACATTTTTCTTTAAATTAATGACACAATAAAGCTTATAAACAAGTATTTACACTAATGTTTGACATTATTTGATTTTATCATTGTTTTCCAAAGCCTCCTAATTGCGAGTATGTCCAGTTTAACAATTTGTCGCTTATCTTAATGCTGTCAAATCGCGAACGCCATGTTGTTTTCATAGCCGTCTTAATATTATAATACTGCAAATAATTAAAAATATTTATCGTTATTTTGACTTTATTTTTGACTTTAGCGGAAAAGTCATTATGAACTTTTTTGTTTAAAATTTGATGCTTTAACAGAAAAAAATATAATATACAGGGGTTTCCATTTAAAAAAATGTTATTTTACTGAAAAAAATCAAAATAACGACTCTCAATTATTTTTTTTTGTATTTCTCATTTTTACCAGCGTTAAAAATGCTACTAGTTTGCTAATTCAAACAACTTTGTATTTTCACTAATAACAAAGTTACTAATGGTGGACACTTAATTTGGATAACCCTGTGTAGGATGCAATGAGAATAAGAATCTGACTATTCTCTTTTGAAGGATAAAGATTTGTAATATTGGAGATGAGAATATACAATAGAGAAATAGACATTTAATAAGCATTTCCTATTCATTATGTATTTTAAGTTTCTTAAGACAAAAAAAAAAATACTGAATTCATTTTTTAACGTTATTTTTTTGGTACACCAATTTCCAAAATATTAGACTGTTTCCAGACTTCTGAAAAACCCTGCAAAATATATTACCTGTAAGCCGGAAATGGTGCCTGCATCCTTGGTCGCCTGCCTCTGGGAATCATTGAAATAGGCAGGTACAGTAATAACTGCATTTGTGACGTTCTTGCCAAGGTACGCTTCTGCAGTCTCCTTCATCTTGGTCAATACCATGCTGCTGATTTCTTCAGGGAAAAAGGTCTTGTCTTCACCCTTATAGGAAACCTTAATCTTAGGCTTGCCATTGTCGTTGAGCACGTCAAATGGCCAGTGCTTCATGTCAGCTTGGATGGCAGGATCATCAAAACGACGACCAATCAAACGCTTGGCATCTACAAACGTTATTTGAACTTTATATATATACACATATTTTGTGAAGGAGTTGATCGCATATAAATAAATAAAAACATTAACATACCGAAAATAGTGTTGTTTGGATTCATTGCTACTTGATTTTTTGCAGCATCACCGATGAGGCGCTCAGTGTCGGTGAATGCCACATAGGAGGGTGTTGTTCTGTTACCCTGGTCATTGGCAATGATTTCCACTTTGCCATGCTGGAAGACTCCCACACAGGAATATGTGGTGCCCAAATCAATACCTACTGCTGGTGCTTTCGCTGCCATCTAGACATAATAATAATCTATATTACTAATTGCATAATGACATTACAGAAATTGTATGGGCACTACAAAAGTAAATGTTTTCCATTGTTTATGTATCTTAAACACAGCTGGTAAATCTAGTAACCTTGCAGTTGTTAATGATTATTATTTCTTTTTAAAAATAATCTGTTTTCATCACTAATTTTAACAATTTTTTCATGCAGGTGCAGCAGAAGACCATCCACTAGGAATAAAAATATTTTGACCATAAATATTAATATGTAAAATTTAGATAATATATTAATTATAATTTTTTACTTTCAAAATTTCGATATATAATGGCTTGTGTTATTGACGCTGCTGCCTTAACAGATAAGTACTTATTTGCCAAAACAACACAGATATGTTAATAACACATGGTCTTAGAAAATTTTCCATACATAGAAACGCACACTATCAAATTATACATTCTCAGTTTTATGCAGAGCCGGCAACGTCGCATGTTGCGTTCGTGCACAAACTGACAACTAAGTGACATTCAGAAAACAAAAATGGCAACTGACATTGACATAAATCAACCGTGTTGCCCTATGGCTAGCACGTGACTGCGCTTTCTTCAATTCTATGTTCTCCAAGGTCACTTTTTGTTTCATTTTAAGCCAAGGTTTTGCTGGAAAATGGTATCTTGGAAAAACAAATCTCGATATAAATGATTCACCGTTAAAGATTTATTTTGTCGCAGAATTACATTTCACTGTCTTGTATACGTTAATCCTTCAATAACCCCCAAATGCGAAGTTATGGTAAACCTGCTTTTATAAGAGGAATAAGAAGTAATGGCAGGATAGTCTTCATGCTAATAATGTAATGGTATGGCTTCAAGGTAGACTACCGAGAACATTTCAATTGAGCTGCTTGATTGAGCGGTAAAGCGCAGAAACAAAAAATGATGAATCTGAATGGAGTGTCGCGTGAACGCATCAGAAGAAAACGCCCAGACGTAGAGATCGGCGATAGAGTAGTTACAAATACTGTAACCTGAGTTTTGATAAAATTAGGGCTTAGAAACGTAAATTTGAACATTTCAATAAGCACAAACTACCTCATTTGTTTAAAAAACAACAATGAAGCTAGCCTAACCCTCCTGGAGCACGTTTTCACTCGCCATTTTTCTAGCAAAGTGGATATAAATGCTTCAAAATACTAATATGTCAAAAACTATATAATTATGTGTCACTTACCTTAAAATTGGATACTAGTAGAGTTATACAGACTTTTTTAGCTCGTTACTTTGAAGGCGTGTGCAGTACGCGTACCCAAGCAAGGACTGTGATCGATTCGGAAGCGAAATATCAAAATGGCCGGTTTTATACGAGGTCCACAGCCGAAAATTCGATGATGTTTCTAGAATGAGCTAGGTTGACAGCCAATGACGGAATTAAGCGACAATGACGTTTGAATTTGGGCTTCTCTGATTGGCTACTGTGTATACAACCCTATTTGAAAAACCGTTCCAAAAACATATTTTTTCAACAGGGAAATGAACCGTAAATATCTAGTAATTCGACAATATTTTTTTCGTTACGTACAGCTAAATGCCGTATGTAAATTCTATCGAGGGAAGGAAATACATATTCCCGGGCTGAACTGTGGGCGGTCCCTATTTGTGTTTTCCATTTTCCTAGGTGGATATAGGGTCTGTGTTAACACTAAAGCCACGAGATGACAATCTGTCAAAAATCAGTTTATTCAACGCCAACTTGAGACTTAAACCCTATTTCACCAGTATCTATCACGTTTTAACATCAGCAAGTATTGGTCTGTAACGTTGACAATAATAAATCGGGTGTAAAACTAGTAAAGCGCGCCTGTAGCGTTTTTTTGTAAGCAATTGACTATTTCTAAATAAAGTTGAAAATGAATCTGCACCATACAAAAATCCAAAACCAAACACGGCTCTGCCTACCTGGCGTTGACGACAGGGGTATCACGTAACCTGAAACGTGACATTATGGGAGGTTTTTTTTGGACATCATGCAGGTCTTTTATGACATTATGTAGCTTTTCATACAAGACGTCAACTTTGGGCAAGCTGTCGTTCACTTTATGCTAACTTTTGTAGCAAGCTAACTATGTACACACTAGCCTACCTAGTCAACAAGTTGAAATATTACTAGACAATCTGCTATTACTCTACCGTAATGGATACTTGTGGAAAAGGTGGTAGGATTCGTTTTGTTGCGACATTTAGGATTTAGTAATAATAATAATAATAATCCTTTATTATCCAATAGACATAAGTATGCATAGGATTCGTCAAAAATAAAAAATCTATAACAAACATGGAAAATAAGTAACAAACAAATATGAGAAACAAACATACCATCTACACATTAACAAACTCTGAAACAGCGTACAAACATTTATTTAATAAAAAAGCCTTTAACCTATTTTTAAAATGTTGCAGTGAACTGCAGATTTTTATTTCTTCTGGCAGTTTATTATATATTTTAGGCCCCAAAACTCTAGGTGACCTACTACCGACACAGTATTTGGCGAAAGGAACATACATATTTTGGATATCAAAAACGCTGAGTCTTATCAATACTTTTTTCAATTTTAGCATAAACCGCGTTGTACAAAACTTCGCTACGGATAGTCTTATGGAGTATATTTCAGCAGTTGTTTTGCGGGGTCAGGTTATTTTTACTCGGGCTAGACTTCTTTTCCGATATAACGGACGGTTTACCAATTCTTTGTTTTCTTTCGCACTAAAAACTCTCCAATAACAGTTTATAAATAACAGGTCGACAACGACTCATCACTGCCGCATCACTACGATCGGCGATGTCAAACGTCAAAAGAATAAACCACGACCAAGTAACAACGTAACAAGTAACCTCACTTAAGTCTTTTTTATCTTATCGAAATGTTACCACGAAGGCAAAACGAGGGCACGAAACCATGAATTGGTCTCCAGGTAGCTACTTTAGCGACGTGTGACGTTGCAGGAAGACCGCTCAATATGTTAATGTGGTTTCGCACAATATACCCTCCGCTTTTGTGTCTTTTTCTTGCACCGCTGTCCGATGGCCAGCTGCTGGAAGGGCTGTATTGCGGTAGGACGAACTGCTACGATGTCCTGAACGTGACCAGATCGTCCACAAAGGGGGAGATCTCGAAGAGCTACAGACAGCTAGCCAGACGATTTCATCCAGACTTGCACCGTTCACCCGAGGCCAAGGAACAAGCTGCTGAGCAATTCAAAATCATCGCAAATGCCTACGAGATACTCAAAGATGACGAATCTAGGAGCGATTATGACTATATGCTCGACAATCCAGACGAATACTACGCTCATTACTACAGATATTACAGGCGTAAGGTGGCCCCTAAGGTTGATGTGAGGATAGTGATTGTAGTTACGATATCTATCATATCGGCGGTACAATATTTCAGCGGGTGGCAACGATATAATACAGCAATCAGGTATGTACGGCTTTCCATTCAAGATCTTGTTGCAGAAATTGACCCCCCTTGTACAAAACATTGTCAGTAGTTTATATTGTTATATCTTATGATTCAAATAACAAAAAATAGGAAAATACTGGGCAAAATCCGCAAAAAGAAGGAAAGTGGATTCGAGCAGAAAATAGGTTAGGTAACCCGAGCAATACGTATTTCTGCTGGTTGGCTTCATCAGGCCCGAAATGAATGCACATATGCAACTACAAAAGTAGATACACATGCCCACACATCTGGATATGGGTGTAATGTGAGGAAATGAAGATGGAGAGGGAAAAAAATCACAAAGTCCACAACAAGAACCAACCTACACATTGTAGTATAAAATGGCTAGAAGACCTCGAATTTTCAAGGCGACATCTATCCACAACCACGTGGCCAGTTATAGCCACTTGTGGAGGTACTTCAAGCTAGAAGGATCTACAAAGAGAAAATGATCATGCGGAGAAAGGTATATAACAAAAATAGCCCATTTCAGGGCTGATGAAGCCAACCAGCAGAAATACATATTGCTCGGGTTACCTATCCACTTTCCTTCTTTTTGCGGATTTTGCCCATTATTTTCCTATTTTTTGTTATATACCTTTCTCCGCATGATTATTTTCTCTCTCTCTCTCTCTATATATATATATATTGCTATTGTGCATTGTTTTTTTGGCTGTCATATATTTCATGTGTGTATTGTTTTTTTTTATTTATATATTTTAGGATTGCTTTTTTTAGTATTTAACTATTTTTTTTTCTTATTTACATTTGTTATTGGTTAGGTATTATTATATTTCAGTTTCGTATAATATATACAAGTTCATGTATATTTTTTGTAATGGGGTCAATCAAAGCTAGATAAATAAATGCCTTTTTCAGGTATTTTGCCACGGTGCCAAAATACCGGAACCGCGCGTTGGAGATCGCCAAGGAAGAGGGATTGCTGTCAGACACAAAATCCAGGCCAAGAGACAAGCACGCAAAATTGTCCAAAGATGAGATCGACGGGATTGTAAGGAAAGTGATTATAGAGAAGATGGACATCAAGGGTGCTTACGCCAAACCGACTGTTTTTGATCTTCTCTGGGTGCAGCTAGTGGTGTTGCCATACACTTTGGCCAAGTTTGTATATTGGTACCTGTCCTGGTTTGTGCGGCACAGCGTACTTGACCGACCGTACGATGATGATGAGAAGCTTTATTTGATCAGAAAGTAAGTGGGAAGACATCAGTATCCATAGTTAATTAGACTGGATCCCTCAAGGTGCTTTTATAGTTTCAGTACACATTATGGTCACACCACACTCTACCTGTTGGCTGTTTTGTAACAATGATTTAATATGCTGAAACCGATTTCAGATATATGAAGATGAGCCAAGTACAGTTTGAGGCTCAGGAGCCCGAGAAGAAAGATGAGTTTATGCGCCGGAAACTGTGGATCAGAGAGAACTTTGAAGAGTGGTTCAAAGAAGAGGAAGAAAACACCAAGAAGCAATTGGCGGAGAGCAATCGATACAAGCAGTATCGCAGGTTCCTCAAGAATCACGGCGTTGGAAGAATGACTTTTGACGATTCATAATTGTGAATAAACATTTCAGATATCAACACGATACAAGGCTTTTGAAAATTTATTCCTGAGGAAAACGTCGCGGGTTTTTCACAGTCGCTATCTGACAGCTGACTAGGCCGATATTACTAATGATATTTTTATGATATGGATCCTTTATCAAATATTGATTATACAGGGTGGGCCATGAATCAGTCAACATTTGAAAAAAACATTTGGCATATTTTAAAAATTGTTTTTTCAGAAGAAAGCTAATTAGTTGGAATTCATTTCTTGAAAATGTTAGACCACCGTTACGATTTTTGCACTCTTCTAAACGTGTACCGAAGTTTTCGAATACTCGTCCGCATAAACACTGCGAGATCGCGGACATCTCTTCGTTGATGTTTTCTTTTAGCTGACGGAGTGTACTTGATTTATTGATGTATACACGACTCTTTAAATAACCCCATAAAAAGAAGTCTGGTGGGGATAGATCTGGGCTTCTGGGTGGCCATGGGATGTCGCCTCGTCTGGAAATGAGCTTTACCGGAAACATTTCTTTGACCACCGGCAGGGACTCGTTGGATGTGTGACACGTGGCTCCATGTGTTACGATTATAGCCAGCAAATTCCAGTAGCATCGGTGCCAAGAACTCCCGTAACATTTTCACATACTCAGCAGAATTAACAGTAACTGAATGGCCGCGAGAATATTCAAAGAAGTAGGGGCCATCTGTTGCTTGGTGTATTAGGTTTAAATGTTAACGAATTCTTGGCCCACCCTGTATAAGTATGGCAAATGGAGTATACAAACTTTATAATATTTGTGATAATAGTTAGAAAATCATCGAGTCTACGGCCGTCGGAAAGTTTCACTGAACAGCGACCTAATGAAATATTATAGGAAATAAAAAAGTTTTCAAAAAATATAAGAAACAAATGTATTCTGATGAAACCAAAGATTTATACTGTGAAAAATGTTCATTGTGTTAAAAAATAACGGGTTTCAGTATGAGTACATAGTTATTTGGGGGTATTTATAGTGGAATGGGGTATTTTACTGTCGAACCAGTATATGACTTGTAGCTAAAAAGAATGTTACATCATCGTATCTTTTGCAGTATTACTTCTCATGTGTGTATTTTTTCTAATAAACTTAGATACTTTGGATATTACAAACGGAAAAATTTTTCTACCCATTTTAACTACAGTGCTACCGCTCCAGCGTTTTCACGGTAGAGCTACCGTTTTTCTTGCGCTTATACTTCACACGGCTACTGACGAGGAAGTATTGTGATCGCGAAAAATTTCGAAAATATGCTCGGTGACTCCCAGAAAAAAATAATTGCTTCAACTTTTTTTTTGGCAATAAGACAGTCTGACATCAAGAATGAAAAGATGACATTTTCACGAAATTTTATTGACAAGTAATAAAAAAAAATATGTTGGCCGACGCCGCAGCTGCATCCGCAGCCGCATCGACAAAATGAGATAATCGATGTCTGGTTGTGGCAGCTCGTTCTAGGTAACTGTGGGAGAGAATGGCGGATGGTAAGTGGATAGTCTCCTCCCCATCATATCCCACACATGTTCGATGGGTTTTAAATCCGGTGAACGGGGTGGAAGAGCAACATGAGGACGTGCGTTTGCTGAAAAAGGACGTGTGCACGCGGCCCTCTAGATACGGCAGTAAAGTGGTTTGTAGGACATCATCAGCACTCGATTTGACCTACAGAGATGCTTGATGTTAAATGTACATGTGCATGTGGTTATATTGTCACATTCAAATAATAGAACGACACTTGCAAAAGAAACTAGAACGCATAAAAGTCCAAAAAAATCGATATTCATAGACTACTACTAAGTAATATCATAAGGGCATCCAATTTTTCCGAAACAAAAATCCAAAGGAGCCATTTAAAACAACAGTCCGACAGTGGTTTCTTCCCAACCGCATATTCAACACCTGGAATAGTTTACCTGAAAGTGTGGTTGGTGCTACTTCAGTTAATAGCTTCAAAGTGCAGTATGATAGCTGGAGGAGTGTACAAACTTTATAGCTATGAACTGTCTTTTTTTTATTTTTTTCTATTTGATGTATTTGCGTTACGGGTCCGTACACTATATTTACTGCATGAGCTTATAGTACTGTGTACTCTGCTCATCTCAATTATCATAATAATAATAATATTACTGCATTGTTTTTTCGATTTTTTTCACAGGAAAAAATTAGATGCCGAAATGACATTTGACAAGACTATTTCGTGAGTAACAGATTACTCTGCATACTCATAAATCAAATCCAAGCGAATAACCAAAATTTTTGTGTTATGTGCCGCGGTTATAATATGGTTCAAGATGACACACGGGTTGATGACGTCAATTACAGGAATCGCTTGAACGCGTTGGTTTTAACCGCGGTTTTGTTGCAAGTTGTGTATTTTAGAAAAGCGCGTAAATAATCTCTGATTATTTTTATTATTACTTAATAATCGGTGCTTTTTCGTCTACAACTGTATATGGAAAGTTTAAATAAGAAACCTTTCATAATATTCATGGGAGAAATGTTTTTTCAGATTTTTTTTTTAATGATGGAACCATGGCTTTGTAGCTATGATAACTTTCAATTCTCTAAATTTTTCCGCATGTCAAAGAAAACATTTATTGATTCAGCAGAAATGATGAAAAAAGAAATTAGCAAAACCGTATACAGGTGGATATCATCTAGTGAGTTTATATGGCCATATTTTAATATTCTTGTGGTATATGGCTACACAGGATACTTTGTTAAGCATAGGGACTACATTTAAAGTTTAAAGTGTCCCCAACAACCGTAATGAGTAGGTATAACTAATAAGGTGCTCCACTTTATGGTAAAACTGAAGTCAGCCTGTATCATTTTTCTCAAAAATGAAGCTGAAGTACAATAACAATATCCAATACCCGGCAAAATTCTAACTTGTTACATTTCAAATAATAACCAGAAATATAAAACTACTCTTCAGTTGGGTAAATACCACAATTTTGCGGTGATAACTATGACATATAACAGCTGATTCGTGACGTCACGGATCTTATAACCAAACTGATAACTACACTCGCTTGAACGGGTTGGTAAATACCAACCCAAAATGGTAAATACCATTTCCATTTGGTTATCCGCTTGAATTTGATTAATATTTCTGTAAATCCACCGCTTTCACGACTAAGCTCAATAGGTGAATAATGAAAATCGTCAGATAATCCGAAATCTAGATGTTATGCATTTTTGCGATGTACAGCGGATTTTAATTAAACGTTGACAGTAATAATGAGCCAAAGAGGAAAGAATCGAAAAAGTTGGGCTGTTAAGGTACGAAAAATATACAGGAAGTTAGAGGATTAAATATCATACTGCATCAGTTTTTGTAGAAGCTGTTCACGATTAACACAATCGAATCTCGAGCCTCTAAAAGTTCTTGAGCAAATCTCGTATGGTTCGACCTTCCAATGCCAAAAACCGTCTTGATTAGTCGATAAAATGTACTTTGTAAAAAGGTTTTAATCTACGTCTCCTATCATCCTGCTCCTTTTTCACCCCTTTCCTAAGAAGTACATATTTTGAATGAGTACAGAAGCGATATATTTTTTGTTCTTCATTGTTTATATAATCTATATAAAATTTCTCAAATCGTACCCTGTATATTTCCGGCAATATTCCGTTTAATTGAGCCATTGGTAATGCATTATGTGTAGTGCCAAGAGCGGATAATTTAGAAAACGAGTCGACAAATTGCTTCCTTTGTCTGGAAAATTCTAGCTACTTTTAATATTTTTTATATTTATATATACTATATTCATGTTTTACACACTGTACTCAAGCGAACCAGGGCAATGGGCAACCTACACAATTTAGCAATTATCGCTGCGCTATTGGTGAGTAACTCAAATTGAATCCTACAATATTAGGCCCCGATTTTATTATTGATACGCGAGATGTAAAATGGAAGTCGATTTCCTCTGAAATATTTGTCACTAGCGAAAAAATATACGAGTTGTGTAAAAAGGGCCTCCAATCCCCATATTTAATCAATAAATTCTTTATAAGTCTCCTGGTTTAGCTGGAGATCAAAACATTTGATCCGGATCAACAATGACCAATTAGAAACCGTTTCGTAAAGCTGCATCGAGAATTGGCCAGTGGAAAACAAGTATCATAAACCCACATTGAAGATGATAGAACCAAATTCAAAACAAATATAAATACTAGAAAAAACAGGTCGGTATCGGTTGTCAATTAGGTGTAAATTTCAACAATCTCCTTAATATGGTCCATTATCACATGTTTTTGCTGCTGTAACTAATTCGCATGTTATTCAAGGTAAATAGAGATGTCTCCTGGTTACAATTATTTTAAACTATTTTATTTGGTTTAGACGAAATATACGTTGCCTTTGCTTTATAACATATAAAGATAAGAAATGATACCACAAAAATAAAGGTCTGAAATAACAGGAAAAACTGCAAAATGTAAAATGTGCCTTTGCCGGCTAGAGATGGGTTATGTATTCGAATTCAGATAATAGCGATATTCGAATACGCATTTCAAGTTTTTACTATTGTGTGATACAACAAATTATAACAATATTTAGGATAATCAATGCAGATCAATGACACTTATGTTGAATTTGCCCTAATACAACAGGATACCTCGCCGGCAGACCAAATTTATATGTTTTATATTATTCAACATTGTTTTTCCAAATATTCGGTTAATCGTGAGACCGAATTATCGAACCTGATCTACATACAACAACCATAGCTTTCTTTCAAGCGTGTAACAAATTAAGATTTCCGGTGTGAATTCCTTGTTTCTGCATTGATCAACATATTCCTCAAGGCGTTGATCACCTTAATTGACACTTGTGAATACTTGCGAACGCATCCTCCCGGCCCCATCTCTAGTACTCGTTTTTCACTCTACTCTTGACCCTTGACAGTTGATGGCGACAAAAGTAAAATACCATCATGATTAAAAATTTGTAAACCTATTATGTTTATCTCTGTTTATCGTCGGTGGAAGAAACCTAGTTGTCTTTTCACAAATCACTCCTGAAAAATATACAACTTACTATTAATTTAACGTTATTCGATAATTATAACGACTGGATTTATCAAAGTTGCCTTGAGTTTTGATTTTGCGATTATGGTATAATGTTCAATTGTTCAGAATAGACGACTATGTTTCAGTTCGCATTGTATAACCTGGTTTCCAGTACTACAACGGGGATGATCCTGGTTCCAGTACGAACAGGACAAATTGTTCCGGCACCACAAAATGGACAAGATGTGTACATCGTGCCCGCGTCAAGCATAGGCTCAACTTACGTCACCAACAGTACAGGATAAAGATGAGAATGTACACGTAAATTAGTTTTGCCCGTACCCTTTGATGTATAAATAAAATGTTTGCACCGTATAGTTTCGAATTGTTTTAATACTTCATACAGCAGGACTATTATCTAAAAAACGTAAAAAAAACTTGCTTACGAAAAGTCGCAGCCCCATTGAATCTAAAGTGTAATACAATATACTATTTCTGGATCACCCTGTGTATTGTACGACTATAGATGAAAATGTGCGACCTTTTCGTTGAGCTGAAAATATTGTCCAATATTTGTGAGAGCTGTTGGTTTTTCTCGTATCATGTCTCTTGAGTTTAATGACAATATTCTCACATACATAATACATGTATTATGCTGTAGGTATTATGCATCCTGTTTACACGTATTGAAGTGTTGTTAGCTTTGAATAAAAAATACTGCTTTATTTATCAGATGAAGCAAGCCGTGACTCGAATCCGATTCAAATTAGACTTTAAACACGCAATATTATATAATAATCTACTTTACACCAAGCGACATCAGATGAATGAAATTATAAACAAAGATGCACCTTTCACAAAGTTTCCTCGTTATTTGTGTTCTAAGTTCGCTGTTGGTACGTATTTCACTTGTGCAAAATTTCCGAAATATTTGTAATTATCTTTTGGTATTTTTTGATGATAATCATAATTTGACTTTGTACTGCCGAGTACATCTTCAAAAAATGTTTGGTGGACGTTGATTTTTTTGCTTTATATTTGCATTTCATTTAGGTCTTCCACGACGATTTGACAATTCATATTTATATGAAAAACTACGAGGATTACTTTTCTGAAGCATTCAGACAAGCCAAATGTGAACCCTGTTGTAAAAGGAATTGTACAGAAGGATTTATATATTCTTTAGAGTGAATGCAAAGGTCGCTCATCTCGAAATAAGACATTCAGGATACCTTTTTATCATTCAAAGTTATGTCTATAGAATTGGGAAAGTGATACCTTCAAAATGTCTGTTTGTCAATGTGGAGAACCTTGTACATGAATAATTTATTTTTTGTAAAAAAATATTTACAGGATATATTGATTGTTGATAGCTTACAACATTTGATAGAGAGACAAAAGTCGTGTGTGTATTACATGTTTCGGTAAGAGGCCAGAAATGGAATGTTATACCCGTATATCAGGGAATCGCGCCGTGTTTACGTCATACACAGTCACAGAACGGCGAACTGGTTATGGAACAGCTGGTAGCTGGTTGAATCGCCGATCGGTTAACAAGTCGTCGCAGCGTTCGATGGATGGAAAAACGTTGCCGGATGGTGCAGCAGCTGGCGCGCTGTTCCCACGATTAGGTTGACTGCGGGGCTGCTACGGAATTCCGCCACAACACAAAGTACCAAACAATACTAATTGGTGTTAGAGTATTGAGAGGAAACATAGAACATATGTATAAATTGAATGTAGCTTCATTGCAGGAGAGTCAGGGGTGGAGCATAGGTATCGATCCATGCCAGCATTACCTTTTATAGGTATTTCTTGTTTTATTCATATTTAATTACTGCATTTTTCATTTTTACAGGAATACACTTCTGTCCAGAGCCAACGTATAGTAGCTGACCTCACATCTACTCTAGGAGATGTGATGGGTAGCAGTGAAACTCTGATAATAGAAGTTGAGGAGACGGTTGTGAGAGTAGAAGAGGATGAATCAGTGATTATTTAGTAACAATATGTATGTTAAATATACACGTACAAATTAAATTCTTATATTATACAGATGTAATAAATAGGGATTTATTAGAGCCTTCTCTCACTGACCGCTATGGCGACGTCGCCAAACTAAACAATTGAATATACAGGATGTCCCAAAAGTATGGATACACCCAAATATCTCCGACACTAAGGCCCGTATCGTCAGTCGTCCCTACAATTGTAGAGCGCGTTTATGGCCTCCTTGATTGTCATCCTGCTTTCTCTCCTTCAAAAATTTCTAGATTACAGTTGTCCCGTGTCAGCGTCAGCGCTCTCCTATTGTGAAGATATGTTTTATTTTTAAATTGTAGGAAATTTCAGGCTGATAAAACATGATATAACTCAAAAGCAAGCAGACAAGGAGAAGCAGAAAACTATGACAATCAAGGAGGCCATAAAGGCGCCCTACAATACAAACGCTTTAGGAAATCAAATGTCGCATCTAGTGGTGACCTTGGATTTGTCCTTGACATTCACCTTGTAGGTCGTTTCAAGGGCAGGTTATTTTTTCAAAAATGAAATGCAGAAATAGAAAGCCAGAAAGATTTCCATTTCAACGGTACAAACATCATAGGAATTACATTACATTATATCTGGAGGTTATTTCAAGGTCAGTTGTTGGTCTTTCATGGTCTGTTATGAAGCAGTAGATAGCTGAAAGGAGAAGACTATTCCTACATTTAATGCGAAAATAGCAGGACAGCCAACTACACATCTTTTGGTAACCTTCATTCTGACCTTGAGTCAATTCAAGGTCAAATTGATTTTTCCACCTGGAAGCTCTCAATTTTGATCCAAGCGCTGAAAATGGAGAAAAATTTTATGTTCAAAGGCTTAATTAACGGAGGCAAAATCACACCTAGAGGTTATTTCAAAGTCAATTGACCTATGTCTGTTAATTATACTATGCGACCTATCCATCATCTTCATTTATCACTTTCAAATAAGCTCGCACTGGTCGTAGTGGCACTTGAAATAACTCTTTGTAACCAAGCGCCAAGTATTTCCTTCCAAGAAGCACCCAGCAGCAAGACTTTATTTTTCGGACATCGTGAGATCGATCTATCAAACTTCATCTGCATAGATTTGTTTCATGCTTGTAACAGATTAAGATAGCAAGTTCCAATGTGAATACTGTGTTTATGCATTGATTAACGTATTCCTCGTGGTGTTGAATAGCCCACTTGTGAATATTTGCAAACGCATCTTTCCAGCCCCATCTCTAGAATTCGTTTTCCCTCTACTATTGACAGTTGATACATTTGTCGCGCTGTCAAACTAATAAGATTGATAAGATTGATGAAATATATGAAACGAGGACCAGCGAAATTTCTGTGCTCTAAAAGCACAATGACGTTTATGGTCATATGTCATGTCAAGGTGTCGTGTTCTGCACGGTACGGGTATTACGTATCTTGAAAAGTACATTATGTCGATTTTTTTGACATTGTATTGTTTTTTGTGATATTATGTAGATTTTTTTACAATATATTAACTTAGCACTAGCTAATGTACACTTGTTGTGAACTCGTTTTGTAGTTGTACGTGTTGCCTAAACGTCATAAGGCTTCACTTAAGGTTAGGCTCTGATGTGATGTAAAATCTGCTTCAGAGATGGCATTACTGGAGGTCTAAGCTGTAAGTTGTATACTACAGCTAGAAGGAAACGGCAGCGCATGGGTGCACAGTGAGGATATGTGTGCTAATAAAATATGTTGATGATAATTCCATTGGATTCTTGTAATACACTTACTTGAGATTCAAAGGTAGAAATTAGTTGCGCATCCACTTTTTCTTATCCATTCTGGGAATTACATATGCAAATTTGCTGAATTTAAAAAATGAGAATGATAAGAAATAATTATATTCACTGTACACTGTCGAGCGAGCGCGGTGGTGATTTCCCATAACTCTCCTTAAAGTCTTTGAAAACACAAAAAGGCAAAAAATCGTAATTTATAACTTTGAACATAACCTGTCTTCAGAAAGGAAAACTTACTGTCGATGATTTTCAATTTGTACGTATGAAGTATTTAAAAAAGACATGGGAAGTGTCCAGTAAACCTACTAGGCACAATTTTTGGTATCATATGAGTGAAATGGCTATTTTTTACACATAGGAAGATAATCATAATGCATTATCAGAGAAACATGATAATTATGGTATCAATGCAACAATTTAGCTCAAATACTGAAAATTTAAGTGGACACTTCCATGCGGTAAATACCAGAAAAAAAAAACAGATCCGCATCATAATCCTCGTCTTCTGGAAATTCTGTAATTACGTGTATCAGTATGTCACGTTATTAAAAAAGTAATTGGAAAATAATTTTACACTTCGCCGCACATTCTCAGCATAAATGAATGTCGTTACTCTCACACTTTCTAGTACCCTAACTACCCGTGTTAACTACGATTGAGTTTTGAAAAATCACTTGCAATGAGGCTGACGTTCCACATTCTAATTATCTTCGCTCTTTTCTTGTTGGTAAGTAACAATATTATGTATTCAACTAACATCAAAATGATGGCTTTGCTAGGGTAAGACGTAGTTCAGGACCGTTGGTGCTGAAATTACTTGCCTAGGTTAAGCACTGAGCCAACAAGAAATGCCCATATCAATCCAACAAACACTTCATAAATCACCTAGCTTAGTCCAGGTACAGAGTTATTACATTAAACATTATTTTTCATTTCCAGTCATTTAAATTTTATGGTCAGTGTCTAGCTGTGAGGCTCTCTAAATTATAAGTCTGAACATAACCTCCCTTCAAAACGGACAACCGTCTGGTACAGCTGATCTTATACACATGCAGACCAATACACACAATCATCCACATGGATTCTACTCCTCTACTCAACCAATTTTCTTTGTCACATCTCAGAAATATACTCTGCAGACTATCCCGCCATTCTGCAACCAACAAAGCGTGCTGGGAACTGACTGGTCATTGAGTGTTCTACAGATGACGCTTTTGGTAACGCTCACAGCACTCATAGCGAGCAAAGCGGAATTAAGTATTGGCATACTAGGAACTAGGGACTATCTAGTCAGGAAGTTGGCATTTTGTCGGTTTCTTTGACATTATGTAGGTTTATTACGTAATAACCATGCCGGATAGTAGACCTTAGGGTCGCATGACACAAGCTTGTACGGCAACTATTCACATCTGATAAGTGTTTCCATGCTGGGTTGGCATACACATTTTATCATATCAAATACGTCATATGGCCCTGACAATGGTCTTATAAAGCGTATTTTATATTTTTCTAGTCCAGAAGTTCACCGGTGTCATTGGACGATCTACCAAATGGTCTGATGAGTGCTGATGCATCAAGGATTCGCCACAGAGCATTGGATGCTGAGGGTACGAAACATCATGATGGAGCCAACTGCAAAGGAGGAAAAAAGGGTTGAAACTTATTAGTTTTTTATCGTTATGACTGAAAATAAAGTTTTTTCAACTGGATTGCACATATTTTAATTATCGAACGTCACCGCTTGATTACCAGTACGGTTTCCGACACCAGCGAGGGAGACCTCCTAGCTTCCATCACGCAATTGGTCGCGTTCTGCCAAAGAGCCGTTCATTTCGCTAGTCGGAGTCCAGATCACCGAGGATTTGATCTGGCACAAACACATTGTCAATAGCGGCAGCAGCTGGGGAAAAGCTAGGTTATTTGTTTAGGCGGCGCAGATAGCACAGAACGTCTTAAACACGTTTATTTTATCCACTAATAATGTCTGAATGGCTGAGACATTAAAAAGACGTCTTTAAGATGTCCTTAGTGCGTTTTTGAGAACGTCCTGGCACGACATGAAACAAGCATCTTTAAGACGTTTTCTTAAATATTGTAGAATTCAGCTTCTTAAAAAGTTGGAAACATTAGTGAACATATATAAGAATCTTCAATACTGAACATCTAACTAAACTTAAAAGTAACATGTTTTTTTTCGTTTACCCAACCACGATTGAAAATATGAATACATATATCACTTTTTAAGATTCATAAATTTTTTAACCTATTTCATTATTTTAAACTATGCGAAAGGACAAAAGTCGTTGAAGTTTTCAAGTGTCTTTATTTCTCGATAAACATCAATTGTCTTTTTCTGTAAACTTCTAAACTTCAAAATTTATTGCATCCTCCTATTTTAACTCATCAATTCGCCACCAGATGACGATGCGCCGCTTAAAGTGAGCACATATCTATACTTACCTTTGCAACATTTTTTGTTGCTGTGGAAACAAACCTTGTTTATTTATTTCAGTGTCTGCTGATTGGGCTGGTGAAGTTTGTTAACACAAAACATTACTTTTTCAATAAAAACACTTTATAATAATTCGCCTGTTTTTTATTATGTCTTTTCAATGCCACACCTTACGCACGTATTGTAAAGACGCCTTTAATACGTACAGTTTTTGTAACAAACGTCGTCTTTACATCGTTCACAAGACGTCTTTACGACATCTCTATCTCAAAATGACGTTTTTAAAACGTCTTTAACATATAGTGGTGCTATTTGTCTCCTCAGCCTCTGTATTCGCCTGACTTGAGTCCTTGTGACTTTTTTCATTTCCTGCAGTTGAATAATCACCTTAAGGAAACTTATTTTGCGACAGTCTCTAACAGAGGAATGCGTAAGACGGAAACTACTATTGATATATAATTGGTGTATTTAAGGTATGTGTAACCGATTCTCAGCTTTGTGACGATTTTTGCAAATCTACAATATTTTTTGATGTATTTTGTCCGGGCTATTATGTTTAGTTACAGAATGTATCGCCTTATTGTGTATACATCTGTGACTACATAGATTGATCAATAATATAGTAACAGCAATTAAGGTGGAGGTGCTTCAGATGTTGTAGATTCCACAGAAGTTGTCGTAGCTTCATTGGTTGCTGCTGTAGTTGGCGGTAAAGTGCTGACAGCTTCCATAGTAGCCGTGGTTACCGAAGCTACAGTAGTAACGCCTAACAAATAATACAAAACATCAGTCCACTTGGTTTAGATAAATTATGAACGAAAAAAAAGCCTTAGAAAAAAGTTCAAAACTCACTGAGGAAGGAAGAGAAAGTCCCTCATATAAGTGACTCCTGTATCTTGTATTTATTTGTTAGTAGAATATAGTGCAGATTTTGTTAATGCTAAACTTGTTTGACAAAAGTCAACATCTGTCGGAATTTGATATCATTCCCCAGTGACTCTTCTCCCCTGTTTTCAAGAATCCAAACCAGTATTTTATATATTTTATTGTTATTATTCAACACTTCAAATAATTACGATCATTACTTACGCACTGGTTTAATACGTTATGTCAAAGTCAGATTTGTTTGAGCAGCAATTGTTTTTCCCTTCATGGCACTCTTATATTTGCTTACTTTTAAAACATTGCTATTGTACTATTACTTTATGCGATTATTTTATGTTATTTTGTTTTCTCGAAATTAGTTTTAAATATGTGCGAAAACATTCAAGAGATGGCTTTCGTCTAATGTTAATTGCTTAATTAGTTTGGTGGTTTTAATGTTTTATAATGTTATTGTCCCTAGCACATGCAATAAAGTGCTTTTTATTTTTTATCTCGCAAACGAAGCGAGACATGAAAGAAACTCAAGAGACAAAAACGTCGTATTTTTAGCTGCTCAATTCTAAATAAGTAATAATAATAAATAATAAATTTTTTGTCAAAAATATTGGTTAGGACGTAAACCCCTGGGGATCACCGTGCTGTTAAGGAGTAGTACATTGACTTGTTAAGTGTTTCTATTGCAAAGTAAATAAGTTGTTACCATTTCCAGCAGATGGTGTTGTAGGTGGAGGAGGGGCAGGCCTATGAATGACTATCCAGATACATGGATGAATGCCGTCTTTAGCATGTGTCATATCGAATAGGTGATGTCCATTCTGAAAATATATGGTGTCAAATTTATTTTAACCAGTTGTAGGACTCGCCAAAAGAAGTTGATATACCACAAATCACCTATATAAAAGTTGTTATCGTTTTTTATATGGCGAACTAACTTTCTAAATCATTTTGCGCAAAATTCCATTCAATTCCACTCAAAAGAAACAAACAGTACTCACTGCAAACCAAGTCAATCCAATGAAAAATAAAAAACATACACTTCTACACCACATTTTTCAGGCGTTTCTGCTCCGGCACATTTCGTCTGACTGGGCACTAATGATCATCATGTTCTGCTCTCATTAAAAAAAAATCGATAAAATCTGACGATCTAAATACCGCATCGTATTCAACTGCAAAGTCCTAATTATTCGAAAACCAGAGGCCGGTTGACAACCAACAATGGATCTATCCAGTGATCTATGAATTTCATTGTTTCGTTTTATAATAATTTACCTAATGGGGTTTTATTACCCGTCTAAATATCTTTTAAATTAGGTAGATTGATATAATGAAGTACCGGGAAATGTGCCTTTGCACGAAAGCCTCTAAATCGGTAGATATAGGGGAAATTCGGGCATATCGTACTTCCGATATTACAGCTTTAAATAGTGACCTGACACATGCTATTAATATACTTCATTTTCCTACTAGTGAACACGCAAATCAAAAGCGAATACCACAAAAAACTACCGAGATCGACCCGTACGTTTTAACTGAGAGTTGGTAAGGATTACCGTATTGGCTGTCTGATAGACCAATCAGAGTTTAGCAATCTCTGTGTGGCTGGTTACCTTCCAATCGGTGTCGTCTAAAAAGAATAACGATCGCAGAAATGAGTTATATCTTTCGGTTTTTTTGCCTGAATGTATAAAAGTACAAAAAGGAAACCTCAACGTACGAGTACATACATCAGCGAGATATCATCGGAGTTTAGTTATTGAATTATGATAAAAACGAAGAATGTGTATTGATATGATCGTGGTGTATCAAGGTGCAAAAAAAATTATTATCTGATATCCATACTAATATTATAAATGTGAAAGTACGAGTATATACGTGTTTGCTATCTTCGGGGGTAGAATACGTTTATCAATGGTCTGAAAAGTTTGCTATATGTGACTTGCAATGTGTTGAACAAACTTCTAGCGCAGCTTCGATAACGATCAGCTATGAAACCCTCCTGTCAATGTCAAAAACGGCCGCCATTACGTCACGACGCTTAGGCAACACGTACAGCGACAGGACGAGTGCAAATCAAGTGAACAACAGCTAGTTTTAAGTTGACATCTTGTAGAAAAACTTACATAATGTCACAAAAAACCTATGTAATGTCAAAAAAACTGACAACGTCATTTTTCAAGATACGTAATAACCCTGCCGGTTTGGCAATTTGTATTACCATTTGGTTAAATTTTACCAGAATATGTTATATGGCATATGGCCATGTGCATTTAATGTGTGAATTTGTGATATTTATGCTTAAATTAAGCAAATAATAATATTAATGAAACATTTTTATTGGGCGAAGCTTAGCATAAACTACTCTGAATGTTGTCAGTTATTTGTTTTGTTTGTAATATTCATGCTACTTCAGTGTATAAAAAAATGTTTAGAGATAGAGAGATTCTATATTCGAAGGTTGTATTTGTTAGAATATTACGGCTATTGAGGATTTCTACTTGATTCAAGTTAAAGTTTGGCAAACGGATCTGCAACAGCGAAAGGAATGCGACCGAAAATATTCGATATTGCCAAATTTAACTACAAAAAAGCAGTAATGAAGTAATTTCAATGATTTGAAAATCGATTTTTCACAATTCCAAAAAATAATAATTCAAAATACTGAGTATTTTAATGGGTTGTTAGCTCTATTTGTATTTAATAACTATTTTTTACTACTGAATCGTATTATAAGTAAACATTTTTCCAAAGATCTTATCGACATCGGTTGAGCTGGCAACAACCACCCGAAAGGTATATTGGACACCGCCTGAACGAATCTGATTGGCGGATATCCTCACATGTTTTGTCGCCATGAGAAAATTCGACTCCCTATTGGATAGCGTCCCAGACAATTTTTTGCTCCTTTCTTGGAATATCCATACTATTGAAAAGTCCAGTGGCGTAGGTTTTATCTCCGTTGATCGTGTATGAGTTTTACAACTATTATTGTTAACTATTTATTGTTCTATTAAGTTTGTATGTTTAGTGCTGTGTGTTTTTGAATAGTTTAGTGTTTTGTTATTTGTTATTGTTATTCGTTTTAGTATTATTTTTTTAAAATGAACCAATTTACTCGCGGAAAGACGCTTCATAGCCAAACAACAGAAGTGATTGCGAATGTTTATAGGTTTTTAATAATAATATGCAATAATTGTAGTTTTTGACGACTGAGTCTGAATATAAATAAAAAACAAGGGAATGCTAAGCTAACATTCTGATGATTATTTATAGGGTTTGCGATGAGGAAGCGGCAAACAATTCCCTCAAGTTGCTGCTTAAACGTAAGCTTGATAGGGTGTCCCTTTATACCGGATTCGGAGTATCTTCTGTTAGGAAAATTCATAACGAAGATAAAGAAAGACTAGAAAATAACCCCAATAGAATGTTATCCAGTCCCGGGAAAAAAAGACCGGGTCAGTCTCTTGTTGAGAAAGATGAAGATTTTGATTTTCAGATTATTAGACATTTGATAAACAGATTTTATCTTGAATATACAGTTATCCCGACAACTAGGAAGTTATTACAAAAGTTGAGAGAAGACTCAAATTTCCCCTATTCTAGGGAAACACTCAGGAGTTTATTAAAATCAAATGTTTTTTTTTGGCGCAAATGACAAAATGTAAGAAAAGTTTTGATAGAGGCCTAATATATTGCAATGGAGGTACAAATACATCCGTGAGATACGTAGATATCGTGAAGAAGGGCACAATATTGTTTATTTGGACGAAACCTGGGTGGAAAATGACTTGACTTTCAAAAAATGCTGGCAGAGCGAAACTGTTTCTGGTGTAATAAGCAGTATAGGTTCTACAGGTAAGCAAAAATGCTATATATATCTTAAATTTAACTCTGATTTGTAACATATTATATAATCGTCTTGTATATTTTAGGTCGACTCATTATAGTGCATGCAGGTTCAGAAAATCGATTTGTTGACAATGCCTGTTTGATATTTAAGGCGGGATTAGCTACAGGCGATTACCACGGTCAGATGAATCGGGAAAATTTCACACGCTGGCTCACCGAAAAACTCCTCCCGAATATACCTGCCAATTCGGTTATCGTATTTGACAATGCCCCATATCATTCCGTCCAGGAAGATAAAACCCCGACAAAATCATCTTCGAAAAAAGATATAATGGCCTGGTTGACAATGAAAGGTACTTATGACTCAAAACATGCATGTACATATCAAACTATACAATAAAATATTTTATAGGCATAAATCATGAGGCAACTGCCAGAAAATTTTACTTGTTCGATCTGGTCTTACTTCGTAAGCCCCCTGACAACCAAAAAAATTATGTATTTGATCGGATCATAAGATCACATGGACATACTCCTCTAAGAACACCTCCTTATTTATGCGAGCTAAACCCAATAGAATTAGCTTGGGCAAAGCATAAATTTCATATAAGAAGCCGCAATACCACTGGAAACTTCAGTTTAACCGCACTGAAAGAAGTTACTCAGAAAGCGATGTCCTTAATATCCATTAATGATTGGCAGAAATTTTGTCAACATGTTAGGGACATTGAAGATAAATTTTGGGAAAATGATCAATTTATGGAGGAAATGGAACCAGTTATAATAACTATAGGGCAAGATGACGACAGCGAAACTGATGACGACAGTGACGATGATGATAATGATGAAGTTGACGAACACCAATGGTAATTCAATAGGTGAAATGTAATTTTGAAATGCTGTATAATGTAAGCATTATTCATTACAGAGGTTATAAGTTAAACATATATGAAATATGTTTAAAGTTCTTTGTTTCTATTTAAGCGACACCGATGCTCTAGAAATATCCACATCAACAGTCCAAAATTGCAACAATAGGAATCCAGAAAGATGCGGATTAAAAAAGAAAAATTAATTCTGGACATGTTTCGGCTTGTGGCACTTTTTAAAGTAAATGAGCATATTATAAGATCACGGATGTATAATATATATATATATATATATATATATATATATTCTCAAGTTCAAAAACCACGTTAAGTATCTATTTGTATTTGAAAAATATATTTTATTTACGGCTTTGACAAAAACGCTAGCTTGATTTTCAAATTAGGTTTTAAATCGCGGTTATCATGATTTTTTGAATTGTGGCAATTTTGGGAAGTGAGTAGACATTTTTCCGTTTGTTGAAGTGTAGAAACAAACTCAAGTGTTTTTTTACATGGTGTAGACTGTAGAGAACAGCTATTTTTGAGTTTACCCGAGACTTTATTTATTATTATGGACAATGTTCCATATCATTGTCGGCTTATTGAGATACTTCCCAAATTTAAAGTGAAACATAAACGTATAGTTTACTAAATTTAAACCAATTATGAAATAATCCCAAACTTTTATAAAATACCGCACGCCGCTGGCATTTTATGAATGAAACCAGCCATGTTTTGCTTTCCCCTCACCGATACCCCGATGTTGCAGATCCGTTTGCCAAACTATACATATGCGGAGCGCTATGAAACGTTCAAAAGCAGAGCACTTCATACCACTGAAAACCTCTGGTGATCAGAGATAGATAGAATATAGGTTAGCTTCTGCTCCTATTTTCTCCAGAGAACATATCTGGACACTTGAGTGCTTCAGGATCATGGCTAGTGCATTTCGCGATCATAGCTAATGTAAGTTTGGTGATTTGTAGAGCTTCTCTGGTATTGCGTAGTTAAAATGAAAAACTCACAACAGTTTCTGTAGGTTTCAAGCTTGATATTCTGATAATGTGTTGCTATTATTTCTTTTTAAAAGGCATTTGTTTTCATCACTAATTTTAACATTTTTTTCATGCAGGCGCTACAGAAGACCATCGCCAGGAATGAAAATATATGGACCATAAATATTATTGATATGTTCATTCAATATAAAATTTAGATAAAAATATATTTTCAAGTAGGTATAGACTTTTATAATTTCAGATAACTGTAGGACGGATGGATGATTTTATAATGGTCTGTGTTATTGACGGTGCTGATTTGACAGATAAGTGGGGACTTGTTTGTCAAAACAGCAAATATGTTAATAACACATGGCGTTATAAAATCTTCCGTACCATTTGAAATGCGCACTATATATAGAATTTATTATACAACGGTCTCACATTTAAGCAAAGAGCCGGCAACATTGCATGCATGCTGGCCAAGAAATGGCGGCTTGACACTATCATAAGTCAACCGAGCTGCACCATGAATAGCACAGGACTGTACCTTCTTCAGTGTATTTGTTTAGTGTTAATCGTCTTGATACTTGACAACTTGACCGCCCGACGTCTGCCATTTTGTGTATTAGTGGAAAACCACTATCGAGATTGCTGGCGTTCCAAAAAGGCATCGATTTTCGCTGTTGGTGGCGATCGTGGAAGTGTGCGAAGGTACGTCAGGGGCTCCAGAGTGGTTTTTTGGATTTTGAGTTGGATCTCGTAGCCGTATCGGCAAACATGTCAGATTTACGCATGTATACTAAACAATTTCTGACGGAATTTATTCATCTCTACAAAAGTTTTCCATGTCTCTGGAAGACGAAATCCTCTGAATATAATGATAGGAACAAAAAAAATCAGGCCTATATGGAGTTGGTCTATAAGTTACAAGAAGTAGAGCCAGAAACAACGATAAATTCAGTAAAACGAAAAATTGACTCACTTCGAGGATCTTTCAGAAAGGAGTTGAGAAAAGTGAATGCTTCAAGGAAGTTAACAGGAAACAATGACGATATATACCTACCTAAACTTTGGTATTTCAAGGAACTGCTGTTCTTGACTAATTACATGGGACCGAGAAAAACTGAGTCAGATCCATTATGTCAGGTAAGAACGTGAGTTTACTTCATACAAATGTGTAACCCAAAATGTACGTTATAGTTAAAGTATATTGTGTCTTTTTTCTAAAAATTTCTACGGACGCAGTTTTGCCCAAAACATTTTGAAAAAACTCGCTAGAAGTTTTTTTTTCGAATTTTTGGTGAAGTGATAAAAATTTCGCAAACTTAAAAATCCTCTATATATGTATATATATTGGTGGTTTCTTGCTTTTTTTTCAGATCCTCTAACAAATTCATGAATTTTTGCCCGGAAAATCGCCAAAAATAGAAAATACCGCATTTTCACTGATTTCCTCCAATTTTTAACATTCAGAACGTAGATCTTAGTATATCATAAGTTGCCGGACTTAAAAACCTGACAGGCACACGTACAGTAATGGACAAAAGTTTATAGACAAATTAATATTGTGCATTTAATCTTCTACTTATAGTTTTCGTAGAAACACTGACAATTCCTTTTGTCTCGATTTCTGCCTTTATTTGTCTTGGGGTTTTAAACGGATCTTTGGACGAAATTACTTTTATTAATCTAACTGATCTAGCATTCAGTATTCCAGGCCAACCACTTCTCTTAGAGGCTTCCAAGATACCTTTTTGTTTATATTTGTTCAATATTGCCCAAACTGCTTTACGCTTCAGCTTCAAATTTTTGGCAATGTCGACTTGATGTTTACCATCTTTGTATAACTCAATGATCTTAGTTTTCACATCGAAAGAATTTTCTGGACCACGCGGCATGGTCTTAAAATCACTCAACTTATTCCACAATACTTGATGAACAGAAACTAATCCTCTTCTGACATGAAACTGTACTAAACTAATGTTGAAAAGAGGTACCAAAATTTAATGCGAAATGCGAACAACTTAGATAAGGTACATCTGTAGATCATAATCTCGCTGTTAATCCAGATAAAACGCAGGTAATACTTTGTTTTGTAAGTACGTCATATCGACGACACAGACGTCATATCGGCCTCAGATAGACGTTATATCCACGTCATTCAGACGTCATATAATGACGTCAATTGTATGTGACATTGTACCGTCATAATGACGTCATTTTATTGGTCGGCTTACGTCAGTAGTGCTCTAAAATGCCGACATGATGATGTCACTATGTTCACTGGATCCCGTCTCGTAATATTTGTTTGACGTTATTCATGTAATTTCAGGAGGATACGATACAGGAAGAAACGCTCACCTTAGAATATCCCGAAACCATCGATATTAAGTTTGATCCACCAGTCTTCAGTCATCCAAATTCCCCTTCACCTTCGGAGTATTCAATCTCGAACAGTGGCATTAAAAGAAAAAGAAATGCTGAGGACCTTCTGGATGAAGTCGTCGAGAAAATTAACAGAAAACTTGATAACGAAGACAGATTCGATGTAGCGGGAAAACATATAGCGAACAAACTACGAGATCTATCGAAAGAATCCGCGTTAGTCGCAGAGAAATTTATATCTGATATACTTTTCGAGGCGGCATTGGGAAATATTTCTCGATATACGGAAATGTCTTTGACTAGCGTGCCACAACAAGAGATCATATAAGACATGAAAAGGATTTGAGTTTTTCTATCTTTTCAGTTTAGTGAGGCCCGATTTTGTTGTAAACCCGCAGCGATGACCTTTCGGTCTCTAAAGTTGGTTTGCGGATCAAAATTGATCAACCAGAAGTAATCGGAATGAATATAGTCGGATCACATTAAATTCGACCAACCAGTAACAAGTATGTCCACGTTGTAAATAATACAAACAAATTTAAATATCTGTAGTGCTCCTCAGGAGATTTTGAGAGACATTTTAGAGGAAACCGATATACATTTATTCATTACTTCAAAAACGATTAGTTTTGATCGAAAGGTTATTAAATATGCAGGTTTATAGTGAAACCACACCTAATAATAGTTTGTCTTCAAAGCTTATAGTAAGAAATACGTTTCAGTTCTTTTATGTACATTATATTCTTTATCTAACAATAAAAATGTTATGTTGTTTATATTTTGTTATTAAAAAAATAAACAAATACACTTAACACTATGCTTGATATGTGTGTTTCCGCTTGCATTTCTTTGTCTTACCCATATATGCACTTTTATTCTTTGCCTCTTGAGGTGAAAGCGGTGGATTTACTGAAATTCATAAATGGCAACGCTGCAAATTGTCCGTCTGTTTGTGCGCGCCGCTGTGAAGCAGGAAACGACCGATCTCGCTGAGAATTCAGCCAGCAGCAACTTCCGATGAAAGTTAAAAGAAATTAATTTTATATGATTTATAAACGTCATGGATCATTTAATACATTTAAAATATTGAACAAATGACAAAAAACAATAAAAAGTAAGACAGAAAAATATTTTTATCTTACAATTAAATTCTCTTCTTTCTAGCTTTGACAGCTGCAAACTCATAAATAACTTCATCAAAATTTATATTTTGTATTGCTTCGTGTTCGATGGCTAATATGCCAAGGTAGCTAAGCCGCGATTGGATCATTGTTGCCCGCAAATAGTTTTTTAATAATATCAGTTTACTGAAACTCCTTTCACATGAAGCTACGGACACGCAAACCATTGTGAGCAATTTTAGTGCTGTCATAAGATTCGGAATTGCGCACTCGTTGAAATATCCCTGGAGTGTTTTTTATTCTATCACAAGATGCAACTATTCTTTCTCTTAATTCCTCTGCAGTGTTAATGGGACTTGTATACACTAGTGTCTTCAGCTAGCCTCACAAAAAGAAATCTAAACTGTTGAGATCTGGGCACTTTGGTGGCTATTCTTGGGACCCACTGCGGCTAAACCAACGATTTGGATAAACAGTTTGTAAATAATTACGAACCGCTACTGGTGCACCATCACGCATGTACCACATATTGTTTCTTATTACTAACGAAACATCATCAAGCAGCAAAGGCAACTGTTGTTGAAGAAAATTGAGGTAAGTCGACCTGGCAAGAAGAATGGGCCAATAAATTGGTGTTGGAAATGGGTTTCGGTTACGCCATAGGGATTTTCTTCTGCCCACAAATCATTATTGTGGAAATTCTGAATGGTATTTCGAGAAAAATTAGCTTCGTCCGTGAACAGAATCATTGATTCAAAAATGGCGCATCGAAGGAAAACAATTCAAGAGAGATCATTTTTTTTTAATTGAACGGGGAATTCAAAAATAATTTTTATCTGGCAAAAAACCATTGGTGTATCATTTTTTCCTTAAAAAATATCGAAGTCAATCCCCGTACGCACGCCACTGTTAAGGTTAAAAACTATTTTTGCATTGAAAAATATTAATCAATTTCCATTTTTTTTCCTAAAACTTCAACACCCCGAGTTTTTATAAGGAAACATTTTTGGGCCATAGTTTAGTAAAGCAAACTAACATTAATTTTTCATAAAGATTCACACCCTTAAATATTCGCATATCATCAAGGAACACCCTGTATTTTAGATGGCCCTCGAATAAAACTAAATGGCTGAATGTATGCAACACATATTACTCTAAGTTAGTTAGCGCTTAACACACTTGTCGGCAGATGGCGATACAAAAGCCAATCGTGTTTTTTTTCTTTAAAGCTGGATAACAAATGTCAAAAATCAAATCTAAAATGGCAGTCATAACAGGAGTTGGATTGTGATGCATCTGTGTAGAAGATATCGTATTTTTCGTAGTTTCGTGTGTGAAAATGTGTTTTGAACTGTGTCTCTGATCGTTCTGAAAGGTGTTTTATTGCGGGTGAGTGAAATTGCTTGTCAATTTTATCCTGGACGATGAAAATACCCTTCGATATTCCATACCGTGTTTACCCATTTGTACTCTAATTAATTTGACTATCTCTATAATCATAACGTGAAGGATTTATAATTTATATATCTCGAGATTGTGCGTTACTTTCTGCACCTATAAATAAACCAGCAATTTTTAATGCTACGTTGTTGAAGATTGATAAGTGAAACACAGTCGACACTTATTTTGTATTCATCATTCGTAACCACATTCTATTTAAAAATGCATTTAATTTCACCAGCTTTTCCTGTAGCATTTCCTCGTCGTTTCACCGTACGAGCACGCTTCAAAGAAAGCTACACATGTAAAAGGTTCAAGACTTACGTTGGCAACGGTATTCAAAACAAAAACGCAAGAACTATTTTGCTAATTAATTTTAAACGGTCCGTTAAGCTGCTTGTACTATAAACTTAAATTAGTCATCCAGTCTTCCTGTTTCAGCTCAAATGCCTTCTCTTGCTTCCCTTTTTGGTCTGTTTGCCGCTTGTCACTATTTCCGTAGGGGTATTTTCGGCTTTGGGTCAACTGTTTGTATTGCAGTAATTTGTATTATAGAGTTGCTAAAATGTAAAGGGATTCATAGACTACCCTTGGACCCAACTGTATTGAGGTTGCAGCAAAACAGAAAATCAATAGTAACTTTCTGGGTTATTCCTGTGACATCATTTGGGTCAGGAAACCTGTATTAAACCCAGCATTGGTAGAAAGACCTCCTTAAATATGATAACCAGCTCTAAAGCATAAAGCATACAATTGTGTATTCTCAGAAGTAGGTTTTTCTTATAGTCTTGCTTGACAAACTGAATGATATTCTGGTCCATTGGTTGAATCACTACAGTGCAATTTGGCGGAAGAAACATCGCAGTGATTCATTTATCCTCAGTTGTTAGTTCTTCTTCAGACGGATGACCAGGAGCGTTATCAAGAAGCAACAACGCTTTTTGAGGAAAATCATCATCTTTTAACAATTTTCTAACTTCAGGTACGAAGCATTCATCTAACCACTTTTTGAAAAGGTCTTTTGTCATCCATACACTTTTTTGTCCCTAATAGTGTAAAGGTAAATCAATGTTTTTGAATGCCCGTGGTTTATTAGATTTCCCAATGACCATCATCTTAAGCGCGTGTGTGCCCGCAGCGTTAGCACATGGTAGTATGGTTATGCGCTCTTTACTTACTTTTCGTCCAGGTACGGATTTTTCGTTACAAGAAACGAAAGTTTTGTTAGACATCACACGCCAAAAAAGCCCTGATTCGTCTGCATTGTACACATGTGACGGGTCAAGATTTAAATCGTTCACCTTTTGCAAAAATCTTAATTTAAAGGGCTCTATGCAGGTGGCATCGTTAGAAAGTTTCTCTCCTGTAATAGTCATTAAACGTATGCCATGACGACTTTTAAAACGTTCTAGCCATCCTTTGCTGGCCACAAAATCATCTTTTTTTGTTATTTCCGTATAAAAAAACTTAGCTTTCATGGCCAACATGGGTCCTGAAATTGGTGCATGCCTATTTCTTTCGATAACGAATATCGATGCTTAGCACCTTAAAGTAGCAAAAACGCATAGTTTTTAGCTAAATAATAAGAGCTACATGATAAACTGGATCAGATACATGTGAAACGACTGCAGGTTCGGTTTCAGCGACCCAAAATACGTACAAAATTAGAGGTCATTTGAACCGCATTTAAAGCAGTTTAATTATTATCGTTTCAAAAAAGGCAAAAATGGGTCAGTCGTGAACCATTCTTATAATACGTTTTTTGTGTCGCTGAAACCCAATCCGGGGCCCATCTAGTCCGGAAATGCCTTATTTTCGAGATACTCGCCAGAATTACACTTTGTCAAAAAACGGCTAATAAAAACTCAAAAAAATGTTGCGCGTCTACGTTCTAGATGGAAGCTTGTTTTGTAGGTAAATCGGGTGCATAGATTCCGAATTCGATGTCAATTCGGTGCTAGGATTCGCGGGTTGCGCCGGCAAACTAGTTTTTATCAATTTTTCCACTTCAAATCCGGTACGATGACACTTTGGATTTTTTCACATGATGCTCATATTCTGCGCCCCAAATTACCTCATTGTACAAAGCTTCGCTCACGTGTAGGCATCGGATCTGGTCGAAAATTCGGGGAGAGACACTCGAAGTTTTAGTTACTATTTAACCGGTTTTGCCTAGGCCTTTTATTTTCCTCTAGTGAAAAATGAATAATTTATGAAAATCCTAAGGAGGTGTGAATTTGTCCATGACTGTACATAAGCTTCCGGAGACTTTTACGATTAACTCTCACTTTGTACGTCTCATCAGTTATTGCATAGAAATTGTATTCATCCTAAATTGTAAAAACAATCGTTGTCTCGATTGTCTCTTTCCGCAGCATTTGTATCACTTTCACATCTCGCGATTACTCAATGCGAACTGAATCGGCATGATGAAAAAAGTCGTCCGCGTCCTGTGACGATGATGATCGTTCGATCGATTGCGGTGAAAATAGATTGTCATTTCAACGAGATTTATTTTCGGTTTTAATCACCTGCTTTAACGTGCTCGTTTAGGGAAATTTGGTAACTGCTTAACGCAAAGAATACAGTTACCATTAGAAGAGCCACAGTTTCACTGTTTTCTGTTGATCATTTCTTTTCGCTTTGTACGCAAGTCTGCATTTATTTACAATTCAAAGATGTCAACAAATAAACAAGCAACCCGCCAAAAATTTCATTTTTCTTATGGCCGCCATATTGGATTTTTTGATTTTCGAAACGAGTGCAAAATTTTCAGTCTAGTGATGTCTCAGAAGTGCATAAAAGATTGGGAGGCCGTGATTTGAGACATTTTGTTTTACTGTAACTATCTAAAACTGTAATGACGCCATTTTGTTTTCTATAAAATTTTAAAGTAGCCAGCGTCACTCCCACCGCTAAGACGAATCCAACGACACTTCATATGTGAAAATCCGTCCAGCCGTTTGGCCTGTAGGTGAAAATATGCTCGTTTTCCATATCAACCCAAATGATAATCACTCTCCGCGTGACGTCATGCGCGCCGGCGGACGAAAATCGAATAGCTGAGCATCCGGCACTGCTTCAGTGGTATTCTAGTCTGAATGTTCGATGGGTGCTGTTACGTCTTGTAGAAATTCCGATGACACTGTTGTTTCTCTTCAAACCTTTAGAGGGTAGTCTGATAGATTATTTAGAATCAGAAAAAGTGTGGATGAAGCACGCTTTTCATGAAAAAATTTCCCAAAACATTGTATTTTTAGCTG